CCCCGACGAGCATCATATCTCCTTCATTGTCTATATAGACTATTTCCCATAAATGGCCGGCACACAGCTCGCCTTTGAGATCAAAGATTTTGTCCAATTCTTTCATCAACGCATTGTATCCATCAAGAACAGTTAAATCTATCGCTCTGCATAGACTTAGACCATGCATCTGCACCTGTTAAATAAACACAATATAAAGATCATGTAAACCGAACATAGCATTTGGTAAATGTATGAAAGTTTTGTATAAATTATAAAAATAAAGTTCCCACTATATATAAAAATGAAATAATAGTAATGTAAATTAAGTTTTTCATCGGCTGTATATATATAGTAAAACACAATACTATAATCGAGTCGTATGTAAACAGTAAAAACATGCTGATTTTCCCTTACCTTGGTACGACTTCGTGAATTAATTATTTGTTTGGTTTGGACCTCCTTTGATGAAGCTATAGTTTGGTTCTGTTCATGCTTTTTTTCTTCAGAGAGTTTGGAAATCTCAGATTTTTGGTATGAGTCAATTCCTCCCAAGAGATCTTTGGTCTTCAAAGGAGTCGTCAAATTGACTCCAAACAATCTACAACTAGTGGTTAAATCAGTGGCTAAATTTTCTTTCACTGATATAACCAGTTGGTCGTTGTATTTTGGTTTATGCATGGTTGGGACCTCGCAGCTGCTCATTAGCCAACCAGAAGGAATCTTTGGATCTTCAGTTGAGTTATCATAACTAAGCTGAGCAACACTTATTGGGTAGCTCTTACTCGATTGTCCAATTTCTTGGCCTTGAGTTAATGTCGGAGTCCATAGATTCAATGATGTTGAACCTATAAATAGAATTATAATGCAAAAGATTTCATAAGAAGTTTAGAATTATAAATATGAAAGATTTCAAAGCTTTAATCATTTAACAAAAGATTATGATGTGTTATACCAATTTCATTATCTTGACGGGGACGTTTGTTTTTTAGCAAAGCTGATTGGAAAACACTTGTTGAAGGCAATAAATCCTCGATTTCCCAAGGTGAAATCTTGTTAGATTTTGGAATTACGGCTTGTTCTTCCCATTGTACCTAGTAAAATAGAGTTGGTGAATATTGTTATTTATTATGATTGGAAAAAGTAAAAAAAAAAAGTAGAGATAGGATAATTTTACTTCAACTGATCGCCATTTTGAATCATTCCAATTAGGGGAGTAATCTTTGACATCCTTAATTGTCCCAAAGCATCTTTTATAATAAAATAATAAAAAAATTTTAGATAAGAAACAAAAGAAAAGAAGAAAAAAGAAAATATGTTCATATGGTTTACCTTCTTTCAGTTAAATCTTCACCCTCAAAATGCATTTTAAATCTCGAGCCAACATTGACCTTATTGTTCACAGCATCTAGATATTTTTCGTAGCTGATGACAAATTGGCTTGACCTAATATCATATCAAGATCCATAAAGTAAGCACAATTATTGAATAAACTAATTCCATGTTATATCTATAATAACAAAATGTTTTTATTTACCTTGGCTTATAGACCACAGTGAACATACAAGGGGAATTAATAGCATTCTTTGCGGTTAAAAACAAAAGTCCATATACCAGCGGAGGAAGACATTCAGTTGCATGTCTTCTCAGCACAGATAATCCACTATGTCCGTTTGTATCTGATGTAGTTAGGACCTTTGTAAAAGAACGAACTACTGGGAATCGACGGTTGACATTATTGGGAATAGGAATTGCAGTTTTCTAGATATTTCAAATTAAAAAATAAAATCATTTAAAAGGGATTAAAAAATGTGCAAGTAATTTATAAATATTTTGGCATCACCATGGAGGAGTCTGGCATCAAAGTAATTTTGGTGTATACTTCATCAGTATCTTTGTCCACCTGAAATTGAATACAAAAATCAGCAACAATATAACCAATATTATATGCAATCTAAGCAAATGTAGCTCATGTGTAAATAATGGGTCATTACCTCAAGTTGATAACCACTAACATGACATGGAATCTTCGACGGAAGATCGACATTAAATTGCATCAGATGATCCATTTTTGGTTTGTAGACACTTCTAACTAAAGATGCCATTAAATTGTATAATGTTATTTCAAAAAAATATATATATAATTTTTAAGACAAAATTAAAATGAAGATATAGAGATTGAGCCCTTACTTGCTCTAGTTGTCCTTGAGGAAAGTAATAAACTTTTTCTCCAATTTTGGGATAATCATGTGAAGATCCAGCACATGATTTCCATGACTCTTCGTACAAATAGCTCTTTGAAGTATCAACTGCTCAGTAAAAAAAGAAAAAACATTATCACACAAAAATGTTTCTGAAAATAAAAGAAAGTCAATAAAAAAATTTCTCACGTATGCCCAAAATTTCAGGATATGCATTAGCAACTTCATCACTCGCCATCTATTATCTAAGATTGTAACACAATAAAGCCACCAAATATTTTCTATGTGATTGATCAACCCCGCTTCACTCACTACCAACTTTCTCTCTTTAAGCCACGAGAACACAAAACCGTGTGGCTACAAGAAACAAAAAAAAACTTATTCAGTTACATTAATAAACATGTATAAATTTGATAAAATAAATCTAAATCTAGATTTTATAAAATCGAAAGCAATAAGGAATCTTGATTGTTGATCATAAAAGCTAATAATCTTATACTCCCTCCGTTTCAAATTAGTTGTCGTTTTGGCAAAATGTATCTGCAAATATTTGGACGTATCTGGACACATTTTGCATTGCAGATACATCCAAATAATTGCAGATACATTTTCCCAAAACGACAACTAATTTGAAACGGAGGGAGTATATAATAGGAGAGTTTTCTCTCCTCGAAAGCTATCCACATCAGGCTAATTTTATGAAATTATGGGTCCAACACTTAATCATAAATTATAAAATACAAGAGAAGAAAAAATGAAAAATCAGAAATGAAAAAAAATAAAACTTAAATTAATGAATCAATTAATTTACACACTTTTCTATTATTTTATTCTCTTAAGATAAAATATATTACTTACCACAAAGCCTAAAATATATTTCACAAAAAATAATGAAAACACCAACTAAGAAAATTAATAGATATTAGAAGATTTTATAAAATTTAAGAAACATTTTCTTACATAACTTGAAAATTCAAAATATATAAAGATAACTATAAATAAGAAAACTAATAGTCTGTTAAAGTTAATAAATAAAACAACATAGATTTTCTAAGAGTTACAAATTGACAAGGATATAGAACAATAATAGGTCACTGTATATAAAAAATTGAAAATATTTATAATTGAAATAAAAATATTCATTTTTTAATAAAAAAAAATACATATGACAAGTTCTAAAATATAATGCAGTTAATAAAAAACATATTTTATGTTAAAGATAGTCTTACAAACTCAAATCATTATATTTTAATTCTGAAGTCATCATCACATAAAGATAAAAAATAATATATATAGTTTTGAACTAGGTAGAGAATCAATATGTTACAATGTACTATTTGTGAATGAAGAAAAGTTGAAAGTAGAGAAACATGATATATAACCACTAAAATGTTGGAGAGAAAACTACATATGCTGTCAAAGATGCATGAAAAACGGAAAAGATCACAGTTTAAAAGGGGATTGAGCCGGTAGTTGAGTGTGGTTAATTAAGAGGCGGATATAGCTTGGGATGATGTTAATAAGAACTTTGACGATTTGTTAGAAAACTAGAAGGTCAATTGTGATTAGAGGAAGTTATAAGTTCACTGAACAACCATTTTTATTACTAGAAAGATAATAAGAATTCATACAAATACTAACAAATCATAGAAATAATTGTCGAATTTTTGGAAAAATCTTATATAAAACATTTAAAATAAAAACAACTGCAGCATCTATTATAAAACTTCAGTTATATACAGACCAACAAAAGAAAAACAATAAAAACATATTTTTTAAAAAAATGTAAATAATGATTAACCGAATAAACAACTCTGCACTTGCGCGGATGTATAATCCCTAGTTAGTATAATACCAGTGTTTGATGAATCACAGAGACTTATTGATATTACTGAAAGGTAGTGCGAACAAGTTACTTTAATTATTTTTATTTCTTTATTTTTGTGAATGATTTGATGTGAAAGATATATGAAGGTATTTATAGGTTAAACAAGATTCTTCATATATAATTAGATTACCAAAAAAATATACAAAAGTCAGCAAAATGTATCATCATCAATACCTTACTAAAACTTACTTGAGAAACAAATTAAGCTTCATTAACTTTGACTTCATTTTTTTTATAAGGTCCGAAGATAATTACAAAACAATTTTTAACTGTTAATTAAGTTATTCTACAAACATCCTACCATTAGTATACAAAAAAAAAAATTGAATAGCAATATGATGTAGGAAGAAATTAAATGTGGATGGACCAATAAATTTTGTTGACTTGTATTTATAAATAACCATAAATTCCTAAATCTATAAATACTTACTAAGATTCCATATATATTCAAGAGTTAATTAAGTTACCAAGATACCATATTTGAATATATGAAACTACTTTAGAAAATAGACTTGTTTGTTAGATACATATTTGTGTAGTCATGTTGATATTGATATTCTTGATACAGAGATTTATTATACTATTATACTGCTGATTTGTTTTTGTTCAACTGATATTTTTGTAGTTTTGGACATTTGTTTATTCGGCCAAAGCTTAATGCTATGAATAATGAATTCTCAAGAGTTCTAAGCCAACAGCTCGAGTATTACTTGAGTGATCCTAAGGGTGAAATGAATCAGGTTTAGTTACCATTCTCTTTGATTGTTTTGGTTTCAGAATCTAATATTGCTGAGAGTTTGCTTGACTAAGAAACTTAATACCATACACACAGAAATATCAAAGCAAATGTGTTACAAACACTATTTCACAAAAAGATCATTCCCTTAAACCTTAATTAACAAACCACATCTAATTTTCTCCAAAAAGATCATTCACATCACCAAAATGCTTGCTATTGCTTTCTTGTTCTCATCCATCGTTTGCAGCCTCTGCAAACTTAGCCGTAAACTTAAGCTTCTTGACATAAGTCTTGCTTCCTCGGAGCATAAAACTTTCCACTCATCGCTCAGCTCTCTTCTTTGCACATCCCCAATGTTCTTCATCATCTTCTCAAGATGAATCTTCTTCTGGTTTTCACTTAAACCTTTCAGCACCACAGTCTCAAGTGCATCCCGCACACCACAAAACTCATCATCATCCATTTCCGGTTAGGGGCTCACTTGCGTTAACTGCTTGCTCATCGGCATTCAACGTCTCCTGATTCATCAAACAATTTTGATCAAAACAAGCAACTTCATAGACCGGTCCAAATATTTCAAAAGCCACTATGATTTGACCAAAGCTAATTAGAAACATCTCATCATCCACTGATACAAAGCACCAAACCAAACCATAATTATCATCAAACCAAACAATAAAGATCAAGCAGCTGCAATCTGATTCCAAACAAGACTTGACAAAGAAACTTCATTATAAATCACTGACCCCTTCCATTATAAGAGAGCTAACGCTAATTCAATCTACCATGGAGCCAACAAAGTTTCATTAAACTCAACCTCCATTTCTTCAATCTCTCGCTCAATCGTCTCTGCGTTTGATTTCATTTCAAGCATCATTTTCTCAGCAGCTTTCTTCTCCTCTTGCGCAATCGCACCTCGTCTCTGCAGCTCAAGGATCTCCCGTTGTAACTCAGCCATTTCTTCTTCTGCCTTGCGCTTCTCCCTCGCTGCCTCTTCAAGCTTGTTCCTTTCCTCGGCTTTCTTTGCAAGCCCATCTTTGAGTGACAACACCTTCACGATCCGTGACTGAGGCTCTGCAATGTCAAAACCATGCTTCCCTAGCTCGGCAAAGGAAACACACAGTCTGTCGAATGTGCTTGTGGAATCATTCGGTTTCAGGTCTCTGACTTGCTCTAGTAAACCGTAATAGCTCACCATCATTCCAACCGCTGCCCACTCACGGATATCTTCTCTAGCTTCGAGCAATGGCCTAAAGTGAGGTATGGATTTGCGACTCCCCAATGTCTTCCAATACGGAGACTTGTTCTTTTCAAAAGGCAAAGCTGCAAGCATCATCACGTTGTAAATTTTATGATTATTAAGATTTGACAAGACAGAAAGATGTCAAACAAAAGTAATATGGTTAGTGCATAAAGATTTAGACGTACCAGTTTCATTCAGTTTTTCTCCTCTTTTCCTTTTTCTACTCTCATCTTGGCTATTCTCCACTTCAGGCAACTGCATAAAGAGTGTAAAACCATCATTTACATAAATTAATAAGCGAGAATTGACTAATGTTTCTAACGAAAAAGACTAAACTTTACCTTGGGTGGAGTTGAATCATTTCCCAAACCATTTTCAGAGGATTTATTTCCTTTTGTTACAGGTGAAACAGATCCTCTTGCTACACAACATTGATTGACATTATATATATGCGTAAATTACAAACAAGGAAGTAAAAGAAAAAAGAAACAGATGATTCACCTATCGGTGTTACTTGTGGGGTAATGATGACCAGTGGGGTTTTATCAATCATCACAGCATCGACCCTCTTCTTTCCCACTTCTCCAGTGACCTTTTTTATTACCAAGCAACAAAACAACATCACATCAAATCAAAGCACATAATGGTATGCAAATCAAACGAAATTATTGGTTTTCTACTCACAACCACAGTTTCAGCTTCGCTGAGGTTTTAAGACTATAAATCAAGTAACTCCAAATTGATTCCAAAAAAAAAAAAAAAAAAAAAACAGAATCGAAATAGCTTATAAATCACTTACCGCTTTCTCATCATCACCATCGTCTTCACGGCTCTCTTCTCCAACGGTCCTGCCCTCCTCTGTCTGCTCAGCTCCATTTTCGTTTAAGGCACTCATAGTCTCCTCCTGATCATATTGTTGAAATCAATCCATCAAAAAAATAAAGATCAACGAATCAAGAGTTGACAAATAATATTGTTGAAACTTTCACTTACGGAGCCACCTTTCTGGTCCTGCGATTCATCAATATGGCTCCAGAGGAAGTCTGCATGCCCAAAAGCTTCAGAATCATAGTCCTAGTGAAGACAAAGAGATGTTCTTGTCCTTGCTCAAGACACTTCCTCTGACAAAGATACTTCCTTTGAAGCTCTCCGATTTTGCTTCTCATTTCATCTTCCGTGAGCTTTTCTTTACCAGAGCCTTGAGCGTAACTCAAAAACTTATCCCAATCAAAGTCTGGATTTTTAGCCCCGTGCTCCACTAAACCCTAAATTAAACCCCAAAAGAGAAGAGTCAGACTTAGAATGCAAAAAAGTTTAAACCTTTAATACAGAGTATAAACAATGATTAAACCTTTAGTAGCAGAACCTCTTCCTTCTCGCGCTCCAGATGATCGGTTCGCTCTTCTTCTTCTTCTTCTTCTTCTTCTTCTTCTTTGTCTTCTTCGTCTTGTTTCGCTCTTCTACTTCTGCAGGGATTGAGCCAAGCTTCTGGCCTCCAAGACAGTGACATCACCGTCACCAGACGAAGCGAATTTTACCCGTTTCGGAGTCACCATCATAAGATTCTGCATGAACCACACACAATTCGACATCACCAGAACCCTAATTAGAAAAAACTCAGATTCACCAAAATCGAAACAGTGAGAGAGAGAGAGAGAAGAACCTGGATCGACGAGTGGAGAGCAGAAAATGGTCCTTTGAGTTTCTACTTTTCTCTCTTTTATAAAAGACTCATAAAAGTAATAATTTACTAAAGAAACCCTCTTATTTTCTCAAAACTATTAAAATGACACTGATATTTTTTTATAAACCTTATTTGTTTGCGGATTCGTCCCCTAATTTTCTAATTTGGCCCTCGACTGAAAAAATCTCACGACGATTCAGTGAGACTCTCCATTAATTTTCTCACAAAGTATTTTTTGGAAGTTGTTCAAACATTTTTACTCGATTTCTTTTCCAAGAAAAGAGTATAAACGTGGTAGTATTCAAAGACTTTTCCATTGTGGGTCCCAGTAGGTCAGATAAGTCAACGATAATTGGTTGATCGAACGGTTGTAGGACCCGTTAAAAGGCATTGTGAAAATCGACGGCCGTGATGTAAAGTCGTATCATCTGAGATCACTACGTCAACACATAGCTTTGGTTAGCAAAGAGGCAAGAGCCAACATTATTCGCCGGAACGGACGAGAGAACATCATGTACGGAGGAGGAGGAGGAGGAGGAGGAGGGTCCGACGAGTCGGAGATCAACGAAGAAAGCAGCGAACGCTCACGATTTAATCACGAAATTATCCAACGGTTACGATACGTACTGTGGAGTGTGGGGACAGAGGTGCACAGTTGTCCGGTGGGCAAAAACAGAGGATCGCTGAATGAAGCGACGAGTGCATTGGACAGCCAGTCGGAGCGCGTGGTGCAAGACGCGCTAGAGCGAGTGATGGTCGGGAGGACGAGCGTTGCGATCACAGAGGGAATGTAGTCGAACATGGGACCCACTCGTCTTTGCTGGCCAAGGGTCCCACTGGTGCTTATTTCTCATTGGACAGTCTCGAGAGAAATATAGGTTGAAGGTCTCATTTGTTACTTTACGATTTTATTTTTCCCTAAAATTCAATGATTTTGTAGATCAAACAGTAAATCCAGATCATGCTGAACAAATACAGATCAAATGCATATCAAATATATTAAATAATTATAAAATATCATATTTAATTGGACAATTAAAAAACAAAGAAAATTTTCAATATATATATATAATATATAAAGTTTTCTTAATATATATGTATATATATATATTGAAAATTTTCTTAAAAACAAGAAATTTAAAAACTGAAACATTATCTTAAATTTAAATTTGATTACAATATACAAAAAAATTATTTCAAAAAATTAATGTGAAATGTTTTAGTCAGTTCATAATGTACTTGCAATATGTTCCCTAATGTTAACCATAAAAATTTTGTATATAGTTTTGAAATAAATAAATACATATAGTTAGAATTGTAATTTATAAGCTATAAATATAGGTTATATTTATATATAAGTAAACAAAAATACCCCAAAATATTTAAAATCTTTAGTCATATACTCCCTCTGTTTCATTATATAAGGGGTTTTAGTTTTTGCACAAAAATTTGAAAACCTCTTATATTATGAAACAAAAGAAAAACTCCAAAACCCCTTATATTGTGAAACAGAGGGAGTATATAAAAATCAAATATATTTTTGCATTTATGAATCCATTGTACTAACTTATATGAATCTCTTTATCATAAAAGAAACATGAAACTCAAGAAATTTAAATTTTGAATTGTTATGTTTGTAATATAATTATAATGATATATATATATATATAAATATACATAATTAGTGATTGTAAAAAAAAACCTATTATATAAAAAATATGAATATGTAAAGTGAATATATTTAATTTTTAGATATAAAAATTGTTATGTTCATTATTTAATTATTTATTGAAAGATAGTTAATACAAAAAAAATTCACAAAATAATATATATATTACACAACATACCTTAAGCTACTAAGAATCTTATAGATTTAATTTTCATATATATAAAGAAATAATAATTAGAAAACCCAATATTTATAACAATTTTTAGAAATAGTTACTTGAAAAATAGTTATGCACATGTAACAAAGGTTTCTAGGCTAGTTTTAATTTAACACAGGTTTTGTGGATTTATTTGTATAAAAGTAAATAATAAATTAATTTTTATAGCATTTATAAGTAATTAAGAAATTAAAAGTAAATAAATATAATATAATAAAAAGATAGGTCTGCATGTGTTCAGGAGGCTTTCAGCTCCTTCTCTGCAGATCAGAAAAATATCACAAAAAGACAAAAAATATTGATCTGCATGCAGAGTGATCTGTATTTTCTTGATCTGTAAATAAAAGTGTGATTGGCTATGAAATACAGATCAATCTGTATTTGATCTGATCTGTATTTGTTCTGGGATTTCCATTCAAGGCCTTAATCAAACACAGAACTTACCTAAAGTAGAGCCTATAGCTAAGAATGTGAAGTAGAACTGTGCTATATATGCTCAGTGTTTGCAAGTAAAACAGAGATTCAATAAAGCAGAGGTTTTTGAATATGTATACAACTACTTAAACCAAAATCAATGTAAGAGGAGAAAGTAGAGAAAGAATGTTGTTACTCGAGTTCTTGGCGAAGAGCATCAAAGAAGAGTTCTCTTTTAGTCTGTTTCTCAGCGCCAGGTGTGCTCTTTAGCTTCTGATCTTGTATTCTAGGGCCTGAAGGTCCTCGCGCGACTTTTTAACATCCCTTGTACACTGGCGATCACACTCTTCCTTGGTGCACGACAACATGACACATTTCCTACGTACACGTTACCGTCGGCCAAACAAGAACCAATGGGTCATAACATATCTCATCTTGGATGACAACAAACTCACAGGACGACAATGCTAAGTGGAGAGAGGATGCTTGGAGCTGAAGCAACAATTATCAACAGAACCTTAGGCTTCAAGCAACAGCGGAGGTTTAACAATTCTCGGGGAAACAACACGGCCTCAGTGACGACGAAGGTAGCACGAGTTGCTTACCACAATGACGACTTAGGAGAAACCATGGCGACCTGGAGCAGTGACGTCGGCAGGGATACAGATCGGGCCAGAGGTGATACGGTGGTGCTCTCGTTTACTTGCGCAACAAGCAAGGTGCTTGCTCGGCGTGGATCTCTCAGACGAGCTCAACAGCGATCACACTCAAGAACCAGTGGTGATAAAGGTCGTCTTTGGAGCAACGTGGATCGATGGCGCGACAGAGGTGGCGTCGGTGAACGGAGACGGCGACTCCATTTCTTCGGGTACGTCTCTTTCTTTCCCTCTAACACCTCTCTCTCCTTTTTCTTACACGAGAAACTCTTCTCTCTTCTCCTTCACTTTTCCTTCTCTCTTTCTCACAAAGCTCTCAAGATTCCTCCTTCTTTCTTTTGCGAATAAAAATGCGGCTAGGTTTTCGTGGAGAGGGACGATGTGTACGTGTATGCCAAATATATATGCATTAAAATCTAGATAGGGAGGTCGATGTGAAATTGTGTATACCGTAAAACAACTCGGCGTGGATCTTCTACTGTTCTACATAAATGATATGTGTATACAGGAATTTTAAGTGATAGAGGGAAAGAAAGAGACGTACCCGGAAATCCAGGGTTTTATTTATTTCTAATAAATCAATCTATGTGACGTCTATATATTTTGTCGACAAGGAGAAATCTAGATAGGCTACAAATTAAAACCAAATAAAAAACAATTTGGTCCTTTAATGAATATCCAGCTCGTTACAAATTTATAAAATAAAATTTATGCCATCAAAAATAAAAATATTTTTTTAATTAAATTCGTACGCAAGTGAATTTCCTTTTTTTTTTGCTAGGAACTAGGGATTAAAGCCCCGCGCAAGCGCGGGGTTGTTTGCGACAATTTTTCTGTTTGATTTTATTTATATTCGTTGATTTGAAAATTTGAATTATGAAGATTATATGTTAACTTCCATGTTTTGGTTATATTTTAAGTTAACCCAACAATTAACACTAACAATATGATCAATTTTTTAATTAAAATATTAACACCTTACTTCATCTCGAGTTTTCTATTTCTAAAATTTAATATGCATTTGACTCAACGTCAAAATTTGTAAATATGGTGTAGAATCGCAATTGCACTCAAAATATGATAAAAACAAAAACATGTATAACTTCTTACATATATGCTTTGTTGTGGTAGCATATAACAATTGATTATTTTCTATTATGTTAGTTTTGTAAATATAAATTGTATTTTTGAAACAAACATGTCACCATTCTTAAAATTTTCATACTTTTTCGTTGCAATGAAATTTAAATAATAACTCGACTTCTATTTTTTAATAAAACAAACTCTAACTCTAATTTTTTATTAGCTTTTTACTATGTTAAATAATTTATATTGTACCATTTTTTACTTGTAAGAACATTATAATATTTTTAAAGAAGATAAATCCTTTGAGTTAAAACCTAACTATATACTATTTCAAGTTAAATATTTATTTATTTCATCTCATTTTATGTTACAACTTTCTTTTAACTTTTAACATTAAGATATCACATACTTTATATTAATCAATTAAATTGTTTGTGTATTTTTCTTAGTTTTGTTTATGTGTAAAATAGGAATATATATATACAGAAATATTAATACACATATATTAAATATCTTAAATACAATTAATGATTTTTTTGTTGATGTGGATAGCCTAGGAGGAGAGAGCAACTCTCCTACTATATATAAGATTCTGTATATATGATATTGATGTTTATTTATTAAATATTTATACAAACAAAAAAATTGTGAGTGTTTTTTTATAAATGTTAGAAATAGTCAATATTTTAGTTTTTTTAACATCAAAATCAATTAGTTTTATATATAACTTATTTTTATTACTTAAATTTAACTGTTAGCTTTCAAAAGTTAAACATTTTCCATGAAATTTTATTACATATCTTTTTACATAATATATATTATTATGGATTTTAAACATTTTAAATTTTCAGTACATTTTTTTTCTTTTAAAAACAAATATATTGCATCTACTGTTAAAAGTTAACTTTTAATCTTTTAAATATTAAGTTCAGCCAATTTTTATTTATTTTTTTCTTTTATATTTTTATTAATCATTTCTTTTTTTATACATTTTTATATTTTTGGTTGAATAATAAATCATTCAATGATATTATGAAAGTGTATGTATTAATTGAACCATTAATTTTGATTTAATTAATTTTTTTGCTGATGTGGACACTCTAAGAGGAGAGAGCAACTCCCTAATTATATATAAGATAACTTTAAAAGTATGCATTAGCAAAATATAATGATTTTTTTTCAATTTACTATGTTTTGCTTATAATTTACTTATGTTTTTCTTAACTTATGCTTATTTTTGTTAAGTTATTTTATGTTTGGTTAAATAACTTTTTCTAATAGTAATAGTGTATGTTATAATTTTAATTAAGAAAATATAAGTAACTTCATTAGGAATAAAATTAATTTGTATTTTTTGAAAGTATTTGAGGTAGAGTTATTATAATTATATAAAACTGAAGAAATTCGACATTTTATTTTCATATTACCTACTTGATCAAATATTATCCAACTTTGCCCCAAATATTTTCAAATATTACTTCAAGAATGAATTTTGATTATTTATATCAACTTACCCCAAATAAAGGCGTGAGTAGTCTTACATCCGGATGTACTTCCCAACCGAGAATTTTCTCTCCCAGATTACGTGACTATAGCCGCCTCCATCACGCCAATGATGCTCATGATCCCAAAATTGTAAGTCTTGCCGGATATAAATCCAATATCTTCAAAATTAATGGTTCCTGAAGATGGAGTTTCAAAATGCCAAACTTTATGTAGTAGTTTCACATGTATAGCATTTGTTGCCATCCCGGTTATACTTGGTAACAGGCCAGCCTGTTTGAATTGGAACGAAGCATATCTCTTCAATGTCAAAATTTACTCCGAAGACCAAGGCGGTAATGATTTTTTTCTTTTACATAGATCGATCTATTTACCATAAACTTTATCAATAAATAATTTAGTACGGCCAAATGCCCTGGGGCTATACTAATACGGAATTAGTGTCAATTTGAAATGATTGGACTCTGACACCACCAATTACACTATTGGACATGAGGTATCCTTGAAGTTTACATTTTACAAAGTTCAATCAATATTCAACCGATTTTTCCAGGTTCACTTGGTTCTGACTTTTTAAAACTATTTAAAGTTCTTTTTAGATTTGATATGCTTAGATATTTTTTTGGATTAAATAATCCACGGTTGAACCTGGTTTGGGCCAGATAAATACAAAGTTAACAAGTATGAATAAAATCAAATGAAGTAACATACATATAAAGAGAATAACTTAAACAGTATACAATAGCAAAATATAATTATTTTTGTCATTTTTATTATGTTTTGTTTATTATTTACATATGTTGTGCTTATATTATGCTTATTTTTGTTAATTTATTTGTCTTCGTATTTGTTTTCTCTAATAGTAATAATGTATGATAGAGTTTTAATTAAGAAAATGTAAGTAGATTTATTATATGAATTTGTTGTTTTGAAAATATTTGACATATAGTTATTATAATTATATAAAGCTGAAGATATTTGACATTATATTTTAATATTACGTAGTTAATCAAATATTATCCAAATTAATATTTCTCAAACTTCTCAGATTTGTTATTATGTCATAAAAATTATGATTTTTGTGGAATTAATGCTATTCTGATTCATTGACGTCACAATGTATGTGCTTGAAAGGATTAAGGAAGATGAACAACTTTCACCAAGTGCCTATAGTCAACTTGAGGAAATCAAACCCAACTTGTGTTGGTAATGACTTTATTAGGGTAACTAATGCATTGTTCCCTGACCTAAATATACTTTTCTGGTTCACAGAGATGGAGTTTCAGAATGCCAAAAATCATGTAGGCTTTAATGGTGACCATGAGAATGTTGGGGAACAAAAAAAATACATCATTTACAAGTAATATTTATTCCCCCTCATTCTTTCTCATTTACAAAGAAAATAAAAATAAAAAAAACAAAGGCACATCCCCTAATAGGCATGAGTTTATAAACGAATAATTTATTTTATTAGTAGCAATTAATTCGTTCATAATACTGTATTTGTTTGATTTTTTAATTTTATTTTCAAAAGACGATAATAGTTGCTTGAATACAAATTAGAAAAAAAAAATCAATAATATACTATAATAAAAGAAGAACGCATAGTAATGTAACAAAAGGGGAGTTTTTTTAATATAATTTAGAAATGGTGAAAGCACATATTACAGACACATACAAATTTTTTTTCTTTGAAACAACAGACACATACAGCATTAACGACAAACACGAAAAGACAAAAGAAGACACTCAAACACCCATAACACAAAGAAGACACTAGTTACCATTTAAAAAAAAAAACACACAAACAAAATAAAACATTTTACCAAACCTTCTCTTCCATTATTGACTCTCTTTTCCCCATTGATATAAGTCAAACATTTGTAAATCTTTGTTTCCATCTTCCCTTATTCTTTGACATAACTTGCTCATAATTAAACACCTAAAATATACATCAAAAAAAAAAAAAAAATCACATCAGAGAATAAGTAAGAAATATAAAAATTAGTTGGAGAACTAAATATTTGTTTTGATAGTGGTATGTCATAATGTATTAAAAATCAACGTTCTTAAAGGTGATTCACCTTCAGAAGAATCGTTTGCTGACTTCATTTTCTTAACCTCCTCTTTTGAACATAAAATTAGTTTCTTCACCATGTTGCAGAACTCACTACACAAAAACTTGAAGTCAAATACACATTTCCAAACTTTAGCTAGTCATTAGGGGAAAGAATAAGAGAAGGGAAATTTACGGCCATGGATCCTCCCCGACGAGCATCATATCTCCTTCATTGTCTATATAGACTATTTCCCATAAATGACCGGCACACAGCTGGCCTTTGAGATCAAAGATTTTGTCCAATTCTTTCATCAACTCATTGTATCCATCAAGAACAGTTAAGTCCATCGCTCTGCATAGACGTAGACCATGCATCTGCACCTGTTAAATAAACACAATATAAAGATCATGTAAACCGAACATAGCATTTGGTAAATGTATGAAATTTCGTATTAAATTATAAAAATAAAGTTCCCACTATATATATAAAAATGAAATATTAGTACATGTAAATTAAGTTTTTCATCGGCTGTATATATATATAAAACAATACTATAATCGAGTCGTATATACAGTAAAAACATGCTGATTTTCCCTTACCTTGGTACGACTTCGTGAATTATTATTTGTTTGGTTTGGACCTCCTTGATGAAGCTATAGTTTGGTTCTGTTCATGCTTTTTTTCTTCAGAGAGTTTGGAAATCTCTGATTTTTGTATGAGTCAATTCCTCCCAAGAGATCTTTGGTCTTCAAAGGAGTCGTCAAATTGACTCCAAACAATCTACAACTAGTGGTTAAATCATGGCTAAATTTTCTTTCACTGATATAACCAGTTGGTCGTTGTATTTTGGTTTATGCATGGTTGGGACCTCGCAGCTGCTCATTAGCCAACCAGAAGGAATCTTTGGATCTTCAGTTGAGTTATCATAACTAAGCTGAGCAACACTTATTGGGTAGCTCTTACTCGATTGTCCAATTTCTTGGCCTTGAGTTAATGTCGGAGTCCATAGATTCAATGATGTTGAACCTATAAATAGAATTATAATGCAAAAGATTTCATAAGAAGTTTAGAATTATAAATATGAAAGATTTCAAAGCTTTAATCATTTAACAAAATATTATGATGTGTTATACCAATTTCATTATCTTGACGGGGACGTTTGTTTTTTAGCAAAGCTGATTGGAAAACACTTGTTGAAGGCAATAAATCCTCGATTTCCCAAGGTGAAATCTTGTTAGATTTTGGAATTACGGCTTGTTCTTCCCATTGTACCTAGTAAAACAGAGTTTGAATATTGTTATTTATTATGATTGGAAAAAGTAAAAAAAATAGTAGAGATAGGTGTAATTTTACTTCAATTGATCGCCATTTTGAATCATTCCAATTAGGGGAGTAATCTTTGACATCCTTAATTGTCCCAAAGCATCTTTTATAATAATAATAATAAAAAATATTAGATAAGAACAAAAGAAAAGAGGAACAAAAAGAAAATATGTTCATATGGTTTACCTTCTTTCAGTTAAATCTTCACCCTCAAAACGCATTTTAAATCTCGAGCCAACATTGACCTTATTGTTCACAGCATCTAGATATTTTTCGTAGCTGATGACAAATTGGCTTGACCTAATATCATATCAAGATCCATAAAGTAAGCACAATATTGAAGAAACTAATTCCATGTTATATCTATAAAATAACAAAATGTTTTTATTTACCTTGGCTTATAGACCACAGTGAACATACAAGGGGAATTAATAGCATTCTTTGCAGTAGAAATTATTCCATGGTACATAGTATCTATTGAAACTGTTGATGAAGCTATGTTGTTTTGTTTATCACAGCTCTTCTGATACCAACTCGTAATTCCCCATTCTCTCCTCTAAAAAAAATTACAGTTTCAGTCTGTAATCTAGTAGAAAAGAAAAGAGAGAAGTAAAACCATTAAATTTACCGAAGAAATACAACAGCGTCTCCGGCGACTAATCGTTTTGCTGTAAAAAAGCATTCCAGCCTTTTGTTAACAAATGTCTTTGGGGTGTGCCTGCATGAGATTGTTTCCATACAAATAGAAGACCATATATTACTAAGCACAAACACAAAGTATCATTTTCATTATTATTATTTTTTTAATGGACTGATCAGATAAATGATTCATTGCCTCTAAAAATATGTTTGAATCTCCATTCATAACCATTGAGATCTTTAGCGACTAGCTCTTGAGTCGGTGTTGGTTGTGACATATCCTAAAGATAAAAAAGATTAATCAGTAAAAGTCATATGGAAGCTTGAAAAATGAAATATGAGTTCATTCGATTAAAAACCAAAGTGCATATACCAGCGGAGGAAGACATTCAGTTGCATGTCTTCTCAGCACAGATAATCCACTATGTCCGTTTGTATCTGATGTAGTTAGGACCTTTGTAAAAGAACGAACTAGTGGGAATCGACGGTTGACATTATTGGGAATAGGAATTGCAGTTTTCTAGATATTTAAAAAATAAAATCATTTAAAAGGGATTAAAAAATGTTCAAGTAATTTATAAATATTTTGGCATCACCATGGAGGAGTCTGGCATCAAAGTAATTTTGGTGTATACTTCATCAGTATCTTTGTCCACCTAAAATTGAATACAAAAATCAGCAACAATATAACCAATACTATATGCAATCTAAGCAAATGTAGCTCATGTGTAAATAATGGGTCATTACCTCAAGCGGATAACCACTAACATGACATAGAATCTTCGACGGAAGATCGACATTAAATTGCTTCAGATGATCCATTTTTTGGTTTGTAGACGCTTCTAACTAAAGATGCCATTAAATTGCATAATATTATTTCAAAAACAAAATATAATTTTAAGGGAAAATTAAAATGGAAGATATAGAGATTGAGCCCTTACTTGCTCTAGTTGTCCTTGAGGAAAGTAATAAACTTTTTCTCCAGTTTTGGGAAAATTATCCGAAGATCCAGCACATGATTTCCATGACTCCTCGTACAAATAGCTCTTTGAGCAATCAACTGCTCAGTAAAAAAAAGAAAAAACAATAACAAACAAAAATGTTTCTGAAAACAAAAGAAAGTCAATAAAAAACTTTCTCACGGATGCCTAAAATTTCAGGATCTGCATTAGCAACTTCGTCACTCGCCATCTCTTATATAAGATAATAACACAATAAAGCCACCAAATATTTTCAATGTGATTGATCAACCCCGCTTCACTCACTCCCAACTTTATCTCTTTAAGCCACGAGAACACAAAACCGTGTGGCTACAAGAAAAAAAAAAAAAAAAACTTATTCGGTTACATTAATAAACATGTATAAATTTTATAAAATAAATCTAAATCTAGATTTTATAAACTCGAAAGCAATAAGGAATTCTGATTGTTGATCATAAAAGCTAATAATCTTATATATAGTAGGAGAGTTTTCTCTCCTCTAAAGCTATCCACATCGGCCTAATTTTATGAAAATTATGGGTCCTACACTTAATCATAAATTATAAAATAAAAGAGAAAAAAAAATAAAAAACTGAGAAATGAAAAACATTAAAACTTAAATTAAATCCATTAATTTACAGACTTTTTTATTATTATATTCGCTTAAGATAAAATAACTTACTTACCAAAAGGCCTAAAATATATTTCACAAAAATAATGAAAACATCTACTAAGAAAATTAATAGATATTAGATAATTTATAAAATTTAAGAAACATTTTCTTATATAACCTGAAAATTCAAAATATATAAAGATAACTATAAATAAGAAAACTAATAATATTTTAAAATTAATAAATAAAACAACATAGATTTTCTAAGAGTTACAAATTAACAAGGATATAAAAAAAATTATAGTTCACTGTATATAAAAAAAATGAAAAAGGTTTATAATTGAAATAAAAATATTTATTTTTCAATAAAAAATACATATGACAAGTTCTAAAATATAATGCAGTTAAGAAAAACATATTTTATGTTAATGATAGTCTTACAAACTCAAATCATTATATTATAATTCTTAAGTCATCATTACATAAGATAAAAAAAAATTTATATATATATATATAGTTTTGAACTAGGTTGAGAATCAATATGTTACAATGTATTATATGTGAATGAAGAAAAGTTGAAAATAGAGAGACATGATATAGAAACTCTAAAATGTTAGAGAGAAAACTACATATGCTGTCAAAGATACATCAAAAACGGAAAAGAGCACGGTTCAAAACGTGATTGAGGCGGTAGTTAAGTGTGGGTAAGAGGCGGATATAGCTTGGAATGATGTTAATAAGAACTTTGACGATTTGTTAGAAAATTAGAAGGTCAATATTTGGAAAAAAATTTTACTAAAACATTTAAAGTAACACGGCAGCCTCTATTATAAAACTTTAGTTATATACATAACAACAAAAGAAAACAATAAAAACATATTTTTAAAAATCTGTAAATAATGATTAACCGAGTAAACAACTATGCACTTGCGCGGGGGTATAATCCCTAGTTAGTATAATACCAGTGTTTGATGAATCAGAGAGACTTATTAATATTACTGAAAGGTAGTGCGAACGAGTTACTTTAATTGTTTTTATTTCTTTATTTTGGTGAATGATTTGATGAAAAATATATGAAAGGTATTTATAGGTTAAACAAGATTCTTCATATATAATTATATTACCAAAAAAAAAATACAAAAGTCAGCAAAATGTATCATCATCAATACCTTACTAAAACTTACTCCAGAGACAAATTAAGCTTCATTAACTTTGACTTCATTTTTTTTATAACGTACGAAGATAATTACAAAACAATTTTTAACGGTTAATCAAGTTAATCTACAAACATCCTACCATTAGTGTTGGACCCAGATTCCACACCTGGAATCTAGCCCGTAAGGGCCCATTACCTTGATCCAAGATTGAAGTCCAGGCCCACTCAAGCCCAGCAAGAAGACCTCGAGCCCACCAAGCGACTCCCTCGTAAGCCAGTTAACTGCCATCCGAGCTATTCCGGTCGACGTAAAGACGAGCTCCAGCTCGATCAAGGACCAGGTCGGCACTGCGAAGAAAGACGAAGTCAAAGAAGATCTCCTTCAAATCCGGTCTGGTCCGAGATCACCGGGATCGTTAGCTGCACGTGGCGAGATACGCGGAGGTGGATCGTAGCTGATTCTGGAGCTATAAAAGGAGCTTGAAGCAGTCGGATCAGGACAATACATCTTCTTCCGATCATTAGACCTAATTACTATCATACTTTCCTTGTATTTTCCTTTGAGCTTAGTTCTTTCTCTCTTCTGAGAATTCATTGTAACCATTTTCATTCGTTTAATACAATTCCGTTTAGCCAAATCCTTGCTTACGATTCATTCGACTTACATCAAAATCTAGCCCTAAATCTCCCTAAGTTTCTTCCTTGCAAAACCTATAAATTTCGAGTGTGGTTTTCATAGCCCACATTTTGGCGCCGACTGTGGGGAGGAAACATAGATTTTCTTACACAAGGGTCGAACCTAAGCCAGGTAAGAGCGAAAATGGATACTATCCGGTCGCAAACCCAGGGATCTAACTCCCAAAACTCGATCCCATCGGATCAGATCACCTCGAACATCAGTAGCAGCCAAACTGCTGATGCATCGAGAGATCAGATCGCGTCGAATGTTGGTAGCCGCCAAACTGCCAACACTTCGAATACGCCGATCACATCTGCTACCGCCTCCACTGGAGTGCAGCTTAGCACTCCACCTCGCGTGGAACCAGTGGTGATCAATCTCGCCACACCGGTAGCAACCCCGAGCCCGATTCTACCGAATCTGGGTTCGCACACCATCGAGAGACCTCTCTCTCGAGTTTGGGTCAGATCGGAAGATCCCCCAACAACTGTGACTCCACAGAGTCGGACTATTCCTGTTCGACCTGCATCTGCGACGCAAACTCCTCCGCGAGCTAGTCCAGATGATCTGGCACAGATCAAACAGCTTCTCACCAACCTGGTAAACGGTCAGCGCGACCACGAAACTAGGCTGGAGAGACATGAGAGACGCCTCGCTGAATCTCGAAACATCACTAGCCCGCCTCCGCGGACTCAGCTCGATTTTTCGACGATCTACGCATCTGGCATACCTCAGGCGCAATTCGTTACGCCTTCGCGACCTCAAGTCTCTCAGACTTTCGGTCCACCGAGCTCGCCATCAGTTGGCATAAATAATACGAGCTCGCACCCAAGCGAGACGAGAGCTCAACCGAACGTTCCGCTCTCATCTCCACCCCCAGGGCCACCTGGTACCGATCCAGCTAGGCCTAGGTGGTTTGGCGCTTCAGCTTTTGCCTCGAGCTCGCAGGCAATGCCTCAGTTTGAGAATCAGCTAGGCGCGACATACGGTTCACAGCCCTCCGCAACAGCGCGAGAGCACGTGAACGGGAATTATCAACAATTCCCTAGCTCGAACGGTCAGCCCAATCGAGCTCAGTTCCAAGGAGCTAACGATTCCATGAATCAAGCTCCATTCTTTCCGATTCCAGCAAATCGGAATCCAGCTGATCCGCGTAACCTCGTCGACAGCGAATCTTTCGAAAGATTCCAAGATCGCACAGACCTCGCGTTTCAGCATATGAGCTCAATGTTTCATCAAGCAACGAGCTCAGCTCCTGATATCGACAGAGTTCCTAAAACAGTATTCGATCTTCATCGAATCTAAAATTACGGAAGCAGACCTTTGGAGACTTTCTCAAGGTCCAAAGGAATCACTTCGATCTTACATTGACAGATTCAAATCAGTCAAAGCTAAGATCACAAACCCTAATGAGGCAGTAGCTCTACTTGCCCTCAAAAACAACTTGTGGTACGAATCGAAATTTAGAGAAGAACTAACTGTTCGACCTACAATTTCACTAGATGACGCATTACATCGCGCATCAGCATTCGCAACTCTCGAGGAAGACACAGCTCTCCTCAGAGAAAAGTACCTCAAAGGGGAGCTCGCATATGCTCCACCAGGTGCTAAGAAAACTGCACCAGCTAAACCACCTTCGCAGAGTAAAGGACAACATTCCTACTCTATCGAAACTTCAGCTCCCATAAAGAGCTCGGAGGAAGAAGAGAAACACTGCGATATTCACAATACAAACGGCCATTCCACAGAGGAATGCCGTGCTAAAGGCAAAAAGTCTAGCAAAAAGAAGGGAAAAAGCAAAACAGCTGAAACCGCGGTTAAGGCCGAAAAGCCAAAACCCAAACCAGCTAAAGACTCCGACAACGCACCTCAGAAAAGAGAACGCGAAGTCGAGGTCGAAGCCCCCGATTCCCCTCCTTCTAACAGGAAAAGAATCGACCTAATCTTCGGAGAGCTCAGCCTTTGCGGCGGCTCAACGAGATCCGTGGTCACCCCCCCACCCGCTCCTAGAAAGGCTACGAGCTCTAGCTCACACAGACCTCCTAGACTTGTCGGGGGGATAGAGCATTCTTACAGAAGCTCGCCTGTTACATCACCTACCTCCAGACCCGATACTAAGAGCATTGCGATCTCTTGCTTACGCAGACTTCACAAGCTCTCGGGGGGAGTAGAGCCACCTACCCCTAAACGAATTGACTTCATTTGCGGTGGCTCGAAGATGTGCAAAGACTCGATTAACTCGATCAAAGCACATCAGCGACGGGTCGAGTCATCTGGACAACCACGTCCTCTAGACGGACCTGATCACGAAATCAAATTTCGAGAAAGCGAAACACTCGCACTCGATAAACCTCATGACGATGCACTCGTAATCGAGCTCGCCGTAGCCGGATTCGAGCTGACCAGAGTCATGATAGACACAGGAAGCTCTGTAGACGTGCTGTTCTACGATGCTTTCAAGCGAATGGGATTCGAAAACTCCGCACTCATAGGAGGCCGTACGCCCCTAACTGGGTTCGCAGGAGAAACGACCTATTCCATGGGAACTATCCAGCTCCCAATCAAAGCAGGTGGTATAACGAAAACAGTTGACTTTGTGGTCGTAGATCGCCCCGCGCCATTCAATGCCATTCTCGGCAGGCCGTGGCTCTACACCATGAAAGCAGTTGCATCCACTTACCACCAATGCGTCAAGTTCCCTACACCTTGGGGGACAAAAACAATTCGCGGTTGCCAACGAGCTTCCCGAGATTGCTATATGGGCAGCTACTTGCGAGCTGAAAAATCGCCAGTATAGCAATTACAGAAAGAAGAGGAGCTCGCGATTCGGCAGATCAAACATGGCAAAGATCCGACCGTCCGCGAACCTCGAAAAGACTTGGTCACTCAGGTTTGCATCGACGAAACCGACCCCGAAAGGCGCGTTGGTATCGGAATCGATCTCGCAAAACCTATCCGTGACGAGCTGATCGCCTTCCTAAAGGAAAACATCAGCACATTCGCATGGTCCACCGCGGACATGCCCGGGATTGACACTAGGATCACGTCTCACGAGCTGAACGTAGATCCCACGTTCAAACCCATGAAACAAAAACGTCGAAAACTCGGCCCAGATCGGGCTAAAGCAGTAAACGACGAAGTAGACCGACTACTCAAGGTAGGCTCGATCAGAGAGGTGAAATACCCCGACTGGCTAGCTAATCCTGTAGTTGTCAAAAAGAAAAACGGAAAGTGGAGAGTCTGTATCGATTTCACAGACCTTAATAAAGCTTGTCCAAAAGACAGCTATCCACTTCCTCATATAGATCGCTTGGTCGAAGCTACGGCTGGTCACCAGCTCCTATCCTTCATGGATGCGTTTTCTGGGTATAATCAAATCAAGATGAACCCAGAAGATCAGGAGAAAACAGCTTTCATAACAGACCGAGGTACTTACTGCTACAAAGTAATGCCATTCGGGCTAAAAAATGCGGGAGCTACATATCAGCGCCTCGTAAACAAAATGTTTGCCGATCAGCTCGGTAAAACAATGGAGGTGTACATAGACGATATGCTGGTCAAATCCTCTAGGGAAACAGACCACGTCGCACAGCTCCGGGTATGCTTCTCCATACTTAACAAGTACGGCATGAAGCTGAACCCGACTAAGTGTACATTCGGAGTTCCGTCTGGCGAGTTCCTCGGTTACCTAGTAACTGAACGCGGAATCGAGGCGAACCCGAAGCAAATCTCTGCCCTCTTAGATATGCCTTCTCCAGAAAATACTAGAGAAGTACAACGGTTAACCGGTCGAATAGCAGCCCTTAATAGGTTCATTTCCCGGTCAACCGACAAGTGTCTTCCATTTTACCAGCTCCTCCGAGGAAATAAAAAATTCCTCTGGGACGAAAAATGCGAAGAAGCTTTCAAACAGCTCAAAACTTACCTCAGCGAACCTCCTATACTGGCAAAACCAGTAGAAGGAGAACCGCTATACCTTTACATCGCGGTCTCGCCTGCAGCGGTCAGCGGGGTCTTAGTTCGTGAAGAGCTAAACGAACAAAGACCAATCTTTTACGTAAGTAAATCCCTGATTGATGCCGAGACTAGATACCCAGCTATGGAAAAACTTGCCTTAGCAATAGTAATGTCCGCTCGCAAGCTGCGACCTTACTTTCAATCACACACAATCGTGGTGATGACCTCGCAACCATTGCGAACTATGCTACATAGTCCAAGTCAATCTGGACGACTAGCTAAATGGGCTATCGAGCTCAGCGAATACGACATCGAATATCGAACTAGAACCTGTGCTAAAGCCCAGGTACTAGCTGATTTCATGATCGAGCTGGCACCGGAAGCCAATAACGATACCACCCTCTCTAAAGTTTGGACACTCTTCGTAGATGGAGCCTCGTCCAAACAAGGAGCTGGCGTCGGAATCAAACTCACATCTCCAACCGGAGAAGTGATCGAACAATCGTTCAGACTCGGATTCGTCGCCTCTAACAATGAGGCCGAATACGAGGCACTCATAGCCGGACTCCGACTCGCAATCGGGATCGGCGTGAATGAGATCAACGCATTCAGCGACTCCCAGCTCGTTACTAGCCAATACAGCGGCGAGTACGAAGCAAAAGAGGAGCGCATGGAAGCTTATCTCAAAGTAGTTCGAGATTTAGCTGGACAATTCAGTAAATTCGAACTAACTAGGGTGCCTAGGGGAGAGAACACTTCGGCTGACGCCTTAGCTGCTCTCGCCTCCACTTCGGACCCAACTGTAAGACGTGTGATCCCAGTCGAAGGCATAGATAAACCTAGCATCGACATCGCACTCAAGTCTGACAGTATAAACGCAATTACCTCGCGCCCGTCTACTCGTTCTCAAACTAGACAGTCCCAAGATCCGGGACCATCTAACCCGGAACCTGATTCCGAGGAAGAAGAACCTGACCAAGATAGGCAAAAAACAAGGTATATCGATTCGGACTCTTCGCAAAATACGCAAGAGTCCACGATCCATACCGTCCCATCTGCTATGGCGAACGAACTCACCTTAAAGGAAGAGTTCGCTGCGAGACCCGACTGGAGAACTCCTATAATCGAGTATATCCAGCTCGGAGCCGTCCCTAACGAAAAATGGGCATCTCGCAAGCTAAAAGCCCAAAGCGCACATTATTGCATGATGGAAGATAAGCTCTACAAGCGAAGCCTTATCGAACCATATCTAACATGCATCCATGGCGAAGAAGCTTACACCGTAATGCACGAGACTCATCAAGGACCTTGCGGAAGTCATTCCGCAGGTCGAGCTCTCGTCATACGGATTAAAAAGCTAGGCTACTTCTGGCCGACGATGATCAGAGACTGCGAACAGTACTCCAGGCGATGTGACAAATGCCAAAGGCACGCCCCAAGCATTCACGTCCCAGCTGAAACACTCTCATCGATCTCTTCACCTTATCCTTTTATGAGGTGGTCTATGGACATAATAGGACCTATGGTCTCTTCGGGACCAAAGCAATTCCAATACCTATTAGTCCTTACTGACTACTTCACTAAATGGATCGAGGCCAAACCATACCAACAAACGACCGAACTCGAGGTCCGGAAATTTATCTGGAAAGACATCATTTGTCGACACGGGCTCCCTTTCGAGATCGTGACAGATAACGGATCTCAGTTCATAGCTCGAACATTCAAAGACTTCTGCAAGAAGTGGAACATACGCATAACGTATTCCACACCTCGTTACCCTCAAGGGAACGGGCAAGCTGAAGCAACAAACAAAACCCTCTTGAGTAACCTCAAGAAACGACTCGACGCCCGTAAACATAGGTGGTCCGAAGAGCTCGCAGCAGTTCTTTGGGCTTGCCGAACTACACCTCACAAAGCTACTCATGAGACCCCGTTCTCATTAGCTTACGGGCTAGAGGCCGTCATCCCAACTGAAACTTCCGTTCCAAGTCTTCGCAGGATGCAATGTCCAGCGAACGTCGAGCTGAACGAAGAAATGTTGAGAGATCACCTTGACCTTATCGACGAACGTCGAGATCAAGCTCTGATCCGGATACAAAACTATCAACAGGCCGCAGCTCGCTATTACAACTCCAAGGTTAAACACCGGAGCTTTCATATAGGCGACATGGTTCTGAGAAAAGTACAAGACTATACCAAAGAGCGCAATGCAGGGAAACTTGGGACCAACTGGGAAGGTCCCTACCTCATTACCGAAGTAGTTCGCGATGGCGTCTACAAGCTCACAAAAGTCAGAAACGGAATACCTGAACTAAGACCTTGGAATGCGATGAACCTGAAAAGGTACTATCACTGAAAAGGATCTAATCAGAGTATCTCCACCCCTCGAACTACGTTTAGGCTTGATCCTCCTTCCCTGGGGGTACGTAGGCAGCTCAACCACGAGTCCAGCCCCAATCCGAATTTACTTCGTTTTATTTGAGACGACCTCATTGGCCGGCCCTAAAACGGGCTCGATTTGTATCATCTCGAATATTATACTTAAATAAAATGTTTTCTATGTTTATCACTACGAATTGCTCGAATCAACTCAGCAAGTCCTTAAGAAATTCCGAATTACTTAAGCGTATCAATTTACGTCGAAAACGCCTGATCTTGCGTGACCTGAAAAGAAATCGAGCTCTTTCTCTCGTCTCAAAACAGATCGGAAGATCGAGATCACCTCGATATTCCCCTTTCGAACGAAGTGAGGTTCAGAGTCCACCTCTTTACCTTCAATTTCTTACTTCGCAAAAACCAATCGAAGTCCGCAGCGTCCAAGCATCCAGCGTAGTGTTCTAGCAATCGTAGAACCGAAGACCCAGAGACAGCCCGAAATCTAACACGAAGCCGAGCCATCCAGACGGACCTGAAGTTCACGATTAGCTCGGAACACTATCGGCGAAGCGACAAAACCAAGACGAACTTCGAAAGGTAATAAATTCCATCTCCAAAAGCCGAATAAGAAACACCTCGATCGAAAGACGGGAAAACAACTCCGCAAAGCGCGAGCTACATCAGTTCGCCAAAGAGCTCGAAAAAGAATAAACACCACGTTTAGCTCGTCCGAATTGCGATCGACGAAAATCGGTAAAATTCGCCTAAGTGTTGAATCGATCTAATCGTCCCGAGTGGACTCGATTCGACCTAAAACTACGTTTAGCTCGACACACGATCGGCCAAAACTAGTAAAAATATTCTAAGTGTTGAATCAACCTAAACGGATCGATTCGACCTCCGACTAAAGTACATCTTGGCCCTGGTCTCTCGACCGGCCAAAACACTTAGTCAAAAAGCCTCAAAACATTTTGGCAAGTAAAACGCGAGCTAAATGAAAGTTGCAAAACAATTTGAGCAAAACCGCCTAAGGCAAAACGCCTAAGGCCAAAACATTAAAAGCCCCCGCGGGCAAACGAGTTTGTGGATAAAAGCCTTCCCAGGCACCAAATCCGAAACATAAAGCGTAAAAACCCCGCCGGGCAACCAAGTCTTAAAATAAATTGAAAAAGGAGTAGAGATAGAAAGAGGTCGACCAAGAGCTCAGTCCTCGACGGTCATCTCTTCATCTTCCTTCTCTTCCTCCTCGTTGCTTCCCTTCTCTTCGGCATTCGTCCCGAACGGGTTCAAGCCAACCGGGATGCTCGTCGATGGGTCGATCTCCATGCGCGCGACCGAGTCCTCCGAAACCACGGGAAGGTTGAACTTCCCGATCGAGAAATCGGAGACTTGGGCCGCCTTGGCTGCTTCGGCCACCTCATCCTCGAGCCCCTTCAACCTGGCGAGCTCTTCCTCCTGGTTGATCGCACCGGAGATCAGCGACGTAAGGAGATCGATGTTGGATTGGAGTTCGATCTGATCGCCCTCCTTCTCACCTTCCACCCTCTTCTCCTCGAACTTTGCCTTAGCCGATTCAAGCACTTCCCGATGCTTCGCGACCATCTCCCTCCGACCTGCGCGGTTGGCACGGCGAGCTACGTTGTCCTTCTCGGCGACGAGTACCTGGTTCTCCCGGCTAAGGCGAAGCGACTGCGTCAGCGCACTCGAGCTCTCCTTCTGCAAAGCCGCCATCTGCTCCTGATTCTGGGACAGCTGGCGCAAGAGATCGGCCTCCCTGGTCTCGAGCTCTTTCACACGACCCTCCTGCGAGGTGTGTTTCTTCAAGAGCTCACCCTGACGAGCTACCCGCTCGTTCGCCGCAGAGAGATCGGAGGTCAACTTGGCAACGAGCTCCTTCACCTGATCGAGCTCTTTCTGCTGAGGCGCGTCTCTGATCCTCGACTCCAGGCGGGACACCAACATGTTACGAGCTGCCACAGCCTAACAAAAACAAAAATTCAACCAAGGCCAAAACAACAACAAAGACTCTCGTCTAAAGTTTTGACTAGGGAAACAGTTCATACCCTCCCACTCGCAGCGCACGTCGCGATGTAGAGCTCCTTCTCAGACATCTGGTTCAGGGACGGGAGCCGGCATCCGACGGGCTTGAAGTGGAGCTGAATGCGAGCTGTTCCCTCCTCGTCGTCCTGAACGGGGAAGCCTTTGGAGTTCTCGTACTGCCAGTAAAACGGCGGCTTTCCCCCGCTCCCGTTCGAGGCAGTCGGGCCGCCCTCGCGAGAACGAGTCTCTCCATCGTCACTCCGAGCTCGCTTCGGCGCCTGCCTCGAGTGACCGAGTCCGATCGGAGCTCACATGAACCGTACTCGGGAGAGGAACGACCTCTCCTTCGGCGGTCGCGTCGACCTGGTCAACCACCTGGTCGGCAAGGGCAGAAGACCCCCCGGGCTTCGAAGCCATAGCCTCCTCCACCGCCGCGTCGACTTCCACCTTTGCGGTCCGGGATCTGAGAGGCTGACGACGGGTCATTTTCGATCTGCGTGAGAGAGGAGGAACAGAAGAAGCAGAGCTAGAATCTTGCGCCGATCTAACCGGAAGATCAGCTGGAAAATTTTATAAACAGCTCGTTATAAAGAGTTCGTAAAATGAATTTCTAGTTGGTCAAGGGAGATTATTACCTGGAGGAGGAGCAGGAGGAGAGCTGAGAACTCGACGGATCCGTTCCGGAGTAAAAGTACTCCAGTTCACCTTTTCCCTTCCGAGTCGCTCGACGAGGTAATCAATCCCCGGGTTGTTGGTACTGGATCTACAACTGCAAAAGACAAAAAAAATCATCAATAAACGAGGTATTCCATAAGTCAAGCGAGGTATCGCTATCCTAAACGGAAATCGGCCTAAGCTAACCAACGCTAGTCGCCCACTCCGTTCGGATTCGACCAAAGTCGAAGTCGCCCATCGTGGCCTCGCTGACCCGGAAGAAGAACATCTCGTCACTCCACCCGCTATCCCTCTGCGGGGTGTTCGTGAATATTCGCCGATTCGGCCTCGGCGAGGAGTAAAACGACCCGGGAAGCCTGGTGTTGTTCTTCACCGAGAAAAGCTTTCTCAGATCTCGAACACCGAACGAGACGCCCTCTTCCCGAGCTCGAACCGCACATCCTATCACGTGGCGGACGAAGCTCGGGTGCATCTGTGGAAACGCCATCTTAATGAGCGAGCGCTTCCATCAGAAAACGAGGGACCGGGAAAATCATCCCGGCGCTCCGCCAATACGACGTAGGCGCAGCAAAACCCCGGACGAACATGCTCCGGGTCCTCTCCCTCAGCCGGAGAACGAGTTCGATCTCATCCGGGATCCCGAAATCCTGCCGGAAGTGTCGAGGCTCGGCGTCGAGCGTCGTCTCGGCGTGCGGCGTGAACTTCCCGTCACCGCCGAGGTCGACGGCCTTTCCCTTCTCTTGCTTGACGTCTTCGGAGGCATGATAGTCGGAGGAGAGACGGAGGAAAAAGAGGTTGAAAGGAGTTTTGGAGAAATTCGAAATCGAAACAACCTAAAACGCTCGAAAGTTTGCAAAGGTTCGATAATTTTCAAGAACTTGGAGTTATCTAATCTAAAACTTGAAAGCAAATAAATAAGTAAAAGAGAGAGGAGAAGTTACCTTTTCAAAAACGTGGGCACGGTTAAAGAGAAGAGTAGTGGGTCGAGTTTATATTCAGCATTAACTGCTGAAGAGATCGCAAAGAATCCGATTTTTCTGCGTGAATCTCGACCGTACAACTCACAGATCTTAACCGCTTGCATGCGACGAGCTGATGATGTGACGCGCTGTGGGTCCCAAACAGATCTCAGCCGCACGGACTCTTCGCTCTCCTCGATCTGAACCGTCCGATTCGAAAACATAATCATTTCGAATCTTGAAAATATGCGATATACGTTATCGAGGAGCTCGGTTTGCGAGATTGCAGGTGAGTTGACAAGATTTTCGCGATCTCAGCCGTTCATCTCGATTCAACGGCCAGATCTTATCTTCACCTCGAAGAAAAGAAAAATTTAATGCCTAAGGCAATTTCCAACGACGAGATCCCCGCGATCTTTTACCCCGTTCAAACCTTGCGGATAAGCTCGAATATACCCCGAATCGAGGAATTCGAATTTAGCCCGGCAAAAGTTTGAATTTTTGAAATTAAAACAAACCGCCCGTTTTAAGTTCGAAACTCACTTAAAAGGGCTGGGGGGCAATTGTTGGACCCAGATTCCACACCTGGAATCTAGCCCGTAAGGGCCCATTACCTTGATCCAAGATTGAAGTCCAGGCCCACTCAAGCCCAGCAAGAAGACCTCGAGCCCACCAAGCGACTCCCTCGTAAGCCAGTTAACTGCCATCCGAGCTATTCCGGTCGACGTAAAGACGAGCTCCAGCTCGATCAAGGACCAGGTCGGCACTGCGAAGAAAGACGAAGTCAAAGAAGATCTCCTTCAAATCCGGTCTGGTCCGAGATCACCGGGATCGTTAGCTGCACGTGGCGAGATACGCGGAGGTGGATCGTAGCTGATTCTGGAGCTATAAAAGGAGCTTGACAGCAGTCGGATCAAGGGACATCTTTTACATCTTCTTCCGATCATTAGACCTAATTACTATCATACTTTCCTTGTATTTTCCTTTGAGCTTAGTTCTTTCTCTCTTCTGAGAATTCATTGTAACCATTTTCATTCGTTTAATACAATTCCGTTTAGCCAAATCCTTGCTTACGATTCATTCGACTTACATCAAAATCTAGCCCTAAATCTCCCTAAGTTTCTTCCTTGCAAAACCTATAAATTTCGAGTGTGGTTTTCATAGCCCACAATTAGTATACCCAAAAAAAATGAATAGCAATATGATGTAGGAAGAAATTAAATGTGGATGGACCAATAAATTTTGTTGACTTGTACTTATAAATAACCATAAATTCCTAAATTTAGAAATACTTGCTAAGATTCCATATATATTCAAGAGTTAATTAAGTTACCAAAATGTCATATTGGAATATATGAAACTACTTTAGAAAATAGACTCTGTTTGTTATATACATATTTGTGGTCATGTTGATATTGATATTCTTGGTAGAGTAAACTTGAGGATAGATATTGTTTTTCTTTAGCCTTTTTGCATTCGTAAATTGCCCGTTCTGCTAACTACGGAGAGTTATTATACTATTACTAGTGATGGACCCGCGCTACGCCGCGGTGGTTATATTTTTTTATACTAAATGTTTTTTCTTTTATTTAATCGTCCTCATAATTTTAATTAATTGTTTAATATAATGAATTTATACTATTTGGGCCTGCAGCTTGTTGCAATTTCTTTGTTTTTGTTGTATAAGCCCAAATAATGTATTTGTTTTTTTGAAAGATTTTGTGTTGCGGCTGTATCCGATCTATTTTTGCGGTCCGGACAGAATACCCGAAAAACTGATTAATTTCCTCACTGAATAAGAACTGTTTTCTCTTCGTTGCCGTTATTTTGAATGCTTAATATTGCAGTGCTTGATTAGGAATTTTTTGAATTTTGGATGATAGAGTTTTTCAATTCTGTTAAAAGTCAAATCTGTGAATGATTTATTCAATTTCCGCATCTATATTTCTTCCTTCAGATGTCCCATGAATTGTATAGTAAAACTTGATCGTCTATTGAATTGGTTATAAGGAGAAGTCGATTTTCTGTCAATTGCCATTATACTATGAGTTTTTCAATTTCAGGTGATTTTGGTGTGATTTTGGTCTGAATTATCTTGTACTTGTCTTAAGAGAACGGAGTGGTCAGCCATCGTCGTTATACGGGTAATAGTTCCTTTGCTTTCACATCTCTCTGGTTTAGCTTAGGATTACGTTATTTTGATTATATCTCTTATATTGTATTCTCCTTTATTTTGATTATATCTCTTATTTGGTTTTTCATTGATTTCCTTTTTCTTGGCATAATGCTATGCTCTTCTGTTGTTCCTTTATTTTGATGCCGTTCTTTGTCTCCGTTTTCATCTCTTCCTTTTATCTGCAGTGAAATTTAGAACTCTTGATCTTATGATTATTGAGACAGAGTGGTTTTATTCTAGATGATTGAATAGATTAAATAATTTTTTGGTGCTCTCTTGTTATGATGTTATGTTCTTTTTGAAGGCTATTTGTGGAGATTAGAATCTCTGAGGGGATATTTATTCAGACAATCTGATAATAAAGGTTTGAAACAAATTTATTGGTAAATAATACTTTTACATGGTTCTAGGAAATGCTATTCTCTGTATTCTCTTCAAAGTTTTCCTTCATGATTGTGCCGTCAATGATCTTCTCTCATTCTGCTGTTGACCATATTTCTTTTTTTAGGATTCCACACATACTGTACGTTGTAGGAGCTTCTGAATAACTTAGCCTTTCTCTTTGCAAAAAATGCGGCCAATCTTCCTTTTTTTCAAAGCATCTGATTGAATCTGTGAATTAATATGTTTTAGTGAACAAAAAAAAATTGAAAATTAGCAAAAAACAGAGGCTAGTATGACATATCATTGTTTTTGTAAACTTTATGCCCTTTCCATTAGTTTTCTCCCTTGGAGTTTTTCTTCTCGCTGCTGGTTTTCTTCACCTGATGTAGTTTGCTTGTGGTTAGTTTAGTTTTGATAAACATTAGTTATACTCTACATGGATTTATTTTCTGAATACCTGTTTGTCTGTGGCGAAGATTGTTGAAAAACTGTTTCTAAACGTCAATATCTCCCTTAGAGATTTACTTCTCGCTGCTGGTTTTCATCACATGTGGTTGTTTCTTTCTGGTTAGTTTAGTACTGATAACATTAGTTATACAATAGAAGGATTTGTTTTGTGAATACCTTTTTTTTCTGTCGCGAAGATTGTTGAAGATCTCTTTGTAAACAACATTTTTGACTCTCTAATGTTTCTTTTCCTGATGTTTCTAAACCCACTTGAAGCAACTCCGACAATCTTTTGTTTCTGGGTCTTCTTCCTCGTCTGATTCCGCGTCTTCTTCTCTCCTTTCGACAGATGCATCGTCGCTGATTTTGAATTCGGCAAAGTCACATTCCACTCTTTGCTGAAAAATGTGGACGAAGCACTCAAGATCCAATACAGATTGAAGTTTAGTTATGGAGAATCATCGAGAACAAAAATTGAGTAGAAGAAGAGCAATTTGTTTTAAGCCACCCGCTTCAGCTGAGATAGAAGAAGACAAATAGCTAATCGACCCAAGGTAAATTTGGTCGGAGCCAAGAGGAAGAGAGGGATGAGATATGTTTGGAATTGGACATGGATGATTTCATTTGTAATCCTCTGCATCTAATGAATTCTTCTACAAATTTGGATTTAGCTTTTGTCTTCTTAGGATTATTAGATTCAAGAGAAAGTTTGGGATTGGGCTTGGGAATGCGAAGAGGAGAATTAGCGAGAAAGAGACAGATTTTGGTTTCAAAGAGAAAGGCTGATGTGGTTAATTAAAAAGCTGACTATGATTAATTAGAATGTTTTCATTGGTTAGAGCTTTTAATTGAAGTGTCAACAGGAAAACTTAAAAAATCCTAGGTGTCAACTCCTGGAGCAACACAAGGGATGTTAGTGTGTTGATTCTGCCGGTTTGTTTTTGTTCAACTGATATTTTTGTAGTTTTGGACATTTGTTTATTCGGCCAAAGCTTATGCTATGAATGATGAATTCTCAAGAGTTCTAAGCCAACAGCTCGAGAATTACTCGAATGAATCTAATGCAGATGAGTTCGCCCTAATTTTTTCTCCCAGGCACGCTTCCCAAGTCCGCCTCCTCCTTCTCCGACGTTTGCTCTGCTCCGATTTCGGAATGAACTTCCTTCACCGGCGGTTCCTTTCCTGAAATTGGAGCGCGGCTTCCTCTTTCCCGGGCTCTGCTTTGGCGTCCGATGAATTTGGCTCTCTTTCCGCCGGCGCTTTCTTCATCGGCGAGACTCTTTTGGTTCCTGTTACTTCTCGGTTGTGCTTCTTCTCCGGTGACAGAATTGACGGGATTTGCAGAGTTCTCGAGGACGGATCTCTCGCCTCTCTTCTTCAACTTACCGGAGCAGTACGCTGAGCCCTTCTCACTCAGAGTGAGCATCTTTACGGCGATGCCGAAACCTCCACCAAAACCTCCGGATCTACAGATTTGCCTTCGACCCTTGGTTCTTTACCCTTCACACTCATCTCAGCTGTCATCCTTCTTTATCTCCGTCACTCTCCCAGATCTATCGTTCCTATCCACCATCTCCTTAAGCTTTGGCCAATGGAAGCTTCTCGTCCTACTCCTCGCCGGTGAAGGGACATCGGGATCTTGGATTCCCGGTTGCGTAAATTTGGACATCTTGGTCCGGCGTTGTAAAATTTTGGGATTGAAGCATGGTTTCTTCGGAGGGAGCTCTCTCTCGAAGCTATTTCTTTCAGTCCGCCATCGTTTGGCTCCACTGCGTGATTCAATTTCAGTTCCGCCGGCTTCATTTCCGGCGACTTATCAGAAGTTTAAGCTTATTCCCTTGGCGTACCCTCGCAGCTCCGTCCATGTGACGTGTTTTGTCTTTGGTGCTTCGTCGAGACTTTGCCATCGTTTGGCTCCACCGCGTGCTCCACTTTCAGTCCCGCCGGTATCATCTCCGGCGACTTATCAGAAGTCTAAGCTTCCTTCCTTGGCGTACCCTCCGAGCAGTTCCGTCCGGGAGACGTGTATTGTCTCATGTTCTGGTGCTTCGTCGAGAATTTTCATCACCACACCAGCTCCATCATTGGATACATCTTTAGGCGTGTGGCTTTGTGAACCTTCCTCTGTCGTAACAGAGAGAACTTCCTCCCTATGGGAGAGATCACGTATTCCATTTTCCTCCTTAGAGGAGAGAATCTTACCTCCATCGAGCTCTCTATCAAGTATGGAGTTGCTTCCCTCGAGTTCATTCCGAGGTATGTTATCCAATTTCTTCACCGACTTGTTTTCCTATGTAGCTCCTTCTACGGAGTCAGAAGAAGCAACCGTTTTCGTCTCGACGATTTTCGGAGGTGAAACTTGGTTTTCAACGTCATCTTTAAAAATAACTAAATTTACGAACTTCGCATTGCCATGTTTGTTCCACCGACGCATCTGAGCCTTGCTTTGGATCTGTTGTCTTCTTCCTTTGATAGGAACCTCTATGCTTTAATTTCTAGATGCTCATGTTTATTTGCTTTAATCAAAAGAGGATGTCATATTCCCTCTTGTTGTAGTTTCAAGGTTTAATCTAATGAAGAAATGTTTGAACAAAAAAAAAAAATCTAATGACAGATAGGATCAATCGAACTAAGGGTGAAATTAATCAGGTTTATGATAAGATTAAGCCAAAGTCACATGTGTTACAAACTTACAAACACTACTTATCAAAAAGATCATTCCCTTAAACCTTAATTAGACACAAACCACAACTAATTTTGTCCAAAAATATCATCATCCACTTAAGTACTAAGTCAACTCCTAAGAGCATTAACATCATCACCAAAATGCTTGCAATTGCTTTCTTGTTCTCATGCTCATCCATCGTTTGCAGTTTCTGCAAACTTACCCATAAACCTAAACTTCTTGACGTTAAGTCTTCCTTCCTGGGAGCATAACCCATAAACCTTACCCTATGGTATTACAAACATAAGTAACACTTTCCATATAATTTCAACAAAAACGATAACGTACTCTCTCAGTCTTTACACAGAACATAGAGTGTTTCAAACTGTAAACAGAACACAATTTGAACATATAAAAGTTCAGAAAAGTCACTGTACTTGTAACATTCGTTTGCATTCAGTTTTGATTTTTTGGATTAATTTCGGTTTTGTTTTAGAGTTTATCTTGAAAGTCCCAGCCCCAGGTGGAATACATTTATCACACAAACAAAGAAGAGTTTAGGCAATTAACATCTTCTTAATCCGGGTCTTAAGAGATTATGGGCTTAGGCCCATTAGGTTTTTGATGAAATAATGAAACGAAAATTTCTCAACTGTTTTTTTGCTTTATCTGGCAAATTAACGTCCGGAGACGGAAGACAGTAACTCTTGTTTTGTTCTCCGTCAGACAGTGACTTTCAAATTTCACAAAATTCGAAGTTTGAGTTAACCAAAAAATTAAAGCCACAACAAAGTCTCAGAACAAAACAAAAAGAACAAAAAAAAAGGAAACAGAAGAAAGAAAAGAAAAAAAAAAGAACCGTTTCTTGCTTCATCTTCTTCGTCTCGTCCTCTTCTTCTTCTTCTCTTCCGTGACGAAGGTCAAAATCAAAACAAAAACAAAAAAACCCCAAATCCAAATTCCACCGCCAACTCAAAACCACCAAAAAATGGTGAAGCTTCACTAATTTCACGAATCACGACTTGAAAAGATCTATCTCCTCGTCGTAATCGCCGCCGGCTTATGCTGTTTTTCCGATCGCTATCTCCTCTCCGGTGCGTTTCCGGTGACCGGATATCTCTCCCAACACGATTCGATCATCATTACTAATGAAGAGTAGCCTCGTCAAGGTCAATATCACCAACAACGGAGATAACCAGACGAAAACCGGCACCAATGGCCGCTTTCTGCCTAATTCGCTAAAATTCATCTCCACTTGCATCAGAACCGCTTCCTCCGGCGTCCGTTCAGCTACCGCCTCCGTCGCCTCTTCCCTCTCCGCCGATTCTCACGAGCTTAAGGATCAGGTTCGTCTCCGATTCCTGATTTCTCGATTTTGGGATCTCTCGATTTCACCCCTAAATTGAAAAATCCGATCCCTTCTCTTCCAATTCGGTTATGATCAGATTCGAAACATTATAGTTTGACCTCTACGATTGAAGAAACTGGGCGTTTGGTTTTCGATTTTGATTGTGATCACTGATGCTTGAAAACTCTGTTTTTGATCAAAACCAGGTCTTGTGGTCATCGTTCGATAGACTACACACAAGCGAATCTACATTCAAGAACGTTCTCCTGCTAGGTTACACAAACGGGTTTCAAGTTCTCGACATCGACGACGCAAGTGACGTCAGCGAGCTCGTGTCAAGGCGTGATGATAATCCGGTTACGTTTGTACAGATGCAGCCAGTACCTGCCAAATCCCAAGGAATCGAAGGCTTTAGATCATCGCATCCGATGCTCTTAGCAGTCGCTGACGAAGCTAAAGGCTCAGTATCAAGAAACGGTTATGAATCTGATGATCCTCTTGTCACACTCTCTCCCACGGTTGTCCGGTTCTACTCGCTCCGGTCTCACAACTACGTTCACGTTCTGAGATTCCGGTCTACCGTCTACATGGTTCGATGCAGTCCAAGGATTGTAGCGGTTGGTCTCGGTTCGCAGATTTACTGCTTCGACGCGTTAACGCTCGAGAACAAATTCAGCGTACTCTCCTATCCGGTTCCTCAGCTCGGGATAACCGGGGTTAACATCGGGTACGGTCCGATGGCGGTTGGACCGAGATGGTTAGCTTACGCTTCCAACAGCCCGTTGTCTTCCGGTATAGGTCGTCTCAGCCCTCAGAACGTTAGTCCGTCGACGTCGCCGAGCAACGGTAACCTCATGGCTCGGTACGCTATGGAGTCTAGTAAGCATCTCGCTGCTGGTTTGCTCAATTTGGGTGACAAAGGTTTCAAGACTTTATCTAAATACTGTCAAGACGGCTCCGGCTCGTCCCTTTCGTCAAGTCCTGGCTGGAAAGTCGGCGCGGCGGGGTCTTCGCCGGAGTCGGATGTTGCTGGAATGGTTATTGTCAAGGACTTTGAGTCGAGAGGTGTGATAGCACAGTTCAGGGCTCACACGAGTCCGATCTCTGCGCTCTGTTTTGACCCAAGCGGGACTCTTTTAGTAACGGCGTCAATCTACGGCAACAATATTAACGTTTTCCGTATCATGCCGTCACCTGCAAAGAATGATTGGAGCTCCTCCTCTCATGTGCCTCTGTACAAACTTCACCGTGGGATGACGTCAGCTGTGATACAAGATATTTGCTTTAGTAGCTACAGCCAGTGGATTGCGATTGTTTCGTCTAAAGGCACTTGCCATATTTACGTTCTCTCTCCGTTCGGCGGAGAGAATGTTCTTGAGATTCGGAGTTCTCATACGGCGGTGGTTGCTCCGACACTGTCTCTCCCGTGGTGGTCGACTCCGTCGTTCACCACCGCCCATTTCTTGGCTCCGCCGCCACCAGCGTCTGTGACTCTCTCTGTGGTTAGCAGGATCAAATGCAACAACTTCTTCCACGCGGCGAGCTCCGTCGTCGGAAAACCGTCTTTCCCTTCCGGCTGCCTCGCCGCTGTCTTCCATCAGTCCGTGCCGCGGCAGCAGACGTCAGCATCTCCTCCTGCTTTGGACTACTTGCTGGTTTACACTCCGTCTGGTCATGTGGTTCAGTACAAACTCGTTCAATCTCTTGGAGGAGACAATTCTGAGAGCAATTCAAGAACCGGAGAGGAGGAGCTGAGAGTGAGAGTCGAACCGGTTCAATGCTGGGACGTCTGCAGAAGAACAAACTGGCCGGAGAGAGAGGAGAACATTACCGGGCTTACGTTCGGCGGACGGAACATCGGAGAGGAGGAGGACGATACTTGTTCCGATAGTGGAGATCTAGCGAAGCCTCACCATGTTTATCTTGCTAATGCAGAGGTTCTGATAAACTCTGGAAGGAAACCAATCTGGCAGAACTCAGAGATATCTTTCTTCCCGATGTTTACACCGGAGACTGACGGCGGCAACGGCGACGGCGGGGAGATGGAGATTGAGAAAGTGGAAGCAAATGAGGTTGATATTAGGCGGAAGGATTTGCTTCCTGTGTTTGATAACTTCCACAGTGTGTATTCTACTATGCGCAATAGGTAAAGTTTTTTAACCTAACTTCTTCATTACGTTTTTAAAATTTGCGTTTTGTGGATGATTCTGTTTTTTCTTGCAGAGGATTTACTGGAGAGAGAGATTCAAATTCGTCTTCTGAACACGGACAAGTTCAAGAAAACCATCTTCCATTCAAACAACCTGTGGTTTCAATTTCTTCTTCTGCTGTGGAAGACGATAAGAACGCCTCCCTGCCCGCGGAAACAACTATGGAAAACAGCAGCGGGACAAGCGGAGATTCGAATGTGAGTTCTAACCGTTCTGATATGAGCATGATGATGAATGCAGCGGACGAAGGTGAGGGAGTCATTGATGGCTCTCCAGATTTTGAGCAGTTTTTCAAAGAAACTGCTACAGAGGAAGCAGAGGAGGATAATGCTCCAGCTGATGATCAAGGGAAACTAAATGATGATCATAATGATAATGATGATGATGATGATGATGATGACATGCTTGGTGGTGTTTTCGCTTTCTCTGAAGAAGGTAAACAAAAATTCTTTGAAGTTAACATTGTGAAGTCTTTGTTTCTTTAAGTAATGAACATTTTAATATGGATATTGTTAATTGCAGGTTGAGTTTAGTTAAATTATGGCCAAGCTCCAAGGTCACTTACTAATCCCTTTTGCTGCAACTTACAATCCGATGAAGGATTTTAATTACCTTGAAAAGGAAAAGATTAAAAATCAAATTCCCTTTTATCATCTGTTTCTGTAAATACTTGTATAATCAACAGTCTCTCGATTTGCATGGACTGTTTTTCTTTGGTTCTTTTGTATTTTTCTTTCACGTATAACTCTATTCATTTATCGGAAAAAGGAAAAAAAAATGGGCAAAACAGAAGAATATAATTAAATTTATTTCGTTTGGGTTTTACTACTTCAGTTAAACCTTGACAGTAAATAGTTTACTCATACAGAAACTTTTTTTGGTTCTTTCAATTTGATCAGATTTTCAGGTCTTTGCCAAACCTTCTTCCACCTTTCGAATGAATATGTGCCTTCAACTTTTGTCTCCAATACTTGAAAAATTTCTTCTATTTTTTAACTTTAAATTGAACCTCTATTTTCTCTATGAATATGGACCAAACTTTTTTCTCAAATGTTACTTGTATTTGAATATGGACCAGACAATATGGACTAAACCGGTTTTTGCTTCGGTTTTGGTTCGATTTTTGTATTTCCACGGTTATTTAAAAAGATTACTTGAACAAAGACTTGTGACGCAAGCCACCTTCCGAGACTTTTCAAGAAAAAGGCAGAGAACGAGATGGGAGCAAAGTAAAAAAATGAGAAGCTTAAGACGAACTTAACATCCCTAAAGGAAACTAGGATTCCACATTTAGGAAATACCTAAACAGTTCCATGTTCTCTAGTGATATCTCACTTTGGATAAACATCCTCTTAAAATATTGTCATCAAACGAAGGATAAGTTTTCACATCCACAAGATTTCAGAATTTAGCTCTGATATTACCGAAATTACAAAACTTCCCAATATTGTCTGGAGAATTAGCAAATGCTTAATTTCTCTTCCTCTTCTTCTGCATCTCTTTGAATCTTTTGATCTCCGACAATGTCTTCTCCATCACCAAAAGTCTAGCACTTAAAGAAGCATACATGGCATCGAAACTAGCTTTCTTCCTCTCCAAGGAAAGCTCATCAAGCTTTGTCTTCAACCAGTCTAGCTTGAAACCCGCTGTTTCCGTTAGCTTCACCAACTCGCTCCCAGCGTTGCTTAGCTCAGTGTCGGTGATGCTTTGCTGAGGCTTGTTCAGTGTCTCCATGAGACCGAGGAGTTGATTCATGTAAGCTGTCTTCACCAATTGGTCTTTTGGTTTGAAACTCGCTGCAACGTCCGGATGTTTCACGAATAGGTTACTCACTGTAACAACCTGCCACCGAGAGAAAGATGAAAATTAGGGTTAACAAAAGCAAAACAAGAAGAAGAAGAAAGGCAACAGGAATCGATCATACCTGAGAATAAGGAACTTGGAAACCATAGAGATCTAAGGTCTCATTACCAGTGACATCTTCTTCATCAACAACTTCAAGTACTTCTACTTCCACTTTAACAATGAGTTTGTTCTTCTCGAGAAACCCTTTTTCTTGAAGTATTTTAAGAGGTGCGGCCTCTGCCCAACCCCATTCTGAGAACTGATTGCAGAACAAGTGGCTTGGCACATCTTTAAGAGAAAAGCTTTTCTTGATCAATCATATATATATGAGCATGTATATATAAGTATATCTGATCAGTAAATTACCACATGTTATTCTGTAGACTTTTTCCCCTGAATGATTCAATAGAGCAAAGGAGTAACTAGCTCGCCTCTTCCATCCAAGTCGCAATGATTCAAGATTCGGAACGCAGAGATACAGAGACAAGTGATCATCAACATTGTCTCCTTTGGGATAAACCTCAACAAACCTAAAATAAAGAAAAAACAAAAGGAAACAGATTAACTAAACGTTTTTGTGCACCTAATAACAGAGATTACGAAATCAAAAACATAAATGATATGTTCCTTTACCATTCGCAGCCGCCACTTGAGAATGTTGGTGATTGTATCACAGCTTCCTTCTCGGAAAAGTTATCTATCTCAAACATGAAACTTGACTGCTTTTGATCCTCCATGTTTCTGCAAAATAATATTCTTCTCTTACGTTTTGTAACTTGGGAGCAATAGACTGACTATAAATTTCTCACAAACTAGTCAATTAAATTGCAAACACACATCAATTGCAATAAACAGACATTTTTTCACAAAACTGTAACACCAATATAACTAAACTAATTTTTCACCCATCAATTGCCATAATTATCCACAGAACTGTAACACCGATATAATTAACTCACTAATCTGACAAACAAAACCCATCTGCCATGGAAGAAAAAATACATGAAGTAATTTAGTCTAATAAGCTATATAGCAAACATAAGCAAAGTGTTATTATTGATAAGGAAATAAAGAAGGGTAATGGACTTTAGGTAATGGTATCAACTGATGTTTATTCTCCAAACTAATGTTTATTTCTTAGCAGAAGTCCACGAGAATTCAGGATTTTTCACTATTTCATTTCTAAGAGGAATTTCGACAAACAATTGCAAGAAATATTAACAGTTCCAGTGAATGCAAATAAAGTAATATTTTGAAATCCTCTACAAAGTGAACGAAGAACCAAAAATCAACAACACAAAATAGAAAACTACACAAAAGTGAGATAAGCGACTATAATTTCTCAAAAACTAGTCAATTAAATTGTAAACATCCATCAATTGCCAAAAAAAGTTTTTTTTTCACAAAACTGTAATACCAATATAATGGAAAACTCACTAATCTGACAAACAAAACCCATCTGCCATGGAAAAAAAATACATGAAGTAATGGTACTACTAACAACTGACTAGTCAAACTAATTCGCCAAACTAATATTAACAACTGACTAGTCAAACTAATTCGCCAAACTAATATTAACATGCATGTTTATTTCTTTCGAGAAATCAGGTTTTTTCACTAGTTCATTTCTAAGGAATTTCAACCAACAATTGCAAGAAATATATACAGTTCCAGTGAATGCAAAGAAAATAATCTTTTGAAATCCTCTACAAAGTGAACGAAGAAACAAAATTCAACAAAACAAAAAGAAAACTACACAAAAGTGAGAGCAATCAAACACGAAACTGATTCATGTTACAGTCTACAAAGCTTGTCGAAAGATATACAAAAATCGGAAGTTTTTTTTTTTCTAAGTAACAAAAGAATAGAGGAGATCTGAACAAAATAAACAAATGGCTCACCAAGGAGATCCGGAAAAAGGACAAGATGGTACAAATGAACAAAATCGAAATCCAAAAACAGTAAGAAAACATGAGCGCGAAACCCAGAAAGAACGACTCACCAAGGAACTGAACAGAGATGCCAAAATCCACCACCAACCTCCGAAATTTGATAGAAGGCAAGGAGGAATTGAGTAAACAAAGATTCAGGGTTTCTGGAATAGCAGAAAGAGAGAGGAAACTGAAAGGGTTTGAGAGAGAGGAAACTTGAAGGGTTTTCTTACTTTGAACTTCCCAATGACAGTAAATGATAAAATAAAGATCACAAAAGCATTTTCATATTAAAAGTTGGAAAATCTGGTTTTCGTTGGACTTCGTGAGGCGAAAAGGCATTACGAGCCACTCGGACAATCCACTTGTAAAGCTTGGTTTAAATTGAAGAATAAAAATTAAATTAAACAAAAGCAATTGAAATGAAATTGGATTATACTTAAGAAGTTTGAAACTTTGAATTAAATTGAAACCCAAATCAATATTATATTATGCTAAACAAATACTATAAACAGTGTCCACCCAATTTTGAAAAGTTAATGTCAAAATCAAAGTTATAGCTGGTTTTTGAGATTTAAGTTTTTGGAGCCAAACCTTTTTTAAAAAGGCGTACAGTACTTTTGTGTTTACGAGCCAAGTTTTTGGAATGCCCCAAATTCCACTTGAGCATCCAAATCGGGATCAATACCATTTTTGGATTTTAGTTTATGATTTTAGTTTTTGGTTTTTGGTTTTTAGATTTAGATTTTGCTGTAGATTTAGTTTTTTCGTCTATATTTTTGTTTTTTCATAAAAATAAATCTATGTATTTATAAAATAATAGTTTTTGTTTTTCTTAATCTACAATTATACTTTTAAAAATGTTAGTTACTTTTTCCAGTTTTCATTTTTGTTTTAACAATTCCTAAACAGATAAAAAGGGAAGCACAAAAAAATCAGCGTGTAATTCCAAAAATAACAAACATCTTTGATGTTAATGATTTGAACACAAATTTACAGTGCAAAGATATATAAAAGATCATGAGATAAGGATAGACCACAAATTTACACTTTTTGGTCTATCACCACAAAAACTCAAAATTACTCATCATACATATATTGACCCCGACAAAACTTTATTTTGTTAACACAAATTATATAATTTGTATTATCTAAATTCATAAAATTATATGATAACACAAGTATTGAAAATAATTGTTCTAATTCTTTTGATCTCTTGCAAAAGGGCACAAAGATTTCATGCATTGGTGGAGAACGGTGATCAAAGGAGGAGATTTAAGAGACTCCTTCATGAAGGAGAGTGGAAGACTATAACGGGTTTCTCAGTTGTTATGGTTGATACAGAGATTCGTTTGACGAAAGAGAGGAAAAAGATTGCTCTCACATCAGATTTGAATCTGCTGGATTTAATCCCATTTGAAGATGTTAAGGACGGATTTGTTCATGATGGGACTTCTAGAGGTTATTTTCGTTTTGATTCTTATTTTTGACTACCATATAAATAAATAAAAATAATAATTGTCATGTTATTTTAAGACTTTCTAGGCATAATATTCAGCGTTGAAGACCTGATGCTCACCGTCGATCACTCTATTTCTAGGAACACATGGAATGCTAAGACTACCAGTAAGATTGATTGTGTGCTTTAGGGAAACAAGTAAGTATATTCCACAATAAACATAAAGTTTTATAATTTATTATGTAAGGAGAAGCAAAAGAAATGGATGTAGCCGAGAGTGACGACGGTGGAAGCGATTTCAAGAAGTGATCGAATCATGGATGGATTGTTTGGAGGACTAGTTTTTGACAATACTATTCAGAGAAGTTAGAAGGTGTTTTCAATTATCTACTTCTTTTATCTATTTATATGCAATTTAACTATGAGAACTTCGGGTTTTACTTTTAATTTTAAGTTTATGAACAATCTATCTATCTATCTTTGACAATATAACTTTTACCCAACAATTTAATGATATCGAATCCATTTAGGACAGTTCTAAATCTATAACTCGGAAACTAATCAGGCTAAAATGTTAAACAAAACTATAAATCTAAGCAAAAGATACGATATTAGTATAGAAATCTCAAACCTGAACGAGCTTCCACAAATGCAATTCGATTTCCAGTTGAGGAGTAGAAATCTTCTAATTGCTTCACCTTTTAGTAGTTGTTATACAAAGTTCTGAATCAAAGATGATCGACTTGAAATGGAAGTGGAGAGACAGGATCGATCGATCAAAAGACCACAATCAAAAATTCGATTTAGGGTTCGTTGTGCTTTCTGTTTTCCAGTTTTTTATTGTTGTGGTTAAAAAAATATATAGAACACAAGTTCGGACAAAACTTGTCTCATGAAGACAATAATCTCTTATCAGCAGTCCATTGTTTTATTTGCTATGGCCCAATTACCCCAAATATTATACATAGCCCAAAAATTAATTAACATATACATATTTATTTTATCTCATACATAATCAAATAATATTAATTCATTAAAATATATCACACACATACTATTATTTACACAATTATAATGTGAATAATTATTTTTTTTAGAAAATCAAAAACTACAAACATCAAGATCTGGTTGCTTTATATAAAGAACAACAGCATTTAAATAATTGTTAATTAGTAAAAAGAAAATATATTTGCATAAAATATAATGGAAGAAAATAACCAACAGCAATACTCCCTCCGTTTCAAATTAGTTGTCGTTTTGGCAAAATGTATCTGCAAATATTTGGACGTATCTGCAATGCAAAACACGTCCAGATACGTCCAAATATTTGCAGATACATTTTGCCAAAACGACAACTAATTTGAAACGGAGGGAGTATCTTTTAGAAAACCCTGAAATTGTGGTTTTGGTTTCTGTTTAGAAAATGAATAAAACTGTTAAAAACTAGTTTCTCTATATCTTATACTCCCTCTGTTTCAAATTAGTTGTCGTTTTGGCAAAATGTATCTGCAAATATTTGGACGTATCTGGACGTGTTTTGCATAGATACATCCAAATAATTGCAGATACATTTTGCCAAAACGACAACTAATTTGAAACGGAGGGAGTATATAATTAGGAGTTGCTCTCTCCATCTAGAGTGTCCACATCAGCACAAAAACAATAAATTATATTTACAATATTTATTAAATACTTGTCTTTTCATATTTCTTTACATATATTCCTATTTTAAAAATAAATAAAACTAAAAAAATACACAAATACATTAATTAATTAAAATAAAGTATGTGATAACTTGGTGTTAAAATTTAAAGAAACATTTGTAATATAAAATGGAGATGAAATAAAGAAATATGCAACATAAAATAGTATTTTTCCTATTTAAAAAGTTTATAATGTGTTTACAAGTTCAAAAATATTGAATATAATTTTTTGATTAATATAGTAGAAAGCTCATGAAAAAATTAGAGTTAGAATTTTTATAGATGATTTCTCCTATTTTTTAAATGTTATAATGTGTTTACAAGTTAAAAAAAATTAGAATATAATTTAGTTTATATAGTAGAAGTTAATGAGAAATTATATTTAGAGTTCTTTTTAAAAACCCAAATAAAACATGAAAATTTTAAGGATTGTGACATGTTTGTTTCAAAAATACAATCTATATTTACAAAACTAACATTATAGAAATAATCAATGGTCATTATGCTCAATGCTACCACAACAAAATATATGTAAACAGTAATACATCGAATGCAAACGATTCTACGAAAAGCTCGAGATGAAGTGTAGAGTTAACATTCTTATATAAAAATAAAAATAAAACAAATTGATCATATGCTTAGTATGAGTGATTGAGTTAGCTCAACATATAATTAGAGATTAACACAAAATTATTATTATTCAAATCAACAAAGATAAATAAAACCATAAAAATAATTATCACAAACAACCCCGCGCGTGCGCGGGCTTCAGTCCCTAGTATTAGAAAATTAGCGAGTGTTTGTCTTTAATCATACTTTAGTTGTCTTTAAATATACCCAAAGCCCATAAAATCACTCAAATTTAAATCACCATTTTTATTTTAAAGTAAAAGTTTCTTAAGTTCTCTCTTCAGAATAAGTCTAAACTCAAAAGTTTTAAAAGTTGTTTAATTTTAAAGCAACCCCTTAGTTTGATTTGAACCAAAACAAATATGGTTTAAATAGAAAACAAAAAATAAACTAGAAACAAATCGTAATTAGAGCTTCGTAATGGTTTTTGGTTAGATAAAAACAAAAATTCGAAAAGTCAATAAAATAAAAACCAGTAAACATTTAACCGATTAACTTAGTAAAGCTCAAAAAATAAAATCCACCCCATATTGCATGCGGATAAAAAATTATTTCATTGCAACCTAGAACTTCATGTTACGAAAGGGTAGAGAAAAACCATTAAGATGTTAGGTCTTCATAACAATGAACTAAACTTAAGAGTAGATTATATAACTAAAATAAAAAACAGTTTAAACATTCTTTGAATCAATAATAATACAACTCAAAGAAAGTCCTCGAACGAGAAAGGTTTATTGGCGTCTGCAACTTCTGCTTTCTCCTTCTCCAAAAGAGCTTTCATGTCTTCGCATTCCATTTCCGGAAGACGACCCTTGCCTGTCTTCACTCTATTCTTCTTTTCCATCAGTTGCTTAATCTTCTTCTCCAACCAATCTACTTTAAATCCTCCCTCTACGACGTAAGAAACAGCCAAAGAAGCATCATTCATGTCTTTTCGTCGGTCAGATCTAGAGGTGGCAAACACAACATCTTGATAACTAAAAGGAGGAGGTTAATGTATTTTGTCCTCAAATGCTCACTCTGTGTAACGACTCCAGATGCAATGTCTGGGTGATTCTCAAATATGCGCTTCACAGATTCCACCTGCAAAGAAAAGATGAAACTCAAGTGGGTCTTACTGTCTTACACAATAATGTAAGTGTTTATGATACAAATTCAGAAGTTTCTTACCTGTGAAGAAGGAACTAGAAACCCATTGACTTCAAAGCTTTCATTGTCTTGTTGAGTCTTGTTGAGTAAATCACAAGAAACCACATTTTCTTGCATTATCTTTTCCGAAGGTTGAGCTTCTTCAGATTCAGCTGATGTACCAATATTTAGAAGAACATCTATATAGTCAAATTCATGTGGATCCCAAATTTACCATGTACCCAAAATCGTTGTCATGAAGATCACTGGATTGCAAAAAGTTAATGTTGTTGTTATCTTCTTCACTCCCCATTGAAGACTACAAGAGAAACAAAACAAAATAAAATCAATGAAAACACACTTTCGAGTAACAAAACCAGTACTAAACAACAACTGATCCTCCATATTACCGCAAAATACTATAATTAATTTCTAACAAACTAGTCATTTAAATTGTAAACATCCATCAATCGCAATAAACAGAAATTTATTCACAAAACTGTAACACTAATATAATTGAAAAACTCACTAATCTGACAAACAAAACCCATCTGCCAATGAAGAGAAAGTAATTTAGTCTAATCAGCAGCCATAGAACAAATATAAGCAAAGTGTAATTATTAATAAGAAAATAAAGAAGAGAGTTTATTTATATTGCACTTTATGTAATGGTCAAAAGACTCACAACTGATTAATCAAACTGCTACTTCTCCAAACTAATTAGACATCCATGTTAATTTCTTAGCAGAAGTCCACGAGATTCAGGTTTTTTCACTATTTTATTAGAAATCTCAACAAACAATTGCAAGAAATAATCACAGTTCCGTTCAATGCAAAGATAACGATTTTTTGAAATCCTCTACAAAGTGAACGAAGAAAAAAAAATCAACAAAACAAAAAAAAAGAATAATACACAAAAGTGTAAAAAATCAAACACATTGATTTATGTTTAAGTCTACAAAGCTTGTCGAAAGAAATACAAAAATCACAATACTGTAACACCAATTAATATTATTGAAAACTCACTAATCTGACAAACAAAACCCATCTTTCTTTTGACGGCAAACAAAACCCATCTACCATGGAGAAAATATAAGCAACGTGTAATTATGGATAAGGAAATAAAGAAGAGAATCGATTCATAATGGACTTTAGGTAGTGGTACTAACAACTGATTAGTCAAACTACTACTTCTCCAAACAAATATTAACATGCATGTTTATTTCTTCTGAGAAATCAGGTTTTTTCACTAGTTAATTTCTAAGAGAAATTTCAACAAACAATTCCAGGAAATATATACAGTTCCAGTGAATGCAAAGAAAATAATATTTTGAAATCCTCTACAAAGTGAACGAAGAAACAAAAATCAACAAAACAAAAAGAAAACTTCACAAAATTGATTTATGTTTCAGTCTACAATTAAAGCTTGTCGAAAGATATACAAAAATCCGAAGTTTTTTTTTTTTAAGTAACAAAAGAATAGAAGAGATCCAGAAAAAGGAGAAGATGGTACAAATGAACAAGATCGAAATCCAAAAACAGTAAGAAAACGTGAGCTAAACCCAGAAAGAACGACTCACCAAGGAACTGAACAGAGATGCCAAAATCCACCAATCTCCGAAATTTGATAGATGGCAAGGAGGAACTGAGTAGACAAAGATTTAGGGTTTCAAGAAAAGCAGAAAGAGAGAGGAAACTGAAAGGGTTTTAGAGAGAGGAAACTAAAAGAGTTCTCTTTCTTTGAACTTCCCAATGACAGTAAATGATAGTAAAATAAAGATAACAAAAGCATTTTCATATTAAAAGGCTTTTCGTTGCAAAATCTGGTTTATCGAAGGTTCGTGAGGCGAAAAGGCGAAAAGCATTTTCATACGAGCCACTCGGTTCTCGGACGTCTCCTTCCCAGTTACATCTCCTTCATCAACAACTTCAAGTACTTTTCACGAAACTGTAACTCCAATAAACATCTTCAAGTTTTCATCTTCAAGGAGAATAACACATGTGAAATTAATATAGCAGTAAGTACACTTACTAACAACCTGTTATAAAATTGATATAAATGCATTTTGGGAAAAACGTAAGACTGTAAACTTCATAATAAATTGTCACTCTTTATATAAATAATGTTAAATTAAATTAACCTAAATTAATGTGCGACTCTTCGAGTTTATAAATTCACTTAACCTAAAAGGGAGAGGAGACGGCGACAGGAAAAGAGAAAAGAATCTTTCAAACCTAAAACTTTGTCTCTCTCTCTCTCTTCTACTTCTGTCCGATGGCACCGATTCAGGCGGAGAAGATCGAGAAACCTCTTGTAAGCTCTTCCAGCGAAGAGGAAGAGTCATCTAGTTCTTCTGAGTCTTCTGGGGAAGAGTCGTCATCCGACGACGATGGAGAAATGCTCTCCAAGCTCACTCAGAAATCTCTTGCTCCAGTTGCTGCGGAGAAGCCTGAATCCGACTCCGAAATGAGCGGATCTGAATCTGACTCCGACTCCGATGCAGAACCTGCGGAGAAGAAGACGACGAAGCCACTCAACACTGTTCCGACAAAGAAAAATCCAGAGACGCCTGAATCCGACTCCGTGAGCGAGTCTGAATCTGATTCCGACTCCGATGCAGAACCCGTGGAGAAGAAGACGACGACGAAGCCTCTCAACAGTGTTCCGACAAAGACGAAGCCAGTGACTTCGGGATCTGCTGTTGCTCTTCCAGAGAGCTCAACGGCGAAGCGTTCTCTGAAGCAAACAGAGGAAGCGGCTAAGAAGAAGATGAAGATGACGAGCACCGCCGAGCATGTGAAGAAGAAGGCGGCGGCGGCAACGGATGAAAAAGTGAAGAAGAAGATCTCTGGAGACGAAGCAAAGAAGATGTTCCAGAGATTGTTCAGCGAGACGGACGAAGTGGCAATGCTCCAAGGCGTTCTCGACTTCAAATCTACACGAGGAGATCCTTATGAGAAAACGAATGATTTTTGCGTCTACATCAAGCCATTGATTGGTTTCAATGCTACCACCTCACAAATCACTACGAAGCTCCAGAGGAGTAAGAAGAAGTTCTTAAACATGGTGAAGAACTCACTTAAAAAGGGAAAAGCTGAAGACGAGATCACATTCTCCAAGGATGTGGACCAACACTTTTTTGATTTGTCAAGAAAGATTTGGGGAGCTGATGGGATTTTTCCTGCAAATCCAAGGAAGAAGTCACCACCACATGCTTCGCAGTCTCATGTTGTGAACACTCATCTCTCGTCCTCTAGTAGAGAGATTGCCTTGTTCTTCAAGGCAGAGAATCCGAGTGTTGTTAGTTTGGATGAGTCCAGGATAGCTGCGGCTTGGGATTTGGTTGAGGATGGACCGAAGAAGAGAGAAATGGAGGAGAAAATGGAGAAGCTAAAGGCAATGAAGGCGGAGCTGTGTTTGCAGAGGAGTGGACTCGTGGACAGCACTGCAAGGATGGTGTTCAAAGAGAATTAATGCTTCCTCTTGATGTTGTTTCGCTATCTTCTGTGGTTTGTTGTCTTTTTACTCTTTTAGTATTTGCATTTCTGAGACTTCTTTCTTTATTTGTGCTTTTTAAATTGTCGAACTTATCCTGTATAAGCGTTTAGTCAGTGTTTTCTTTATGTCCCTGTGTTGAATGCTTGGTTTGGGTATAAAGACCCTTATGTGGAAGAAAAAAGAACAAAGATTTAGGTCTGAGATCGGAAATGATACAGTGAATTAAAGTTGATAGAACTTTGTTTATAAAACTAATTTGGAAACGGCTTAAAATTAAATAAATAACATAGATGTAAATTTTTATTTATTTTTTCTTTTAAGAAGATTTCTCCTTATTCAAATATAACCTTTTGTTATTGTGATCTAGCTTATGCCTTCAAATTGTGAAAGGAACATATAAGTCGGAGTTCACAAGATGTAGATCGATTTTAGCATTTTTAGTGTTACGTTTGATCCTAACACTAACCTCTAAGGCGGTTAAGAATAACACAATAGTTCTTTGAGCCTTTCGTTGGTTAAGGTGTAATATGATTCGATGGATAAGTTGTGGATCGTTTTTGCTCCTTTCTTTTTTTTTTTTTATGGAAGAAAATATTTACAAGACCAAACTGCTCAAGTAATACTCAAAATATTCAAGCTAAAATATCCTTATTTAGTAATCAAACTTACAGAAAATGTATACAACCTAAATAATGTATTTGTGAATTTGGTTAATAGTATACTCCGACCTCGCTTACACTTGCCATTATCATCCTGCAAACAAAACATAACAAACAAAGAAACAAAACAAAACAAAGATTTGGTTTCACAAATCTTCTCACGAGGATCTCCCCAATATATCTTCATCACTAACTGTAATCTGCTCATGTTTCACAACAGTTGGATCTTGATTTATAAGAAACCAAACACCCACTGTAAAGCAAAAGGGAAACCAAGAAGCTTACAGATTTCTTGATAGCTGCTGTGTTGGCAATGTCAAGGGTTTCAGCATCTGGCTTCACTCCATACTTGTTCATCAGAGCTGAAAGGTGACATGACAAGACCATAGTCAAACAAGAAAACAAATGAATTCCAAACCATAAAATTTTGAAACAATTAAGATGATCAAGAACAATAGGCTTCCTCATGTTCAGAGAAAGTGAAGACAGGATTCATATAACATGATCATTTCAAATGAAATAACATCTTTCGAGTTCTAAACAATCAAATCATACAGAGTCAATTGAAGATTCCGTCAAGAAAAAAAAATGACTGATCTTGTTCAAAGTCAAACGATGCATGATTGAGAAGAGAAAAGGCACTTGGAACAGGGTAATGATCGTCCATGAATCCCACCGCGCAAAGGCAATTTGCTATTGTAAGCGTGAACCTTGTACTCTATATCGAAACAAAGACACGAACCCTAATAATTACCCCAAAATCGAGCATAATTACAAAGAATCACATCCATCGCAATCGCATAGCCCGTAAAGATCTAGAATCGGAAGAGGTGAGAAAACACATCCTAATCACAAAAGTTGGGAAATCGAAAAGCCGATCCGATTCGATTCAGCAGAAATCGAATAAACGCGAGAAAAAAAACTAGCGATCTAAGAGGTAGAAGAAGGAGAAGAACCTTCGTGCTGAACGGATTGGCGCTGGGTTCGGCTGGCGACGGTGCGACCGACAAAGCCAAAGTGAGAGACGTCGGAGGCGTTGGCACTTGAGAGCTGGTCCTTGATCCTCATTCCTCGATCGAGCTCAGAGAGAAGAGAGCTGGTTTTTTTTATTAACGACAAATTATTCTTTTATTCTGCAATTTCTTATTAATTCAATTTCAAACCATCATTATTAATTTTTAAAAATACTGATTTTTAGCATTATTTACCATTAAGTGATATAAAAGATGTTTATTTGTGTCATTTATAGATTATTGATACTAAAAACTAATAATTAGTGTCATTTACAAGTAAATGATGTAACTATTTTTGTTGTGTCATTTTGAACAAATATGCTGTTTAATTTTTAAGTTAACACCATTTGATAAAATGATACAAAATAAAATGACATTAATAAACAGTTTTCTTGTAGTGGAATTATAGGTAGTAAATTTTGTAGTGTTGTTTGTCACCCTATTCCCAAATCATTCTCTTTTTTTTTTTTTTGGTATGAATGTTAAGATTTATACCATTTTCTGAAATACACTGTTGTTGTTAAACAACTTATTACAACAAAATAAAAGAAAGAGAGCAAATTACAACCAGCCAGACAAACAACGAAAAAACACCTCTAGGAGAGAGGCACTCGAACCGCTGCTTGGAGGAATGGAGAGAAGCCTAGCTCGCACGTAGTTGCAGGCTTCTGTACGCACCACCGCTACCGTAGTTAACGAGGTCCAAAGTTCCGAGGAGAACTCACATTCGAAGAAGAGATGGGAATGGGTTTCTATCCCTTGAGAGCAAAGGATGCACTCAGCAGGAACATCAACCCCCACCTTCTTAATCTATCCCTTGTTGGCAAACGTAACAGAACAGCCAGCCAAGTAATAAACGAACATCGTGGGATTTCCTCTTTAAACCATACAACTTTCTCCCATGGAACCGTCGGAGACAGAGTGCGAAGGAAGTTCCAAGTAGATTTGGAAGAGAAGTTTGTGTCAAAGGAACCTGCCGAGTTCCTCCAAAGATAGCGATCTGGTCCTCTGTTTTGAGCAGGAGGATCCATAGTTGTTAACACAATTTGCAGAGTTTCAGCCTCAGTTGATCGGGCAGGTGGGATCCACCATCTCCCATCCTTTGTTAGCCCTTGAGACTGTGGCGTTCAGCGGGATCCGAAGGTTTCGTGGTCCCGATTGTCCCATCACCAAGAGTAACTGTCCCATATCATTCCAGTAGTCAAACCAGAAAGAACCTCTATTCCCATCACCAATTTCACAGCGCAAGAGATCCATCAGATCGTTCTTTAGCTGGAGCATAGAGCGGATGTTCCTAGATATACGATTCGAGTCCTCTGTTAACCAAAAACCCTTCCTTCCGAAAACATGAGCCTTGACCCAAGCGACCCATAAGGAACCTGAGTTTGAGAACAGATTCCAAATTTGTTTCAGTCTAAAAACCTTCTCATACTCCTCCAAGAGTCTGATCCCCAATCCTCCTTCAGCTTTGGGCTTACATACATCTTTCCAAGCGACTCGTGCTCCTCTTGCCGATTCAGTTCTCTTCTTCCAGAGGAACGCCGCACATAGAGAATCAATTTTTGCATAGAACTGTTTGGGCAGAGCAAAGACTGAACTCCAGAAATTAACCATACCATAGATCTCAGATGATATCAATCTTATATTCCCTGCAAAAGACAAGGTCTTAACCGTCCAAGAGTGAAGTTTTCCGGTTATCTTTTCCACGAAAGGTTGAAGTGTTGAGAAAGTTATCCTCTTAGGATTCAGAGGAAGTCCCAGATAGCGAGTCGGGAAAACACCCAATTTGAAACCAGAGATATCGCTCAAAACGGCTTGCTGAATATCGTTGAACCCTCCGAAGAAGATTTCCGGTTTATCCGGAACCCTCTTTGCCACCATTCTAAGCCCATATACTTGCAATCCATGAGATATCATGGATTTAGGATTCCGTACTCATTGATCGTTTTTTTAGCGTTGTTTCATTGTTTGCATAGATTTGAGAGATAATTTATAAATAATGTACTGACTAGCTAAGAGGTAAACATGTTTTGGACCTAAATGCATTTACCTTTTAAAAATATTAGGATGATATTAAGAGAAAAGACAAAATTTTGGAGATACTCATGAAATTAATATGAAAGATTTCCATGCGTAACAAATACTAGAACCATACCCGAATCTCGGGTACACTGTACAAGAAGTCAAATGATAAAGTTATAAGTGACATTCAAGTTGTTATAATATTATACTTTTAGAATCTTGTATTATAAATGATTTTGCATATGAAATAAAATATAACAACATGCATGTACCATAGTATAGTAGGAATTCACCACAAAATAAGAGGCTCGAATAAATTAAAAAATATCAAACTAAATACTCCAGAGTATTTTAATAAGTGAATCTCTATAATACTATTAATTTTTTCTCTAACTAAATACAAAAGTAAAAATGGTTTGATTTTTGATACTACATAGATCCTGTAGGAACTTAATTAACTTTAGTCCTTGTTAAATGGTTTTCTAGCTAAACTTATAAACGCATGCAAGATTAGCTAACAGAAAGCAAGATGATGAGACGAAAACAGTTGAAATCAGACTACTCCTTCTGTGTTCTCGTCCTACTGAAGTGAGCACATCTCATTCTGCAGTTGATAAGTCTGGTATATATTTTTTTGACCCTCTACACTCTGTTTTGTTGGCATCTTGACAATCTCTCAAGATACCTTATCTACGTACGAATATATGGGGCTGTGGGTAATAGAGTCTGGTGCTACACATCATATGTCTCATAATCGAAAACGTTTGGTTTCTATGCAAAGCCTGTTAGTAGCCATTGCCGACTCTGAAATGTAGGAGGCTCCAGCGAAAAAAGTTTATAGATGTATTTTGTCTAAAAAATGAGAAGAAATGTTAAATATACAAATTTAGGGCTATTTATTATAAATAAAATAAAACTAGAGGCTCTATTTTTATTTTTATTTACTAATAAAAAAATTGGGGGCAAAGCCCATGTTTCACATGGCTATGTCCAGGCCTTGTTCGTAGTAGTCTATATCACTTTGGAGGCTAGGATCCATCAGATAGCTCATGATTTTTTTTTTAAGTTTAACTTTTAGAGAAATTGTAAAAAAATCCAATTTTTGAAAATAAACTACATAAGTTTTTTTCATCAGGGCCCAAAATTTCTTTGGACCAAACTTGTTTCTATTGATATTTTTGTTCAGAGTTATGTGAATTTGCGAACTGAATTCACAATTAAAATCAGTGCTGTAGGTTCTCTTCAGCTACATAAACATATTCTCCTCAACAATGTTTTGCTCTTTAACAACTGATTTTGAGAGGACTATTAGAATTTGTTTAATTGAGGGTAGGTATATAATATGTTGGTTTATATATCTCTGGGTTTAAATGGTAATCGGTGAATGTATGCCACCAGTTAGGGCCTCTGTTTTCTGTTTGAACATATCACAAGATGTTAGAATAAATGACAATGTGTTTTAGATAGAAATGTATGAGATGTGTGAGTAATTTGAATAATGATTAAATCGTGTACGAAACACTTTCCTAAAAGAGCATTCGGACCCTATGTAGTCTTGGGTCACACGAAATCCCTCGCATCATAAGATAATCACGTCCACTCTTTGTCTAAACTTAAGATCAAAAAGCAAAAAAATAGAGATCTTGTGTTTGTTTATCTTTGTTGCTTTGTGAATCAGATTTATCTCTCTAGATCTCGTTTTATTGTCTATTTTTGTCTTCGAGACAAAACAGAACTTAAACAGTTCTCATAAAGATTCAATGAACAAACGTTTGCAACCCGTTAGCTTAATGATAGAACCAAATACACCTTTTCGAACATGTTGGAATACTTATGTTCATGTTGTATCATAATACACTTAAATATCCAACATAATGTACATAGACATGTATGTTCGGTTTGGTTTCTTATTGTATTATGTACACTGCAAAGTAATCAATTGTGAATACAAGGAGAATTTTCCATAACAAACTTCTTCTCCATTTTCTCTCGTTCTTAATATTGACATGTAGTACTGGAGCCTTTGATGTTTAGATTCACCAATGATAATATAACGCCTCGACTGTCCATATCAGTAGGCCTCCTCATCCTCTCTCGGCCTATAGATCCCACTACTGTTCGATGGTCGGTGTGCTATTTTTTAGAGGCTCTTAAGACTTGTCTACTGCCTTTGCAATTACCATATGATCTTTCCCCGTCTTTTGTCTTCACTCACACGGTTGCGCAAATCACTTTTCGGAAGGTTATCCATCTTTCCATTGCTCCAACATAAACACACTTAATTCTCGAGTTCTCTCTCAACAGTTGACCAAAAAAATAAGTGCACTTTGGTGACATAGGTAGCCAATCAATTCATTTAAAACTATCCACATATACCACAAATCGAGATCTTACAATTCACCTCCACTCACTGAGCGCAACAGGATCGTGACCCCCATGGTTTGAGCCCATTTAGCTCTACACTCTCATATGGGTTAGACTGATATCAAATTATAACACCTCGACCAGCCCTACTACTGGGCCTCCACGTCCTCTCTTGGCCAGTGGATCCAACCCCTGTCTGACGGTGCTATTTTTGAGAGGCTTTTAAGACTTGTTTACTGTCTTTGCAATCACCATATGATATTTCCCCCTCTTTTTCCTCACTTACACGATTTTGCAAATCACTTTCCAAAAGTTCACCCATCATTTCATTGCTTTAGCATAATCACGTTTAACTCTGGAGATCTCTAGACACTTGACCGAAAATATAAATCCTCTTTAATAACATAGATAACCAAATCAGTTCCGTTAAATCTCTCCACATATACCACAAATCATGATGTTACAAATAATATGGTTACTAATTTAGTTATCACCTTCAGATTCAACATTAATATATTTTATCTCTAATGATTGCATAGCCCATATAAATATGGGAAGTCGGTTTCGCACGAATATGTATTACATAAATATATATAAACTTAAAAGAAAAATTGTAACATCTTGATTTCTGATTTCTGATATACATATATATATATATTGGTGAGATTTAAGAAATTGATTTAATTATATAGGTCACCATAGAATACTTATCTTGTTGGTCAAATGTTTAGAGAGATTTTTAGTGTTAAATGTGCTTATGCTGGAGCTGGACAATGAAAGAATAAGTGATCTTCCTGGAAGTGATTTGCGGAACCGTATGAGTGATGAAGAAACATGGAAAAATATCATGTGGTGAATGCATGAACAATAATAAGTCTTTAAAGATTTTTAAAAATAACGCATCGACTATCAGAAAAGGATGGGCCCACAGGCTAAGAGAAAACGTGAGGCTCACTGGTTAGGACGGTTAATTCAATTTTTGTTTTTTCAAATAATAATATTATTCTAACAAATAGTAATAATAAAAAAATTATGATACATAAATAACCGTTAATAATAATATTAAAAAATTACATGTCTAACTCGAATCATGATAGTTGTGTGAATTTCGGGATGGGACTCCCATTTCCTCCCTCACCCGTCTCAGTTTTGTCGAATTTTTTGAGAATGAGAAGTTGCAATTTCCTATTTGAGAATATTTATTTTATTCTAACTAGTAAAAAAAGGTTAAAGAAAAGGTTACGAGAAAGAAACATATATCCGAATTATCTGTTTAAAAATTTAAAAGTACAATTATACATGTTTTCCTTAATTTTCTGCATTTTTTCAAAATCCTTTCGTCAGTTCCATGCTTTTGAGCTTTCACTTAGCTGCTCGGAAATGTCCGGAAATTCCTTATCCCGGTTATACCGTTCTTGAAACAGCTTTATCTTCTCTTCTTCTTCAGAGTTGTTCATCCCATCCGGACCATTGGGACTGGGATCGTGCGGCAAAAATTCGGCTCTGATGCGGGATATTACATTCTCCCCCTCTTAAAAGAATTTTTCCCCGAATTCTAATCATGAAGCAACTCTCTCTTCTCCATATGGGTATCCATTACGGTTTCCTAAACTCTACTGGTTTATGGGAAGGATCCTAGGTTTGTTTCCATGGGTAAGGCTTCTAAGGATTTCCTAACCGAATATATCAATCACTCAAACACACACTCTCGTATTTTTCTATTATCCCAAAATATTTTCAATTTTCCCGATTTAGTAAAACTTTGGATATATAATTTTCAGTTCCAAACTTCCCATTCTGTTCAGTTTCTGTTATTTTCCATCCCATTATCATAATACTTTGATAATATATCGGTCCTAAAAACCGAAATGCACATAGCTAGTAGATATATTATCGGATATATATTTACGGTATATATATAAGAAATACTTTCGATTGCTCTCCCTTTGCTGTTTTCCCTACCGACCAACTCTCAATCTCCCGGCCCTTGCGTCATCAGAAGAAGCAAAAAAACAAGCTACCCCTGAAGATTGAAATCCACACTTGATTCTCAATTGGTATCAGAATTCCGAGAATTTCTCTCTCTCGATCACTTGATTCTCTCTGATTTCAGGTATGCTTCAAACCCTTCTCGATCCTTTTACGATTTGATCCCAAATTTCAGATTGCTGGAGATTACTAATCCATGTTACCGATCTGATCTGAATCTGTGTAGCATCGGCAATGGGTTATAATTCATTTTTCGTGACCGTTACTTTTATTTCGGATTCTCTGTTACCCATATAGCAAAAATTGATACTTTTCGATTCCAATTTTCTGCCTTTTTTTGTGGGTTCACAAGTTCTGATTGCTTCCTTTGAATAGTAATCATAATTGCTTGTTCTGAGTTTAAAAATTGATACTTTCGGTTCCAGTTGATCTTTGTGATAGTTACTTAAGTCTTAGCGTCGAGGCTTTAAAGCTTAGAATCCGTTAATTTACTTCTTTTGACCTGTTTTTCATTTAATGTTCCTTGGTAGCTCATAATTGAACCTTATTTGCAGCGACTAGGCATTTCAAATCTGCTTGTTGCTTGATAATGGAACTACGAAATGCCAAGGAAGATGAGAATGAGAAAACCCTTGAGGCCTCTGTGATTGGGAATGATGAAGATGCAGGGAAAGATGGGGACTTGGTTGTTGTAGCTGAGGCTGTAGAAACCTCTGGTGAAGATGAGAAGTTTGTGGATGAGAAACCTCCGGAGGAGGCAGCCTCTGTTCTTGCTTCCATTGAGGAAAACAAAACAGAAGATGGGAATGTTGAAGGAGCTTCTGTTCTTGCATCTGTTGAAGCAAGTTCTTCTGGAATGATAAAGCCAAAGAAGAAAGTTGTCAAGAAAGTAAAGAAGATAGTGAAAAAGAGAGTTGTAAAAGGCACTGCTCTTCCGGTGGCTGGTGGGGAGAATGTCACTGTAGAACAAATTGCGGACCCTTCTTCTCTTGGTGCAAGCGGAAAGGAAACAAAGAAGGCTGTAGAGTCTGCTGCAGATTCCCCTCAATGCTCTTCTGTTAAAGAAAAAGATTCAGAACCTTCTCTTGGAGAAGATGATATGGAAGAATTTGCAGAAGCTCCTGCAGGAAACTTGCCGGAAGCTATTGAGGGTTCTGGTAAGAAACAAGCAAGAAAAGTGAAGGCGAAAGCCAAATTGAGTAGTGGTGAAGGAGGCCAACAAATGACAGTTGTTGAACAAAATAAGCAGAACCAGTTAGCTGAGGACAAAACTGGTTTGGTTGAAGGGACGAGACGGAAAAGGAGGAGACAGGGGAAACAGGTTTTAGGTTCAGACAAGAAACAGAAGAAAGAGGTTGTTGTTGTTGCTGCTGTTGATGTAACACAGCGGAGAAGGGAAGAGGGGAAAGAGGAGATGGATGGGAATGTAGCAAAAACTGCTGGACTGATTTTCATGTGCAATGCGAAAACAAGACCGGATTGTTTCCGGTTTAGTGTTATGGGTGTGCAAGAGAAGAGGAAAGATTACGTGATGAGTATCAAGCCAGGGATGAAGCTTTTCCTCTATGACTATGATCTCAAACTCCTCTATGGAGTTTTCCAAGCTTCCTCTGCGGGTGGGATGAAACTTGAGCGGAATGCTTTTGGTGGATCCTTTTCCGCTCAGGTTTGTTAGCTTCAAAAACTAACCATTTACACAACTTGTCTTTGCAAGATGAATCACCAAAATGAGTTTCTTTCTTTCTCACTGAATCAGTTTGATGATATGATGTTTGTTTTTTTCCAGGTGCGGTTTACGGTGGTGAAAGATTGCTTACCGTTGCCAGAGAGCGAATTCAAGAAAGCAATCAAGGAGAACTACAACAACAAGAACAAGTTCAAAACAGAATTGAGTCGTAAGCAGGTAAAAGAATAAAATTTTGTTCTGAAAATTCATATTGCCAAAACCAAAGTTTCATCTCTTTTTGTTGTGTTCTTGAAAGGTATTCAAGCTCACAAAGCTTTTCCGGCCAGCTTCTCTCCCGGCACAACTAACCCACACTCTCCCAGTCCCTGTTCCCAAGAACCACCGTTATGATGCTCCTGGCAGCAGCAGCAGCAGAGCTCACACTCATGAAAGGAGCCGAAACCACGCCCGTGCTGCTTCACCGCCTCCACGGAGAGAAGAGCCGCCGCAAGATTTGTTTCTCAGTGAAAGGGAATACCGAACATACGGCTTGAGAAGAGCAGAACCAATCCAGCATTACCCTGACTCTTCTTACAGCCGAGACCGCCTTCCTTTGGACCATGAAATGCTTCTGAGGCGTGCAGAGATGGAAAGGCAGCAGCATGACCATGACCGGAGAGAAGTTCGTCTTGTTCGTTTGCCTGAAAGAGATTACCACCACCACCACCACCAGTATGAGCCATCACTAGCTTCTTCTTCGGTTGCTATGGACGCATACAGGAGAGACCCGTATTACAGATATGAGTACCGTTCTTCTCCTGAAAGACCACCAAGGACAACATATCTGGCTAATTCTTCAGGGAGAGAAGAGGATGACTTGTATTCCCGTTATGTCACCGCGGATTCATTGGCTGAGTACTACCGATCATCGTCGTCTTCCCGGAGGTTCCCGAGCATGGCTGAGCCTGAGTTGTTTCCGCCGTCGTCGGTTACATCCCGGTATGGTGGTTATTCAGGGTCTTTGCCTTATTCTCACCGCTGATTTTCACTTCCTTCATCTTTTGCCTTGTTTCTGCTTATAACGTATGTTTGGTAGACGGTATGGTTTTACCGAACCGGATATGGTTCTGTAATTTGGTGTATTATTAGTTATTGGTCATTGTACCAACTCGCTTCGGCAAAACAATTTTATCTATTTTCTCATTCTGCTTGCGAGTTTTTTAAAGGGTTAATTTGCCAAATGGCTATATTGGGGCTCATAATTAAGAAAATAGCCATCCAATTTGAATAATAAAGAAACTAACATTCAGCCACCATTTTGGACGAATTTGTCCTCCAACTAGAACGAAATTGGTTCCCTAAAATAGATTCTAGTTTTCATTAGGTTCCATTATATGAGGAGTGTACTATAAATATGGCTACCTAACCTACAAATATAAAACAGCCGAGAGTTAATTTATGCTATTAACTCTGTAATCTATCCAGGACTAATTAAGGGGTTGGGCCTAAATGTTAAGAATATTTACCACATTGAATCCAAAAATATAAACTCTAATAATTAGGAAAAAATAAACTCAAATATAAAATTTAGTTTGTTTTCTAAACTTAAAGATATAAACCCTAAACCCAAACTCTAAACCCTAAACCCAAAAACTAAACCCTAAACTCTAAATGCTAAACCCAAATACAAATATTTACCTTTAAAACTAAATGTTAAATCCTAAATACTAAAATTATAAACCTTTAGAAGAGTTTACCATATGCATATGAACGTGTCCCATGGACGAATTTCTTCACTTTGGAAAATAAGTTTCGTATGGGTTGGGGCTATTTTGGCATCTATACATAAAATACACTATGTATTGTAGCCATTAGATGGAAATGGTTAGATAGTGAATTATAAAGTTTTTGTATGTCATTTTTGCCAATTTCCCTTTTTTAAACCCCTCAAGACAATTTATCATGTTGATCCCTAATAGTTTATTGCGTTTTGAGTTGTTGAAGATGAATCTTTGCATCAAAAGAAGTTGAACCAAGGGTAACAAGAATGAGATTGATATTGAAGACAGTCCTTTTATATGTCTAGAGAAACTCATATCTATTGTTCTGTTTTGTTTAATATGCAAGTTTTAATGTGACAAACTAAGATCAGAATGTTCTTCATGTTAGTTATTTTGACCTGACGAACCAACCACAAAAGTTGCTTTGGTTTGATTTTACAAGGTTTTCAGTTTATACTGGATTTTGCAGGGCTCAAGGCAGAGCTTGATGAAGTTGTTATAGTTACAATTAAGGAAACATAAATTCTCAAAACTCAGCTTGTGTCCAATTATCATAATGAAGAAAAATGTCCAAATGTTTGGTCTTTGGAGTTAAAGATAATGAAGAAGATAAGCTTAAATCAGAACGAAGTTGTGTTATTATTAGTCACGCATTAGAATAAAGGAAAAGAAAAAACACAAATGTATCTCATTTTTACTATTGTTTCTTAGTGATGATAATTTGTGATTACTTAAAGACGCTGAAGTACGGATGTGTTAAAGCTCAGGGAGTGTAACACTTAAAACGTTTAAGAAACCAAACACTAGTATTAACCGATAAGTTTGGTTGTTGCAAGAGTAACTCTTAAAAAAATGTCACAAAAAGTAAAACCACATCCCAAAGATTCTAGCGATCGTACGAAATCTATCAGGTTATGATTTCATCCATCGATTTGGTTCCCAACGTCTTCATCAGCGTTCTCAACTTCAACAAGAGCAACAAAATCATATGAGTCTTTATAGAAACTCCCAAACCACACCCTTAGAGAATTATCAAGTATCTGATTCTAAGTCAAGTAAGTAACTGAAATTACCTTCCTGTGTTGCTTCGTTTCCGCGTTTGCATTCCTCGCGTTGGCGTTTGCGTTCTGTTCCTCTTCTTCTTCTCTGCAAGAAAATGATTCGCAGGGTCTGTTACTAAACTATCATCTCTTCCAACAATATCAGCAACAACATTATGAGATCATGACAATAAAAATTCGTTGTCTTTTTGCCGATTCAGTAATTGTCTATATTCAGTAAAGACCTGAAATTACCTGCAGTAGTTGGTAAAGCTTTTGCGGTTCCGGCGCCTTCATCAGTCTTCTCAGCCTTCTCAACTTCAACTTTAGAAGAATAGCAGCAATTATCTGATTTGTAGAGTATATTATCTCGATTGAATAATAATAAAGAAACTGAAAATTACCTTTCTCTGTTGCTTCTGCTGCTAAAGTAATGTCAAGACCATTGCTAGCATTTGAGCTCCTCTTTGTTCGCTTTCGCTTTATCGTTTTGGCTCCGGCGTCTTCATCAGTCTTCTCAACTTCAAACAAGAGCAACAAAATCATATAAAGTTTATAGAAAGCCCAAAACCACACCCTCAGAGAATCGCAATCATCTGATTCAATAAGTCAAGCAAGGAGCTGAAATTACCTTCCTGAGTTGCTTCGCTAGCATTTGAGCTCCTCTTCCGCTTCCGCGTTCTCATTCCTCGCGTTCGCGGTTGCGTTCTGTTCCTCTTCTTCTTCTCTGCAAGAAATGATTCCGCAGGTTCTGTTACTAACAAACATCATCTCTTCCCACAGTATTATGAGAACCAACACTCTCCAATAACATTAGACAATAAGAATCAATAACAACATTCCCAGATCTGAAATTACCTGCAGGAATTGGTAAAGCTTTTCCGGTTCCGGCGACTTCATCAATCTTCTCGGCGTTCTCAACTTCAACTGTGTAGAGAATAGCAGCAATTATCTGATTCGGATCGTAGAGTATTAGCTCGATTGCAAAATAAGGATCTGAAATTACCTTTCTCTGTTTCTGCTTCTGCTAAAGCAATGTCATGACCATTTGAGCTCTTCTTCGTTCGCTTTCGCTTTATCGTTCTGTTTCTCTTCTTACTCTCTGCAACTGTATTCACATTCATTTCACTGTTAGATCCACAAAATCATGATCCGAAACGAGAGAGAGAAGACAAAAATTGCAATCGCTATAAGTCTAGAAGCCGATTCAATGGAGTTATGCGGAAATTGAGTGACTAAAACTCGATTATCGTTCACAACTAATAGCATTTCTGATTTTGTTTTGCTCACCTTTCAAATCGGAGATTGGATCATCGTTCTGAACGACGTGAGGAGTCTCCACAGCTGCGCTTCGGTTTTCCGGCGAGGCAAAACCTACGAAATTACCCATTTCTGGGGAAAGTGAATTTGAAGACGATGAAGCGATTTGGGAAAGCGAAAGGTTTTAGGCGTCTAGGGTTTTAAGGTTTAAGTTGAAGAGGTCAGTCTCTCTATCTGAACATTTAATTTTTGTGAGGTAATATTATTTGATTACCGTTAATGGAATGAAACACGACTAATCAACACACTAATATCCTTTGTGTTGTTTCAGGAGTTGACACCTAGGATTTTTTAAGTTTTCCTGTGTTGACACCTCAATTAAAACCTCTAACCAATGAAAACATTCTAATTAATTTTAGTCAGCATTTGTCTTGGTTTATTTGGCCACATAATCCGGTTTGCTTAATTTTTGTTTCAGCACATATTGGTCCGGTTTCAATCTTCTTCGACATTTTCGATGACAACGATATAAGAATCTCCGTTGGATGTCTTCCGATTTCATTCTCTCTTCTCCTTTTCATTGTTCGGAGTCCACCCTCCGGAATTTTGAGAGAACACATCTCCGTGAGCGATGGAGCTGGCGGTCGGTGGAGGTCATCTCAGCGAGCGATGGAGTCGAGCGATGAAGTCGCCGGTCGGTGGAGTTCAACTCAGCGAAGGTGAAATCTTTCAGCTCTGTGTTGTCTCCAAAGAAATATTTCTCCAACAACCAAATCTTCTCGAATTGGAAGCTCCCATCAAGATCTGCGGTCAGATTTTTGCTCTCTTTGGTTAAAATAAAATGATAATTGGGTGGTTTTTAGTTTCAATTTCTTTAGATTTGCAAAGTATTTCTATGCTCATCTCGAAAGAGAGAATATTTGAGTGACATTGCTGGGTTTTTAGAGTTCCTAAAATTCAGACTTTGTTTCACCAAAGTGAGAATCGAATCGAATTTCAAACACTAAAAAATTAGCATTTTTGGTTTAATGTTATGTGTTTGTGTTTCTTTAGCAGAGTAGCAGCAGCAGCAGATGTGAAATTAGGAAGATGAACTGCAATTTTCACGGCGGTGTATTCACACACTTTCCATTTCCCATGTGTGGCTTCACGCGCCGGTGATCGGAATCTACTCGCCGATTGTCCTGTTCGTGGTGCCTCATGGAGAGATACTTCGCTTCGAATTTAACTTCTGATTCTTCTCGATTTGGAAATGAATAGAGCAGCGTCTTATAACATTAGTTCTTATCCTTTGGGGTCTAAATTAATGCTTCTCTTTTCTTACAGATTGACATGAACACTATAGAAGTCAATATTGTAAGAAAAATATTTGTTTGTATCTTACCTTCATGATCGTAATTACAGATTTTCAAGTTAGTTTTAGTAAATTGAACATTATAATTGGTCATATTTATTAGCTTGGGAGGCATGTTTTGACCATGGTTCTACTTCTACCTCTTGAGCTCAAAGCTACATATTTTCCAGATCAGGAAGAGTATAATTGTATAAATCATGATAGAGAAAAAACTTAAACTTCTCGAATCCAGTTCCCATTATTTTATTGTTGTTTCTTCTTTGTTTTCGATTTGAATGGGTCTATAAATCTTTGCAATCTAATAAGACCAGCTACAGTTTTGCCACATGTAACCATCATCTTCCGAGTCTCATGACTGTAGTTTTATTCCGAGTCTCATGGCGGTGGAAGCATCCACCAACTCCACCTCGAAGAAAGTGGTAGCATAAGGTGTCGATCTAATGGTTATTTCTTTTCACGTCAATGGAGAGCAAGTAATTTTCGTCAATAGTACTCATATAATATGCTAATTAATAAGTAACTTGAGAATGATCTCTTTCTTAGCGATTTTTTGCTACATAATAATCATGTGCTTTGACCTTAAGTAAAGAAGAGAGAGGGAGGGTGAAGATAGATTACAGGACCGATTAAATCTATGTTTCTATTATATAATGATCATGTACTTTTCTCTTTATTCAGGCTCTCCATCCACTATTAGTTAGTTGCTTGAGAGAGAATTGAATTTATTTGATCTTACAACAATGATCTATAGAGCCGGTAGTATGTCAAGTTTGTTAGAATTATTTTGTTTAAGCTAATATTGAAAGATTGAAAAAGAGCAAAGAAAAATATATTTGAAGATATATTAAGAGTTTACGAGAAATGAAATATTATATTTTTTTCTAAAAAAGGTTAATTTTGTTCTCATAAATCTTAATAAAAAAAAAATTTTAATTTAAATTATATGTTTAAAATTTAAAATATAAATAGTATGACTCTTAATTTTAATTATAATTGGTATAGTAGTCAAAATAAAATTAAAACTATAAAAAGAGAAAAAAAGATACACCGCCACATAGCGCGGGTCAAAATCTAGTTTAGATTATATAAAAAATATTAAGACATGTAGTCTAAATTAGCTTTGATTATGCTTATGGTTTTGAAATGTTTCTGCTTTTAACGTATGTTTGGCTAGACGGTATGGTTTTCCCGAACCGGATTTGGTTCTGTACTTTAGTGTATTACCTCTTGGTTAGAAACTAAATTAGAACTCGCTTCGGCAAATATTTTTTTTCTATTTTCTCATTCTTCTTGCTTGCTTTTGTTCATCTTTTCCTATTCGATTCGTTTTTGGCAATTAGCAAGAAAGTAAAATAAAAATTAGTTAAAATTATAAGAGAAAAAGGCCAAGTTTTTCCAAAATCGGGAAAGCGTGTAATATTTTGGAGTAAAGAAGTTTAAGGAAAGGCAAAGAACAACTAACACAAGTGAATGAAATGAAACAACAAACTGATGAATGCAAATTATCTCAACTCATAACCAGTTTTGCCCTGTGGATTCTTCAGGATGTTGAACACACTCCTTCACATTTTTATCATTAGCCTCTCTAAGTTTCTTCTCATCAGCAATTCTTCGTCGTTGAAAAAATTGTCGATGTAGCTTATCCATTTCTAAGGCCATCTCTTTCTTCTTTAATAAAACCCTCTTTCCTCTCAATGAATAATCCTTTACCTCAGCTTTTTCCTTATGTTCAAGACTTACCTATATCGCAATATGAAAATCAAACCACATGCATGAGGATCTTAATTTCCTCTCCTTTACGGGAAGATACATAGTTAAAATCTCAACGAAAACTACCTCGTTCCACTTCCACAAGCCGGAGTCCATCCAATGGACAGGCTTAGAAGGATTTTCAAAGTATTTATCATACGGTGATACAAACTTTATCTTTTCCTTCACCACTTTCTCAGGAACTTCAGTCACCAAAGGTCCAACTTCTTCCCCACTGAAAAATCACACTTACGGCTTTATCAAGGAACCAAGAAACTATCAGAAAAGAAAAAAAAAAAAAAAAAACAATAAGCAAACCTTTCAAGTATGTAAGGCGCCTCGGGAACTCGCTTCCCTTGCCTTATGCATTCTTCCACCCATTGATGATTGACTACAATTGTATTGAGCTTCTTTGCAAGAATGTACTTTGGGCCCTCGAACTTCCAACACACCTACACACACACACACACACACACACACCATAACAAAAGGGCCGGGTATGAATTCGTTTTCTCCATACTGGTTAAGAAAAACAGAATGATTCACACGAACCAGATGTGTATTAGCGCTTGACATGCGCCCGACATAATTGCCACCGCAATGACTGATAAGCTTGATGAGTTTGAACCTCTCCTCACCATGATAACCAGTGACTGTTGCAATCACTTTCTCCATACCTACAATAGCAGAGCCACATGATTCTGTAAAACTGAGGGTGTAACAACAATATCTTCAGAATCACACGGTAATATAAGATTAAACCCTAGTATTTGTTACCTCTTTCGTACCTAATGGAAAATGATCTCTAAAGCTAAAACTTAAACTGAGCTAAGTAAAAAAACAAGTCTAAAGCAACTGAAGAGACTCAAAACGATATACGGAAATCGAGCAATGAAACCCTAGAAATTGCAGTTTCTTAATTCTGGGACAACTACAAGTACCTGGTCTGATTGGTACAAATTCGCAGATGTCTCTTAGTTTTGCCTCAAAGTCTTTCTCTTTCTCTTTTCCCCTTTCTTCTCAGATCTGTAAATTTAAAGACAAAGAGAAATGGAAGCAAATGGTGGCTAGAGGAGAAGCGAAGATTTTAGATGCTGAGTCTTGGCGGGAATTCGAAAATTAATTTTGGACGCACAAATTAATTAGGTATAATCTCTGTTTCCAAAAGTAACAAATTTATAATATTTAGTTGAAGAATTCTCATGTATACCATGAGATTACAAAAGCGGATTCGGAAACTATTTATAAATGCATATATTCTGCTAGTATTTGGAAGAGGTTTAATCTATATAATAATTAATTAGGCAAAGATGCTATCTTTATGAAATTAAAAAAAAAAACAAAAAAACAGTAGATTTGGAAAACAGAAACTAGCTCATGAAATCAAGAATCAACTGGCTAAAAGTTGGAGATGAAAATACACGGAGAAGTTTAAATACAGCCTTTCTATTCATTTTAATACTTTGCATGCTTTGATTGTTGTAAGTCGTTATGAGACTTTAGTGATCGCTGTAACTATCACGCATCAACTCTCTTCATTTATGTTCTTGGATTTCTCTGGAGTTTTATCAATTGGATCCTATCGATTTCTAGCTAATACCTCGACCTTGATAATCAATAGGGTTCCGTTGCCAGAACGTTATATGCCAATGCCACTCTGATATCATATGTCGAAATCGTTCTTCTCATTACAATTGTCAAAGATTGTATTTGGTTTGTGTTTATAGGTTTAAACGAAAACGGCATGGTGATTATATGAAAAGGATTTCTGTATTTAACAGTTACATGAGTTTAATATACGAAAACAGAGCTGACCAACTTTCGTAAAAGCAAATAAAACTACAGTAATATCCATATCAGAAAGTAAACATGGTTGATTCACTAGCGTGTTTTCATCAGCACATCTTGTTAAATGTGTTAGTTTTCAATTTGATGGCTCAATCGAATAAAATCATGATCGGAGACGGGATAACCAATGTAATCCGAAATTGAAGTTAAAAAATCGTAAAAAAGAAAAAGAAAAAGTAGTTGTGCAAAGGGAAATTATAATCAATAATCATATTGGCAACCAAAATTAACAAACTAACCATATGAAACTCTTGGCTAGAGTACAAAATATATTTTATACAATAATACCAATTTTGTCCTTCTTCTTTTATACATAAAAATCAATTCCATACTATTTTTTGTGTGTGTATGGGATAGAACCATGTTTTCTTTTTCTCATTTAGGGTTTAGTTTTTTTAGATTTAGGTTTCGATTTTGTGTTTAGTATTTTGATTTTAGGTTTGTGTTTATATTTTTAGTTTAGGATTTTGGTTTCAGTTTTTTTGGGTTTAGGGTTTAAATTTTGGGTTTTAGGTTTAGAGTTTTTTTCTTAAAACAGGGTTTATATTATAGTTTTAGGTTTAGTTTTTTCAGTTTAGGCTTTAGGGTTTAGATTTTGGGTTTAGGGTTTATATTTTATTTTAGGTTTAGATTATTTTTGGGTTTAGTATTTGGTTTTAGATTCTACACCCTAAACCTAAAACCTAAAATATAAATCATAAAACCAATATGTAAACCCTAAACTCAAAAATTACTCTAAACCCTAAAATCTAAACCCTAAATATCTAGTAGAAGTTTTGTTCTACAACAACAATAAATAGTATAGTATTTTTTAGGGTTAATATAGGTAATTTTGTGTGAATATATTTATGTATCATAGCCAAACATTTGTAATGGCTATATTCTTAATATTTTCCCAATATGATTATTCACCAAATTAACCCTTGTGCAAATTTCATGTTTTGTTTTGGTCAAATTTTAATGGTAAAGAAAAAATGAAAAAAAAAAAGCCGCGAGAAGTCGAAGCGAAAGAAAAAGAAAGACCCGCGTGGAGTCAATTAATAGTGCCACGCTGGCAATCCTCGTGACTCTTGTTTTAACCACTCACAATGCACCCTCACAACTGTATATATACAATTTCTGGGAAAACGAAACTGAAGACATGAAATGATTTGGGAAATCGAAAGTTTTTAGCCGTCTAGGGAAAAGCCAAAAAAGGTGTGGTTTTAATTTTGGTATAAGTACCTATTATTACCGTTAATCGAAGGAAACAACTAATATATAAAATATTTAAGAAATGTAATAACATTAACATTATTCGGATATTTGAAGTACTATAAATTAGCTTTGATTTGATTTGATTATGATTATTTTCTGTAATGGTTTGATTTGTGCCTTGTAAATCATGGTTTGGATTTTTATTACAAACTTGCAATTAATAAAAAATAGTAGTTGCGCAAATTTCTTTGTTTTATTTTGGTCAAATTTTAATGGTAAAGGAAAAATGGAAAGAACAAAAAAACCGCGAGAAGTCAAAGCGAAAAGAAAAGACCCGCGTGAAGTCAATTAATGGTGCCACGCTGGCAATCCTCGTGACTCTTGATTGACCAATCACAATTCACTCTCACGACTCTATATATACAATAGAAAATGGCCTAAAACCCTAAATTCATTCCACCACCCATCTCCTTTCTCTACTTATTCCTCAATTTTCCCGAGAAAGAGAAGCCCAAAAGTCCCATTTTCCCCGACGAGAAGATGAGTTCAGGCGCCGGCACCGGAACAACCAAAGGAGGCAGAGGAAAGCCAAAGGCTTCAAAGTCCGTCTCTCGATCGAGCAAGGCCGGTCTTCAGTTTCCCGTGGGAAGGATCGCTAGATTCCTCAAGGCCGGAAAGTACGCCGAGCGTGTCGGTGCTGGTGCTCCGGTTTACCTCTCCGCCGTTCTTGAGTACCTCGCCGCCGAGGTTGATTTTCTAGATCTTGTCTCACTTTCGTGGATTTTGATTTCAATGTTGCAAATCGTGTGCGTTCGTCTTTTACTCAATTTTGCAATCTCTACGCTAACCGTTAGATCAAAACTGTTTCTGCGTACCAAAACCAATAATCATATTGTCTTTCCTATGTTGATCATTATTTGAAATGAAAATCGTGAGCTTCGTCTTTACTCGGTTTCGTTATCTCTACAGAGAATCATTCATTTGAGTCCTCGATTTCTGCCTATGACCTTGGATGCAATTGATTTTGATTTCAAAATACAAATTGTGCAGTGTGATTCTGTCTTTGGTCAATTTTTGTTTTTTTAATCTCTGGATTGTGGTTCTTCAATTAGGTGTTGGAGCTAGCTGGAAACGCAGCAAGAGACAACAAGAAGACACGTATCGTGCCAAGACACATTCAGCTTGCAGTGAGGAACGATGAAGAACTGAGCAAACTTCTTGGAGCTGTGACGATCGCTAATGGAGGAGTCTTGCCTAACATTCACCAGACTCTCCTCCCAGGAAAGCCTGCAAAGAACAAAGGCGATCTGGGATCCGCTTCTCAGGACTTTTGATTCCTTCACAATCTCTTGTACTTTCTGTATCAAGTGTTTACTAAATCCAGTATCGAAACTTGGTTCTTTGGATCTTATATTGTCTGATGAATGGTAAAATCTTGCTATTGTATTACATTTGATGTCTGGAAATTGCGGATTCGATAGCTTCAATACAAGCACCAATAGGTTTAGTTTTAGACATTGCTTCTGCAAGTGATGCTCTTGCTTCACTGTGAGAATGTAGTAAAGAGACGGTGTTTGAAGCAGCCCATCTTATATGATCTTCCTTTTCTGATTCTGTCAATCCTCGCCATCGCAGAACATTGTTCAACTGCAAAATCAAATCAGAAAAGACATGAGAAGATTGTATTTATAGAGAGACTTGAGCGAAGCGTTAGTCATAACCTTGTCAACATCTGAGTAGAAACCTTGCGAGTATCCGAATAGTATGTGTTCTGTCACCATTCCTCCAAGTATCACACATGAAAAGTTGTTCAGTGTCTGCACTCACAAGTCACAAATCCAAGTACTCACTACAGAGTCAGAAACAGATAGATTTGTAAGTAAAATCTTACCTTTGATGAGATATTGCCTTTTGTTCCCTACATGTATGGTAGAGAAGAAGTAAGAGTCTTTTAAGAAGATACACGATAGAGATTCATCATCTATAACAATATCTTAAAACCCAACTTGGGCCAGTAAGCAATCTGCTCACTGATCTAGTCCAAGGTTATTTGATCTAGTAGAACCTCGATAGAGTGTTTGTATCGTGTGTGGACATGATCTTGCATAAACTGGTTTGCAGCACCAACCTGCACTAGTCACTAGTCCGTAAGAATAACATAGAGAAAGCTGAAACAATTCTGTTTACTTATATATGAAAGAAGAAACAACAACTTACTTCTTTGAGGAACTCAAAACCTACAAATTCAACTCTCCCGGTCACACTGGACACATTGTGCCTCATGTCTTCCACATTTGGTATTTCATAACGTCTTGGAAGAACCCCAAGCAAGTAACCAACGAGAAAATGCCCAGATTCGTGCTGAAAGCAAGTTACGATTGGCACATATAGATAAGATAAAACAGCCAAAAATGTTCTTTCTTTTATATTAACAACATTTTTGATCAAATTTGTTCCTGTTAAGCAAAGGTTTCACCTGCACAATAGAGAACCAATCTTCTTCAGGTGACGTTTTTGTTTCGTCCTCTTTGGATATTCTCACTGAAATCTGCAAATTACAGAGGTTTATTTAAAAAATTGTTAAAACAAGTGAAAGCCAGAAATTGGAGATGAACGAAATTCGAAAATGACCTCTTCTGAAGAAACCGATTCAATGCTCCTCGAGACTGAATCAATCAAAGACACAAGCTCCGGTCGATCGAATTTCTCCAATACTGTTAGTTTCTTGGGAAGCTAAACACAAAGGAAGGAGATTAAAAAAGTCCGTTAGAGAGAGAGACAGAGAGAGAGAAGACGAGAGAAAGAGAGAGAGAGACCAATTTGGCGGAGCCGAAGGCAGAGAGGACGCCATGTTTTCCTTTGAGCTGCTTGACGAGAGAGAGAGCGGATTCGTAATTTCCTCTGGAGAGCTCTTTATCCACTCTCTCAAGCGCTCTACGGCGGCGATCTACCGGAGATTTCGCTCCGATCACCGTTAAGCGGCTCGCCTGGAGATAAGAGGTAAAGCTCATTATATTGGTACGAGTCTGAATTTAGTAAGCAATCAAAGATTTGTAAAGCATCATTGGGGATGTAGCTCAAATGGTAGAGCGCTCGCTTTGCATGTGATAGGTCCTAGTAAGGATTACCAATGTTGATCAACGCAATCACAACAATAAACAAGACACAAGTACTTTGGGCAAATTTCTCTGCCTCTTTTTTGGCTTTTCTGATTTATATAGGAAACAAATTGGAACATAACCGTTCCTTACAAACGTGGAAGCAAAGTGCATAAGTGGGAAAAGTAACGTGAGTACTCTGGTCCTAGAAATAAGGAGACTGAGTCCTACTTTGTTATTTGCAGAATTCGAAGAAAATAAATAAAACAAATTACCAAACCGATTAATCCATGTATCGCCGGTTTGGTGTCTTGTGAATTGGTCTTTGGTTTAGTTGTTGACCAATTGCCGTCTTATCAGCATGCGAGAGGTACAGGGTTCGATCCCCTGCATCTCCATCTTTTTGGCTGTTGTAAATTTTTTATGATAATAACCTGAGAAATTTACACTTACACACACTTTCTCACTTTCTAAATATAGTTACACTGTGAGTGACTTTCCATATAGAAAAACTATATACTGCCTCTTAACTTAATCTCATTCTCTTTTCTTCTTTTAATTACTTTCTTAACTTTCTCTTTAGTTGATTTCTTTATTTATTTCCTCTCCTAACTTACGACCCAACTCCATCTACTGCCATTACACGTACATAGGCAGGATACAAAAGGGTTTGAATCTAGAAAGAGTTCCAATATAATTCGTTGAATAAAGAATTCTAAAACCTCTCCAAACAGTGAAAAGAAAACCTAATTTTTATAATTATCAAAGGTTTAGTGGCACATAATCTGCCTCAGCAACTCGTTAACGAACGGTGACACTGAATGATCCTACTCACGATCAAACCAATAGGAAACAATGTTCTTTCATCATTCCATTCTCTTCTTGCTTGCTCGCGTTATGAGAGAACATTAGATCTGAAAGAAAAAACAACGCATATAAATTTGGAAATTTGAAGGCAAAGAAAGATAGAGCTAAGCTAATAATACGTAAGATGCCATCATCTCGGCGATCAAACCAATAGGGAAAACAACTTTTCATCATCATATCTCCTTTTTCCTCTTTATATTCTCTTAAGAAAAACTGTTAACAATCGATCCTTTTTATTTTCCCCAATACAAATTGTTTTCGTTGCTAAAACTTTTAAAGCAGAGAACTTTGAAAAAAAAAAAAAAAAAAAAAAACAAAACAAAACAAACACACAAACTCGGAAGAAACTCAATACGGCGAGAATGTGAACTCAAGAAAATAGGTTGTCTTTAAGAATCTTGTGGCTCAAGAAATTTAGGTTTTCTAGAAAACAATGTTTAAAAAGGGTTAATTGGTGAAAGGATTAGGTTTGTCAAATACAATTGACGGCTCATGAAGGGATTACCTTTGTTAGATGCAATTCATGCCTCACTAAATAATTTGCTAGGGTTTTACCAAATTTTTTAAGTATTTTTATTGTAAATTAAGATATAAATAAATGATTTCATTAATAGCAATTTAGACATTTAAAATCTAAAATTTAATAGATAGATTGACAAATTAACATTAAATTTGGCTCCAAAAACTACCCGGGGAATTTTTGTTACCAAAACCATTAGCTTCCATTCGCGCCAAAATTGAATCGACCTTTATTTTATAAACCCTAAGCCCCCACTCTTACATTCTTTCATCCGACACTTCCTCTCTATCTCCCTCTCCTCTCCCCTTTCACTCTTTTCTTCATATAGCATTTTTCTTTTTGTTCAAATGGTTCCGATTGATGCCGCGGAGATACTGAGAACCAAACCAGAATCGGCTGTTTTGTGCTCTGATGATGGCAAAACCGTTGCCGACACTCCCAGTTTTATCGATGGAGCCTCTCTAGCTGTTCGGACAGGCACCGGAGTCCGAATCTCAGCTCAACCTGTTGAGGTAATAAGGCGGATGCTTTGAGTTTGATCTCGCACAGAGACATGTGTATGTGAAAGTTGAAGACGGAGACTTTCCGGTGGAGAAAGATTGGTTCTTGGTTGGGAGGTCGCTTGTCACAGCTACTTCCACTAGTAAAGGAAGGAAATTGGAAGATAATGAGGTTGTGGATTTCAAATTTCCCACTACTATCAATTGGAAAGTCCCCAACATTGTTCGTTTCTCTACTAAAAGATGCGGAGAGGTAAGCCAAATTTTGTGTGTATTTTAGATTGGAACATGTGCCGTTTTGCTTTCATTAGTCCATAAAGTTTTTCTGTTTCATACTGAACAATTTGTGTTTATGTTTCTTAACGTTTTGACATCTTTCAGTCATACTTTTGTTTTGGTTTGATGTGAGAAACTTCAATTGATTGTATTTTCTTTGGCATGTATGATCTTTAGATTGGTAGGCTTCCGATGGATTGGTCGAATTGGGCAGTGTTTCTTTTGAGATCTGGTAAGGTCAAAATGCTAGGCAGATGTGTTGCGGCGCCAAAGTTTCTTCAGATGATGCAAGATATTATGCTTTACGTTAGGTAATGAATGATATGTTTTGGTTTGATTATTCTTGCTTTGACGACTGAAAATTGGAAACTTTTTTGAAACTTATATATGGCTTTTTGGATGGGCAGTCTTTACATTCACAGCTCAATATTCACTGATGTTAGCAAATCCACTTGGCGTATTGGTTGTTCTCCAAACATCGATTCCACTCTTCATCCTCTTCTCCAGCTGTTCAAACACTTGCAATCAAACCTTATCAAAAGGCATGTACGATACCTTTATGTGCTTAGAATCAAATTTGTAGTTGTCTCATTTTGATATCTTCAAAACAGGCGGAGTTCTCCTCAAGAACTCGACTCTCGCAAACGTTCGCTGAATTTGGGGTATGTGATCCACTTTTAGTTCCTCCTTGAAACTCATATGATGTTATGGTGATAAATAATGTTATGAACTGTGCATTTTGTATGTCAGGATGACAGACGAAAGAGCAGCGTTGCTGGCTGTAGCGAAAAGAAGGAAAGGCTGTGAACATTATATAGAGCAGAGCAAAGATGCTCCTGAGTCATATATGAATCGTGTTGTTGGCGCTGCAGATTCATATAACCTGGAGGTGTGTAATGTTTGTTTTATAAGAACAAATCTATCTTGATCCTCTTTACAAGAAGAAGATAAATTTAATATCTTTTTCTATGTTTGTTAGGAAATGGAACTCTGAGTACACTCACGTGTAACCTTAGACCATACCAGAAACAAGCTCTCTTCTGGATGTCTGAATCTGAAAAAGGAATTGATGTTGACAAGGCAGCTGAAACTCTACATCCTTGCTGGGAGGCTTACCGAATCTGTGACGAGTATGTATACTATTCTCAAAATGTTTTTTTAAAGGAAACGTAATATGTTATATTGATCTTAAACGTTTGATTTGCATGCAAATTTCTTCAGGAGGGCACCTTCAATTTATATAAACATCTTCAGCGGTGAAGCAACAATCCAGTTTCCAACAACAACACATATGGCAAGAGGCGGAGTATGTTTCTTGAATCACAGTAAAATATTCATTCTAATGGCACTGAATGTCTCTGCTTGTTGATTTTGATAAAAGTTAAAACTTTTTGTTTTGCAGATATTGGCAGATGCAATGGGACTTGGAAAAACTGTGATGACAATTGCACAATACTTGCAAGACCAGGCCGTGGTAACCCGGAAAATGAAGAAGACTTTGCGGCCGGCGGCAGATGTTACTGCGGATAAACCTAAGAGGAAGGAGAGTCATCATAGAGCACAACGATTGTGAAGGCAAAAGGAGGAACACTTATTGTTTGTCCCATGGCATTGTTAAGCCAATGGAAGGTGATTTGATTTGATAGTTGTTTTTCTTTTTACTCTTTTGATAGTTTTTTTTCAGAAAGTCTCATGGATTTTCACTTCATTATTCCAGGACGAGCTTGAGACTCATTCGAAGCCTGACACAGTATCTGTGTTAGTTTACTATGGAGGGGACAGAACACATGACGCAAAAGAAATAGCAAGTCATGATGTTGTCTTGACAACTTATGGTGTCTTAACCTCTGCTTACAAGCAGGTAAGAAAGTGTTCATATCAAATTTGCAGTCCCAACACATTGTTTATTTGGTCGGACTTCAACTCTGAGAATCATGGAATGCAGGATATGGGGAACAGTGTTTTCCACAGGATTGATTGGTATAGGATTGTTCTTGATGAAGCTCACACGATCAAATCATGGAAAACTCAAGGTGCTAAAGCTACGTTTGAGCTGTCTTCACACTGCAGATGGTGTATGACAGGGACTCCCTTACAAGTAAGCTCATGAAGAGACAATGTAATGTAAGCTCAGCTTCTTTTTGCACTTACTGACTCTATACCTCTTCAATGCAGAACAAGCTTGAAGATCTTTACAGTCTTTTATGCTTCCTTCATGTCGAACCATGGTGCAATTGGGCTTGGTATGAACATTTACATTCATCTGAGATCGTACTATCCATTGCTATATAATTCCTTTTTGGTCTAACTTTTTAACCTTTTTTGTGTGTGTATAGGTGGAGTAAGTTGATTCAAAAGCCTTATGAGAATGGCGATCCACGAGGACTGAAAATGATCAAAGCAATTTTGAGGCCATTGATGCTGAGAAGAACAAAGGAAACAAGGGACAAAGAAGGAAGGTAAAATGTTTTTCTCACTGCTTCAATCCTTTTTTCTTCTCCTTTTTGTTTTGCTTAACATTTTCTGCAAAACTTTTCAGTCTAATTCTTGAACTTCCTCCAATGGATATCCAAGTCATTGAATGTGAACAATCTGAAGCAGAACGGGAATTATACACCGCTCTTTACAAAAGATCCAAAGTAAAGTGTTATACTTTTATTCTTTCTTCAAGCACACGAAAACCTGTCACAAGCTTAAACATAACCTGTTTTAAAATTTTCTGGAAACAGGTCCAACTTGACCAGTTTATGGCACAAGTAAGAGTTCCTCACAACTATGCAAACATCCTTGAGCTCTTTCTCCGTCTACGTCAGTGTTGCAACCACCCTTTTCTAGTTATGAGGTAAAAAGCTAAAACGAAATCAGAGATTCAATAGAACTTTGTTTCCCTCTCAGAAATTGAGTTTCTAATACATTGAGAAATGTTTTTCAGCCGGGCAGATTCACAAAAATACGCTGACTTAGACAGCCTCGCAAGGAGGTTTCTTGATAACAACACTGACTCAGTTTCCCAAAGCGAGCTTGATGTTGTCAAGAACTGGAAGGAGTCTTCTAAAGTTTCAGAGCTGCTCAAATGCTTAGAGAAGATCAACACGGCCGGTACTGGAGAGAAGAGCATTGTCTTTAGCCAGTGGACTTCGTTTTTGGATCTTCTGGAGATTCCGTTGCGAAGAAGAGGAATCGAGTTTCTTAGATTCGATGGAAAGCTTTCTCAGAAAGGGAGAAAAAAAGTCTTGAAAGAGTTCAATGAAACCAAACAGAAAACAGTAAGTTAGTTTTGTACTTTTCTTGCAAACTCTAAATTTAACAGAGAGCTTAAAGATCTTTATGTTTGTGTGATGTATCAGATTCTGCTTATGTCTCTGAAAGCTGGAGGAGTTGGTCTGAATCTAACAGCAGCATCAAACGTCTTCTTAATGGTAAACATTTCTCTTCAAAGCTTGCTTTGAGTTCTTCTTTATGATGACGAATTGATGATAATGGTGATGGTCTTTTGCTCTGTTTCTTGAAACACTTAGGATCCATGGTGGAATCCAGCGGTTGAAGAGCAAGCGATCATGAGAATTCATCGAATCGGGCAGAAAAGAAGGGTATGCGTCAGAAGATTCATTGTCAAGGTAACATTTTCTACGAGTTTATTGCAACGTTGAAGTAATCAAATTTCAAGATTCTGTTTAAGTAACATGGTTATGTGTTGGATGATTATGTGCAGGGTACAGTGGAGGAACGGATGCAGCAAGTTCAGGCGAGGAAGCAGAGGATGATTGCCGGAGCTTTGACCGATGAAGAAGTCCGGTCGGCGAGACTTGAGGAGCTCGAAATGTTGTTCCGATGAGAGAGATGGAGCATAATAATTAGTCTTTTCTTTATGTTTTTATTTTTCACTCTACTAGTGAGTTATGATCAAGTCTTTAATTTTTAAACGTTATGAAGTTTGATAACTTTTCTGTAAATAGCAATAGAAAATTGCAACGGTTGCGTAGTGATTTTAATACTTGTTTTCAATCCCATTACTCTTGTTTGTAATCCCTAATATATTAAAAGAGAAAACACTATAAAATAAACCTTTGTGTCATGTGGTATTAACAAAAATGCCATGCTGAGGTGTCATCATTAGGTTCATTCTCAAGGTAAGTTTTAATTAACCCAAAGATTACTAGACTAATTACATGTAGTGCCATTCATATTATTTTGGTTAGAGACATTATAAATTTAATTTGACTAACCATTTAATGAAATATTAATAAAATAAAATATTATTCTCTTTCCTTAATTGGTACATACAGAAAATTAATAAATAAGGAAGATATGATATGATATTCAATTTAATTGTATCATAATAATAATTTCTTTAAAAATCATTACATATCTCCTATCATCTTTGTTTAACTGTATTTATAAAACAATTTGAATCACAATATTAAAAATATAACAAAGAAAATCGAATTTTTTTTATGTATATGCTATGATTTAAATTTTTAAAAACACCATAATCACTTAAACTGGTAGAAATTTCCATATTGGATATGTTGTTGTATAAATGTGTAGATATATATTATTAAAAAAAATGATGTGCAGTGTTATGAGTAGGAAACCTCATTTAGTAGGTATTTAAATGTAATTTTTATTTAATTTAATATAGTTTTTAGTTAAATCGTATAATTAAATCGAATAAAATAATTATTTTTATATATTTTTTATTTGATCAAAAATTTGAATATTACTCCATTTATTTTAACTTTCAATATAAAATTAATTATATTTTTGTTGATTTGATAATTTGGATTATGCATATTGTTTTCTTATTGGTTGGATTGTTTTGGAATTATAATAAAATATGTTTTAATTTTAAAAGAAGAAAAACATTAGTTATAATCTGTGCGCACATATCTAAACTTCTTATCATATAAAATACATGAGGTATAATTTTTTTTAAACAATAACATTTTATTTTCAGATTTTTTTTGGTTTTTAAATTTTATTATATTGTAAATTGAGTTTTATGTATCTCACTTAAATATATTAATTTAATATATGGCAATACGGTCAAAGCCTTAATTTGTTTACCTTTTTCAAAAAAATGGTTTAAAATGTTTAATTTTCACATTATAAACAAATACAATAACTAACACATAAATTTTTAAGATAGTTAAATAGACATTTTTAATAAAAATACAACTTTAGAAATCATCACCCCGTGCAGGGCGCGGGTCAAACCCTAGTAATTAAACTATTGTTTAAATTTAAAGCAGCTGCTCAGTTCCTGATATGCAGCAATCGTTCATTTCCAATGTTTCTCACATTCTTCATATTGGAATCATTACTGCTCTTCAAAGCCTTCCAAACTGCAGCTTTTGTACCATAAATTACCTGAAATCAAACAAAAATTACAGAGTAAGAAAAAATTTATCTAGAAGGTTTAAGCTGATACCAAAACACTAGATTGATACAGATGAAGTATTAAGGTTGTTCATACTTTAAAACAACTCAGAATAAATTATCAGAATATAGCCTGTCTGTCACACAATTCACTAAACCGCAACAAGTTTTTCAGCAAGTCTTGACTTAAGTTGGACAATCACTTACCTCTACATGTGTCTCATTGATCTTCTGGTTTTGATATCATGTCATCGTCAAGCTAGTCACCTAAAAGTAACCAAACACATTTCTGTTAAGTGCAAAATAGTATAGTAAACAAAGCGTAAGAGCACTCCTAAATGTACAACAGCAAGTATCAACTTGTTGTTTTTACCTGTAACAAATTTTACTTGAGTAATTGATATATATCTATATATATATATACTACTATTCCTTGAAAAAGCAAGTTATGTGTCACATAGTCGTTCTAAAAGTGAACTTTAAGTGAGTATGATGTGGAACAGGACCAAGGCACAAAAGAAATGGAGAATACCAAGCTCAACGCAGATGTTACCTGAGAAGGGGCACAATTTGGTCTGCATATAGTTACTCAAATGGGGATTGATAACAATACTCAATTTTTTTAATCCTTCATGTGAGTGGTTTACCTCATGTGATATATGGCATTTTCAGAGAAAAGTCAGATTCTCTTTCACCTTTCTTCGTTACTTTCTTGGCAATGCAACCCACATCAACCAAAAATATCTTGTTAAATAAACACACAACATTTCTTCTACGCAAGAAAAGGAACGAGAACAGGTCAGAGATTCATATATCTAGGTTTCAAATGAACATGTGCACAAGTTAAAAATGTCAGTACATATCGTTTACAATATGCACAGAAATGTATAGACAAATTGAAATTTAATGTGGAATTACCTTGAACTCAACTTGTGCTTTCCAAACTTTCAGCTTCGAAAACCCTACCAGAAAGTGATATCCTGCGTCGAAAATGATATCTTTCGCTTGATTAGTAAATCAGCCATCAAAGATCAGTTCCAACATAACTTTTTCAGTGAAACATGAAATCTGGTCGAAATTTTACCTTCAGCATATCAAATCCGGAATTTGAGATTCACCAATAAACCAAACAAGCTAATAGATCAAAGGTAACCAAATCACAAGAGATTCTACCGTACTAACATAATTGATTTCGAGCGGTTAGAGAAGATAAATCTCGAAAACAGGGCAAGAAAAACTCCAGAATCGAGCAACCGTACCGTAATAGGAACTGAATTCCAGTAAAGATCGACATCGGAGACGAATCGATTTTCACGGAATCAGAGATGCACAAATTAATCGGAGACATAATCGATTTGAGTCTGGAGTTTTTCAGAGATCGACATCTCGAGCGAACGAGGGGTCACAAAACGAGAAATACTTTTTTGGTGACATGATTAATTATTAAAGCCCATAAATATTACCGTCAGTTATTTACCGTCGGTTATACAAATGACACTACTTTCCTTCCCATTTGGCATTTTGACTTTTCAAGTGAGGTGTTGTTCCGGCGTTAATAAAGCGACGTCTTCGATAACATTTCTTGTAGTGGTTCATTGTCGTTTTGAATTTATCTTTATCACAGTTCTTAAATTTAATACTCCTATATATTAAAAAAAAAACAAGAAGTTAAATGGTATTTGTACATAAACGGTCTCAAAGATTCTAGTCAAAAGACTGCAACCGCTGCTAAACAACCTGGTGTGAGTGAATCAATCGGCTTTCCTGGAAGATAGACTAATCTCTGATAATATAATCATAGCTCATGAGCTAGTTCATGGGCTGCGTACTCACCCGGAAGTTTTGGAGGAACTCATGGCCCTTAAATCGGATATGTTAAAGGCCTATGATCGGGTGGAGTGGAGTTATCTGAGGTCGCTTTTACAAGCTCTTGGTTTTCATCAGATTTTGGTAGATTGGGTCATGTTTTGTGTGACGTCTGTATCCTTCTCAGTGCTCAATAATGATCAACCGTTTGGGATTATATCGCCTCAGAGAGGTCTAAGTCAGGGTGACCCGCTGTCTCCTTTTCTCTTTGTACTGTGTACAGAAGGATTGACACATTTACTGAATAGAGCTGAAAGATTAGATCTTATCAACGGATAAGCTTTAGTGAAGAAGGTCCTTCCATTCACCACTTGTTGTTCGCTGATGACAGTCTCTGTCTTTGCAAGGCAAACGATCATCAAAGCTGTGCTCTGAAAGGGATTCTCAGAATATATGGTGAGGCGACAAGTCAGAAAGTGAATCCGGACAAATCATCTATCACGTTTGGGTCTAAGGTTGGTGAGGATAAAAAAGAGGATTCAAGCTGAGATGGGGATTTCAAAAGAAGGTGGTGCTGGAACGTATCTTGGGTTGCCTGAATGTTTTAGTGGATCCAAGATTGAGTAATTGAACGACATCAAAGAAGGAGTGCAAAAACGAACTTCTAATTGGTTCTCCAGAACTTTATCGCAAGGAGGTAAAGAGATTCTGCTTAAATCAGTGATTTCTGCTATGCCTGTTTACGCTATGACATGTTTCAAACTCCCAAAAGCAATCTGTGCCAATCTGAGAAATGCTATGGCTGAGCTCTGGTGGAGCGCAGTGGAGAAGAAAAGAAAAATCCATTGGATTAGTTGGGAGAAAATGTGTCTGCCTAAACGGTTAGGAGGAATGGGGTTTAGAGACATCGAGGATTTTAATCAAGCCATGTTAGCCAAACAAGCGTGGAAGATTCTACAAGAGCCTGAGAGTTTAGTGGCAAAACTTCTCAAAAGCAGGTATTTTCCTTTTCTGAGTTTCCTGGATTATATGGTTTGAGCTTGTCCCTCTTTTGCCTGGAGAAGTATTCAGTGGGGCAAGGAGCTGTTAGTTAAGGGTTTAAGGAAGAGGGTGGGCAATAGAAATATGATTGAGGTGTGGACAGATCCGTGGATATTTGACGAAGGGTTAAGAGCTCCGTGGAGGCTAATCAATCCGTTCAACGTCAATTTATTGGCAAAGGATCTGATCGATTTTCGGTATAAGAAATGGGATGTGGCAAAGTTGAGAGAAGTTTTCTTCGAAGAAGATGTGCAGAGAGTGATGGAATTCCTACCAGTAACGAATGTGGAGGATTTCTGGTGTTGGATGCATAATCAGAGTGGTGATTACTCTGTCAAGTCAGGATTCTGGTTAGCGACTTCGATAAACAAAGCCAAAAGCATAAGAGAAGCTTTGATGCTTCCGTCGCTGAATATACTGAAATCGGCTGTATGGATTATTCCTACCACTCAAAAAATCAGGAATTTTCTTTGGAGGGCTCTTAGTGGTGCAATAGCGGTTGGTGACAAACTCAGGGAGAGAGGTATGAAAATCCAAAATGTTTGTTAGGCTTGTAGATTTGAGGGAGAATCCATTAATCATCTCCTTTTCACTTGCCCTTTTGCGAGACAAGTATGGGCTCTTAGTGATTTGCCTTCCCCAGAAATGGGTTTACGAACATAAACTTTCTCTTGGAACAGAGGAAGAATGATCTTATTCCACAGCTCTTGAGAAGAAGATTCCCTTGGGTCATCTGGATTTTGTGGAAGAACAGAAACAATTTGGCTTTTGAGAGCAAAAACTTCAATGCGATGGTAACGATGGAGAAGATAATTGAAAAGGTGGATCAATGGTTTGTGGCTCAAGAGGTGGATAAAGTCCTTGAGGACTTGGCTCCGTTGGTCAACGCAACTCAGGTGAAACGTTGGAGACCACCGCCTGAACCATGGCTCAAATGCAACATTGGAGTGTATATGGAGAAAGGTTCTGGAAGACGAGGCGTGGCTTGGGTTCTCAGAGACTGGAAGGGTATCGTTTGTCTGCATAGTAGAAGAGCTTTGGCTACTGTGGGCAACAAGTTAGAGTGTGGTTTTATAGGAGCTTTGTGGGCGCTCGAAAATTTACGTAGCCATGGCGTGAAACAAGTGGTTTTAGCGACAGAAGATTCGGTGGTATTGGGGGTGATGGAAAGACCTAAAGCTTGGCCTTATTTCAAGTTGCAAGTTTGCGATTTGTCCACAGTCATTCCTTGGCTTGAAGGGTTGAAGTTTGAGCTGGAACCAAGATGTGCTAACAGAAGAGTTTATCTCATCGCACAAAGTGTCGTTCGAGGAGATCGAGGGCAATCTTATGTTGCATCGGGTCACCCTCGCTGGTTGAATGAGATCTTTGTCAGTGAGAGAGTTTTTTCCTGTCTAAAGCCTGGTCGTTTTTTGGGTAGTTAGTTTTTGGTTCTTCTAATCTCAATTGTTTGTGAGATGTTTGAGAGGATCTTGGTTTTTGCCTTGATCTTGGGTGGTGGTGGTTCGTTGGTTAGTAGGTTTGGTTTGGTGTCTAACACCTTGTATCTTTCCCAATTCAATATAACTATAGATGGAAAAAAAAATGGTACTTGTACACATTGCGTCGGTTTTAAAAGCAACGTTGAAAAAAAAAGTTACTACTCTTTTGACGTTAATTATAACGTCTGTTTTCTAAATTACGCAGACAAATTTAACGTCACCGCATATTATGACGCTTGCCAAACGGACACCATATTATTAGGGTCAGTTTAAATACAATGTTAACCATATATTAACCAACGTTAAATGCCGTGTTTTTTGTAGTGTCATGCTAAACCCTCGACAAAGGTCAGTCAACAAAAATAAAAGAGTAGAAAAAAAAAGATTTAGGTATTATTTTAACAAAAAATAAATAAATAAAGTAACTAAAGGTCATAAAAGAACCCAATTTTACATATTTCTGTCTTTGTGCTTATGTCTAAAGGACATTCCATGCCCCGAGCAAGAGCAACTGGTTCCTCTTAGTCCGCATTGATCATATGAGTGCAAATTCAGACTGGGTCACTTGGCTCTGGTCGAACCTTTCTTGTAGAATTATAAGCTTCTTACCTTCACATATTTTCTACACTCTCTTGCACTCAATCTTAACTGATTTACGTAAAATCTCTATAGAGTGGTAACCTAATGAAGTGGAACCAAATCACTGTACATGATTACTTTCAAACGGAAAAATCTATATATATGCCATGAAAATGAAGTTCACAACTACAAACAACCACCAAACTCCTGACTCTTGTGTTCACCTCTTGTTTGAATTGGTCAGTGTAGAGACCTAGTTGATCATCCTCCACCGTTCTGAAGTGGGAGATAATGAAGTGAATTTGTAACTAAGTTAATTACCTGGTCGTAGTGGGGAATAAACATCAGAGACTAAGAAGCCGTAGGTAATGACGTCGCTTTCGAAGCGCGTTGTGTAACTTTCCGTCCGATCACCATTGAAGTGGTTTTCGAGCTCAAAAGGAAGATAAACTCGTGAAATTTTGCGAAACTTGGCGGAATGACCAAGTAACTTTCACGAAGAACGATCGATCGGGAGAATCAACGATCGATGAAGGTCAAAATGAAGGAAGAAGAAAGAAAATCGGATCGAGTGAGCCGTTAGAGCTCACGCTCTGATACCATATTAGTGAACAAGGAGCATCGAAGAAGATGAGCTAAAAGAGGAAAATAACTCTTGTTACTCATTAATTGTGTGATTACATTTCTCTTTATACAAGAGTTTGTTTCCGGTTTACCACACACGATAACCGGTTTACATCAATTTATATCGTACACTCTAATAGTAATGAGAGACCTTGAAACCGAAGGTGGTATCCAAGGAACCAAATCCTTTTGGAAACCACAATCACTGGTAAACTACCTTGAACATCAAAGATGTGAATAACGGAGATAGTGGATGAGTTTAATTTGGAAGAGAGAAGATAAGGATCACAACTGAGAAGAAATCCAATTTTTAGAGTTATGAAGCCAGGTGAGAAAAAAGTCACAACGTGAGGTGCCTATTTATGTGATTGGATAATCGGAAACGGTGATGGTAGAAATTGAGAATCCTAATTCAAATTCTACGCTGTTATGATCTTTAATTGAGAATCCTAATTTGACCGGTAAGAAGTTTGAGTGTTGATGAGGTGGTGAGTTGTAAAATGAATCCTAATTAGACTAGGGCTAAGCCCGCGCGATTAGTGTTGATGAGGTGGAGAGTTGTAAAATTTATATTCTCTCCGTTTTTTTAAGATAAAATTTCTAGTTTTTTCACACCTCTTATGAAAAATCTTTAATTGAGAATCCTAATTTGACCGGTAAGAAGTTTGAGTGTTGATGAGGTGGTGAGTTGTAAAATGAATCCTAATTAGACTAGGGCTAAGCCCGCGCGATTAGTGTTGATGAGGTGGAGAGTTGTAAAATTTATACTCTCTCCGTTTTTTTAAGATAAAATTTCTAGTTTTTTACACTTCTTATGAAAAAGTTACTTTTTAATCATAAGTGTATTGATTTTTGCAATTACATTATTTCCTATAACTTTAAACCAATAAAAATGTAAGAAATATAATTATTGTTTCTTGAAATAAAAAAAAAAGTGAATCAAAAAACTAAAGAATTTATCTTTATGAAACAACAGAAAATTGCTAGAAAATTCATCATAAAAAATAACATAGGGAGTATTAGACTAAGGCTAAGCCCGCGTGATGCGCGGGTTTTGAGTATTACAAAATTTTGATATTTTATCTCACAATAGTATAGATTTTTTCCTTTTTTAACATAAAAAATTTAACAATTCTAACACAATGTGTATAATCAAATATCATATAAAGGAACACAAAAAAAGAAATCCAAATCAAACATTTTGTTTTAAGATAGAAAAAATGATAAACTGTTAATTTTATGGTTTCTTAAAACACGCATGTAAGTGCCTAACATTTCTCCCACACAATCTGTTGCTGTTTCCCTAAAGAAACTTTGTGGCAAGTGAAACATAGTGTCGGAAGTTCAAAAAGGGATGCAAATTTTAGCAGAAAAAGTTCCAAAATTTATCAAACCCAACAACAAATCATAGATTCACAATCATAAATTTATCAAAATTTATTTCATTATGGATAATGGTAATTGATCTAATGTTTCCTAAAACAACAAGCACTACTTATCTATGAAAATTTAGAAGTTGAATTACAAACACATAACTCCGCACATACATCAGGTTAAATCCTAGTACTTACTATTTAAAAGGTTGGATGCATGAGTTTCGCCTGCCTTTATCCATATTTGCGCATGATGAAAAGATTAGTAACAAATTTTTCTTTTACAGAAAAAAAAAAAAAACAGAATCTGATAAATGCTCTATATTGACAAGATACAATAGGATACAAATAAATGGCTTCTAGTCCTAAACTAAACCGAAATGAAACTACAAGCCCAACTCAATATTTTTCTATACTACTTGCTATTAATGGAAAAGACATTTTTCTACAAGCTAAATATCTTAGATTTATAATAAAATGGGCCTTTCTAGATCATGTGAAAACTCCAAAACCCAATTTTTTCACTAAGTTTATTTTATATTTTTAAAAATACAACAAACTGTTAGAAAACACAGATAGCTACTAAAAAAAATTTAACAAATAAAGCTTTAATTGCTCAGTGCTTGTTTTTATACTATATTAATTAATATATTCCTCTTAAAAAAAGACCAAAGAAGAACAAAGATGAAGACGGAAACACCGGATAAGAAATCCAAAAAGAGCAGGAGAAGAAATCAAACAATAATGAAAAAGAAGAACCAAGATGAGTAAAGACGAAGAAGAGCAAAGTAAAGTATGAGTATAAATGAAGAAAAAAACGAATAAGAATAATGACAAAGAAAAAGCTACCAATGAAGAACAAAAACGAATAAAAAATAAAAACAGAAAAGGCAAAGAAAAATTAAACAAATTAAAATTAAAACAGGAACATTAAAAAAAATTTGTAAAAATTCGTTAAATTATTATCTTTTAAAGAAGCTAATTTTTTCCAAAATTAAGAAAATATGTAATTTTGGGTTTAGGTTATTTTCATTTGTTTAGTGGAAGTTGTTTTTTCCGTTTATGGTTTGTTTTGGAGGTTTAGATTTAGTTGTATTCTTTGTAATTTTAGAAAATGCATACTATGTTATTTAGAATTCGTATAAAATATTTCTACTTTTTGAATCCATATATTCTCTCATGAGATAGTGCTAGAAGTTCTAGCATGGAAACTCCATCCGAGCCACGTTTCCCGTTTTGGAAACGTTTCCAAAACGGACTCTCGGAAACTTGTTGGAAACTCGTTTTTCCACGTTACCTAAAATTTTCAATTTGGAAACTTGTTGGAAACTTGCGTTTCCTAAATTAACAGAAAGTTACTGCTTGGATTTAAAAATATAATAATTAAATAATTACATAACAAATAATAATATAACCAGTTGTTTAATTATTTAATATAAAAATAATTTAATTTATTAGTTGAGAATTAGTCTTAACATTATATATTGAGTTTGATTATTTAAAATCTTCCTCTCGATGAAGATAGTTGAAGATAGTTTGATTGATAAAATGCATAATAATAATAATAATAATAATATAAAATATTTTTAATATTTTGACATTAAACATTATGATATTTATCTTTAGCTAAACTATTTAGTATTTAATATTATATATATATATATATATATACGTTTCCAAACTTATATTATTTTAAATACACGTTTCCCGTTTCGGAAATGTTTTGCTTCCGCGTTTTCGTTTCCGTTTCCATGCAACACTAGAACTAAGAGAATCCAAATGTAGCTGTTTGTTAACTGTGCATAAATTGTTTTGTGAGAGCAGAAAAAGTCTTCAGTATCCTGTACTGTTTCACACAAATAAAAAATATGTCCAAATCTTTGGTGCTTAAGCTCTCTTGAACAAGAGATGTTAATGTTTTTCAGTTTTAGTTTGTACGATTACACAGAAACATAAAGAATATACACAAATATATTTGGTTTTAAAGTTTTTTACTATTAATTAGGTGGTTGTCCTGCACCTTGTGTAGGTATAATATTTTTTAAATACATTAATTAATTAAAGATTTTAATAATATAAATAGTATAACTTTTTATTGTATTCATCGTTTTTATTTTCGCAAACTTCTTATTTTTGTAATCTTGATGTGTCTTATTTTTATCTTCTCTTTCTTTTTCTTCTACGTAATCTTCTTCATTTGTTTTGGAATTTTCTTCACATTCCATTTTTCTTCTTTGCTTTCTTTTTCCTCATGTTCGAGTTTTATTTTTCTTCTCCAAATTTTTCATCTTCTTTTTCACTGTCTTCTTTTCTTTTAATTGTGTTTTTATTCTCTCTTGTTTTTCTCTTGCATTTCGCCTATCAATTCATTCCATAGTTTAATTTTTTTCAATATTTGTGAAATAGATTTTCAAGATCTTTTAAAAATTTACTAGTTTTGTTATCTTTCAATTCTGGATTTCCTTTAGTTGTTTTAGTTTTTCTATTTGTGAATGCAATTTTGAAAGTAGATATAAATTTATAATAAATGACTTTTTATTATGACATTCTTCCGTCATAATTCAAGTTTTTAAAAATGCACCAAAAACTAAATCCTACACCAATCAATATAAATCCTACATGCTAAAATCAAACCCCACAGTGTAACACCACCTCCCTAAACAACCCAAACCCCATAGTGTAACACCACTCCCTCTATAATAAAGTTCATGTAACCAAATAACTAATTCATTTGATAGTTTAAATTTTCAATATATGTGAAATAAATTCTATCTTATATAGTCCTACACCCTAAACCCAAACGCCATGCCGGCCCACCCCTAAACCCCCCCTCCCTCCCTAAACAACACAAACCCCATAATGTAACACCAAACCCCACAGTATAACAGCACAAATAGTTTTTTCTATTTGTGAATGTAATTTTGAAGGAAGATATAAATTTATAATAAATGATTTTTTTATTATGAAATTCTTTAGTGATAATTCAAGTTTTTAAAACGCACCAAAAACTAAATACCCACCAATATAAACCCTACACCCTAAACCCAACCCCCCCTAACCCAATGTAACACCACCCCCACAGTATAATACCACAAATATTTTTTCTATTTGTGAATGTAATTTTGAAGGAAAATATAAATTTATAATAAATGATTTTTTTATTATGAAACTCTTCAGTAATAATTCAAGTATTTAACAATACACCCATCAATATAAAACCTACACCGTAAACCCAAACGCCAAAAATATTTTTTTATTTTTATTTTTAACATAATTTTTATTTTTTAATCAGTAATTTAGTGTATTCTAATTTTTTAAAGTGCATCAAAAATTAAACCTTACACCCCTCAACATAAACCGTACATCGTAAACCCCAACCCTATTTTATCATTTTATTTTAATTTTTCTTTTACTTCTTCATATTTTTTTTCTTCATTTTCTACCATTTTTTCTTATTCTTATCAAACTTTCTATTCTCTTTTTATTTTCCTCTCTCTTCATCGTCATCTTATTATTTCATGTTCTTTATCAGATTTCTTCCTTTTATTTACAATTTTTTTTTCAATTATCTTTGTGTTCTTATTCTTCATTTTTTTTTATCTTTTGATGTTTTCAAATTTTTTTATTGTTCACATATTCTTCAATTATTTTCTTCTTTTGTTTTGTTTCTTTCGTTTTGCCCGTCTTTGTTTTCCAACTTTCGTCTTTTCCTTATCTTTATGAAGTTTTTTTTTTCTTCTTATTTTATATTGTACTCTTCATCATTTTGCGTTATCAATCTTTTCTATTTTTGCAACATCTTATTTATCAGTTTCATCTTTCTCTTTATTTGTTTAAATTTATCTTTTCTCATCTTCTCATATTTTTTCTTTTTCATCTCTTCATACCTTTTTGTTCTTTTTTTTTGTTTGTTTCAGTTGTACTTCTTTCATCTTCTTTATTCTATTTGTCTTTTGTAATATTTTAGTTTTCTGTCTTATCTTCTAGTACTTTACTTTCGTCGTATTTATCCTCCCATTTTTTCTACATACATTGATATGAAATCATAAACTTCGGAAATGAAATGATTCATATTGATAAACAAAGTGGTTGATCATAAACCCAAATATCATTTAATTTTCCATATAACCTATGCAATCAAATAAAATTGTGTTTACATATTTACTAAATAAACCAGTCGATCACTATTTCTCTGAGTAATTTTTATTTCAATTATGTAGTAGTTATTTTTTTACAGAATTTTTGGTCTTCCAGAATTTGTATTGAGCAAGAACGATTTACCATGAGGCTTGTGATTGTGACGGCACCAGACAAGGCCTTGAGCTCACGAATAATGAATTCTCCAAAAGTACTCTGAACTTGCAACAATACTTATTATTAGCCATGTTAACTACAATTTCCATGGAGAATAAACCAAATTACAAAGGAAGTTATGGAGGCTTTGATAGGTTCATAAGAGAGTTTAACAGGGTCCAAAGCATATCATGTGCCAGTGAAGACACATTGTTCAGTCTCTACCATCACGATAATGTGTGATAATATATGTCAAGAATCCTCCAAATCAAGATCAACACCAACACGATTCTGAACCGATGCGTGGTAAGAAGCAGACCAAGAAGAAGGACGAAGAAGTCATCTTCCACTTCCTCTCAAGCTCCTTAAACCTCTCAATATCAATTTTGCGACTCTTGAGCAGCTTCCTCTGCCTCGAAAAAACAATAGCTTCATGAAATCTCGATAAGTCGGGTCTCTTGAAATCAGTAAGAAGTAAGCATAACCAACGATAATCCCAGTCGCTGTCGTAAAAAACGTGACCGGCTCCATCACATCCCAAGAAAACTCCCATAAAGTTAGTCTGATGAAAAGTCCGATTTGCACAACAGAGTAACCAAGACCACACCACATAATCTTCCTCACTTGCTGATGAGCTAACACATCAATCTCAATCTTAATCGGATCATCTCTTGATATAACCCTAATTCAAGACACCGCCTTTCTTACCAAATCCACCACGTGCAACAAAACTCACAAATCAAAAAGACCAACAAAAAATAAAGATATTGCTAAGATTTTCATTAAGGGCAGTTCTGTAATTCAGCGGCTGAGATTGAATGTGGTGGCTCTAAACAAAATTTTGACTTTGCAAATAATATATTAGATTAAGATGTGAAGTTAAAGGATTTGGTTACCTTGATAAGGGCAGGCCCGTAGCTAAAGCCCGTAAAGCAAGGGCTTTAGGTGCCAAATAATATAAACAATTTAGGGGCACCAAACTATGAGAAGTTCCTTTAGCCTAGTGTATTGTGTGTTGCAATAGAATCCCTCATGTGCACGGTTCAAATCCCTTCCAATGTTCTCTTCCCCTTTTATTTTTTGTCATTTTCTATTTATTCTACAGGTTTTAAGATGGGCCAAAAAATTTAGTAGGCTTTAGGCTCCATATGACCACGGGCCGGCCCTCTTGAAGGCTTGGAGCGCACACTGTTCACGAGCGTATTTCATTTTTACTATTGTTTCCTTTGATTTATTGTGATAACTTAACATGTTTTATTTTATTTTGAAGTTCAGGTTCCCGAAGAAGCCTGTTCATGAATCATGGGAGCATATATATCTGAAAATTTTAAGAAATAAGTTTTTTAAAAAATTTAGTTTTTTTTTTATGGTTCCAAAAAGTAATTTTTGGTTTTAAGTTGTAACAATAACGCTTACAAAGAGCATTCTTGATCAACAAAAACAGTCGCAGAAGTAAAACCATAATCCGAAAGAAATTCTAACCATCTTTTTTTCATGTTTTGGATAAAAAAAATAGAACATAGAAGGACAAAACTTATTTGTCTAACGCAAGACTATCAACACGGTCTGCGTTTGTAGCGTTGGGCTCTTTTGAGTTCCTCTTTCGCTCTCCTCGCTTTCGCGTTCGTTTTTCTCGCTTTCGCGTTCTTTTCCTCTTCTTCTTCTCTGTAAGAATATTGAGAGTCAATTCACTGTTAGTCTCTAAATGATTCGAAGGGTCTTCTACTAAATTATCAGCAACAACAACATTACGAGATAATGATTAAAAATCGTTTTCTTTTTGCCAATTTCAATGTCTATAGAACATCCGATCAGACAATATGAATCAATACGTTCTATTAAAAGTAAACTGAATCAGTAACAAAAGTCCCTGAGAATCACTAAATTCGCAATAAAAACCTGAAATTACCTTTCTGTGTTGCTGCCACAAGAGGATTGTCAAGATTTTCACTTGCTGAGATTGGACAAGATTCAACATTCTCTCTTCCCACATCCTCGAGAGATTTCTCATCTTCTTAACAATATCAGCAATAATATTATGAGATAAATGCTAAAAAAACTCCTTGACAAATCACTATATTCTATAACAACTAAAACAATGGTTACCTTTTCCAACATCAACATCTTCTAGCTCTTCTCCAAGTGAAACTGCGAAAGATTCTGATCTTGGTGGAGAAATCTCAGAAACAGCTGTCTGATTAAGATCAATCAGGTTATCAGTTTCGGCAGTTGCATTTCCCATATCTTCGACAGATTTATTACCCGTCTCATTTTCTACACAAAACCATCAGTAACATTATGAGAAAGCAATCTCAATGTCTGTAGAACATAAGATATTATAATCAAAGAAAGAAGATATATGTTATGTGATAGTTAAAACATAGGTTATACCTTCTCTAGGTAAAACTGCACAAGATTCAGATTTAGGTGAAGCAACAACATCTTCAACCTCGTTACTCTCATCATCCGCATCAGCAGATTGATTAAGATCAATGGCTCGTTTCTTTCCAATTTTCTCTTGATCTGACCATTCCCCTTTCCTCTTCCTTGTGGTTTCCTCAGCTACTTGGGTTTCGGTGAGACCTTCTTCAACACTCAAATCTACAAGTGCCGAGTCAATTCTAGTCTCTTCAGGGTTTAAAGACTTTTGGTCAGCAACCACAAGATCTTCCTTCTCCACTTTGACTGCGTCGGCATGTAGACTACAGTTGCCACTAGTCTCGTCAAAAGCTTGACTCACACTCATGTCATCTGGTAAGCTGTTCTGCTCGTCGCAGACCTTATCTACAAATAAAGCACAAAATCATGTTGAGAAACCAGAGAAGACAAAATTACAATATATAAGTTTAGAAGCCGATTCAATGGTGTTAGGTTTAATTTGAGTGACTAAAAGTCAATTATCTTCACACTGATTAACTAATTTGGAGGATTTCATTACTGTTTTTCTCACCTCTTAAATCATAGAGGGAATCCATTACGCAGTGATGAAGTAGAAAGCTAAAAGGTTTTAGCTGATTAGGGTTTAAGTGTAAGAGGACGGTCTCTCTATTATATAAATATCGGTCTTGGGAAAGGGAAAAGGGTTTAGCATTATTAGGGTTTTATGTTAAAGAGGACGGTGGTTATAATTTTTTTTTTTTTTTTTTTTTTTTTTATCGTCTAAAAGTATATTAAATTTTGTACATTAAAATATATGTGTAAGCGAAAATAGTTTTTATTTTGTGAGGTATCATTGATTCATAATCAATAAATTAAAGTTTAATGATGTTATTTATCAATTATAGAACTAGATAGTATTATCTAACAATTATTGCGATGCACAGGTTTTTAATGAAAATTATTATAATTTTTCTATGATTGACTATATCATAATTTTTAAAAATAAATATTTGCCCCCAAAAACATTTACGTAAATACATGAAAATTAGATAAAGCATGGTGATAAAAGCTTAACTCCCCATAAAGATATTATTTTCTTTTGGATTTCCAATTTTCCACTTTCGAATAACATGTACTATAGCATGGTGATCATTTCGATTTCGATCCAATTGACTTGTTCTCAAATAATTTCTACTGTTTTCTTGAACTTTCGAAGACTTGATTTTTAAATTAGATAATAAGAATCAAAGAGATTTGATAAATTTGCTTTGATGAATTTGTGAATGAGAAAAAAAAACTGTTGACATGTTTGTATTGTTTAATTTGTTTCTTTCGTTTATGAATAAAGGTGAGAGACTAAAGTCTCCCATATCACCCAAAAAAATTCTCTTTTTATAAGAATACACGTAACCTATTTCATATATCTACAGAAAATTTAGTTTAAATAACCTATTCCATGTACAAATAGGATTTTACTTATTACATTATTTTGAATTTTAATATGTGTTTGGATAATATAAATTTGAATGTTTGATAGTATGGATGTTCCCCTAATCCTAGAGATCCCAACGTCACACCTTTCCCGTCAAGATTCCATGGGATGGTTTTTTACACGGACAGGTAGATATACGGTTAGATCGGGTTATGAGATAGCACAAAAAAACTGGGAGGATAGTACCGTTCCGTTGTTTGGTCCGGATACAAGGGGTCTTCAGGCGCATGTGTGGAAAGTACAATGTACTCAAAAATTGCAACATTTCTTATGGCAATCTCTGACGGGTTGTATAGCAGTTGGGGATAGGCTGAGAAGTCGAGGAATGCAGATTTATCCTCAATGTATGCGATGTGGGATGGCGCCAGAAACAGTGAATCATACTCTGTTTGAATGTCCACCTGCACTACAGGTTTGGGCTCTCTCTCCAATTCCAACAGCTCCATCTCGGTTCCCAATAGGTAGTTTGTTTACAAATATGGCATATTTGTTTTGGGAATTACCAAATGATGATAGAATGAGGATGTACCCTTGGTTGATTTGGTATATTTGGAAGGCTCGCAATGATAAGGTCCTAGGGAATGTGGATTGGGATCCTAATGATATAATTACAAAAGCGACAGCGGAATCATTGGCATGGGCTAAGACCCAGGAAAAACAAGAAGCAGAGTCTCCACGGTCACAGATTTCAGTGGAAATCACTTTATCAGGAGACCGGTGTCAAGTGGATGGAGCATAGAAGGAATCAGATTGTAGGGCTGGTCTGGGATGGTATCTTTTCAATCCAGCCACACAGAGTAAGCTGATGGGCTCGTGTAATCTGAGACGGGGAATATCCCCACTTCAGACTGAGCTAGAAGCACTCATTTGGGCTATGTAGTGTATGCGACGGCATAATAAGTTAGTAATGGTATTTGAGACGGACTGTTCCGATGTGGTAAAGATGGTGTCTAAACGAGAGGAGTGGCCGGCTTTTGCGATACTTCTTGATGAGGTCGACAGATGCAAAATGGGGTTCACCTCATTTTCCATTGTCCACATACCCATGACGAACAACACGAAGGCAGATAAGTTAGCACGCAGTGCTCGAGCTCTACCTACTGATGTGTACTATGTAAACTTTGTATCACCAGCTTGGATTTCCGAGTTGCTTTAGATAGAGAGGCTGTTGACAAAAAAATAAAAAATAAAATAAAATAATATATATATAAATTTGAATGGAAAACATTTTTCTATTAGAATATGGCAAATATAATATTTTTCTTTTTTTTTGTATAATAATTTTTTTTTTAATTTTCCTTTTTCTAACAATTTTGTAATTATTATTTTTTTCTTTCTTTTCTCAAGACACATGTCACGATCTTAATGGACGTAACATTAAAAGTGACACATGTTGCAATCATATGAATTATAAGAATCTTACGTGTCCCAACCACGTCGCGCATCCAGTTTTATATAATAAGAAGTTAGACTACGAAAGATAATACTTTTAATTAATGTATTAGAATTTTAATAAAATGTAAATAATAATTTATAAAACAGTCATATACTTTAACACTATTAATAACTTGTCTACTTTTATATATTGAAAGTAATAATTTTATTTGAATATTTTATTGAAAAATAGTTTAAACTATTATATTAGATTACTGCTAAAACTCTCTCTCTTCACCTGTCTTTATTTGTCTTTATTGCTAACGGGTCAACGATTGAACTATGTTAGGCCTAATCAATCATTTTGGGTTTCCACTCTGTAATGGATTTGGCTAATTGGGCCTCCTGGACTTTGTATTTAACACGTGGTTTAGATTCATTGGTTGTCGCCTTCATATTGATCGCAGTTTGGACGCAGAAATTTTGAACGCATTTCAAACTTCTTCTTCTTCTTCTACATAAACCTGATTTAGGGTTTTAATTCTTTCGCATTTTCCTTTTAATTTCCTGCAATTCTGTGAGATTAGGATGATTTGCAATGCGTGCGAAAGCGATGAAATCGAAGGGGAAGAAGAAGGTTATTTCTACTGTCAGAAATGCGGCGTTCGAGGGGAAGGTATAATCGGAACAGCCGTCAACGACGACGATTTAATCGGAGGTACTCGCGGCGCACTGTATCAACAAGCAAACGCTCGCCGTCTACCACCACAACTAATCGATGCTCCTCAGCAGCCTATACACACATAGGAAACAATGCGATACACCCAATTCCGCTCTCAGCTTCGATCCGAGCCGGCGGATTTCGGAGCAGAAGCAGAAGCTTTGAGTCACGAGGCTTATTTCAAATAGACGAGAGATCGATACGTCGATGGGTTTCTGATGATGGTAATGTCTCAGTGCGATGCCTTGGTTGAGAAATTCAATGTGACGCCATTGATTATTGGTTTGGTTGGACCTATCTGCTTACGCTTTGTGGGGCTCTCTCTGGCATCTTGGATGATGATTGGGCTGATAAGTCAATTCACAACTCCGAGCTTCAATCACAAGGTGATTCCTTTAGAACTTGATTTAACAATGGAAATAAAGCATAGTGTCAAGATTGGTTCTTGATGTGGGTTTTCTTGTGTGGTATTGTAGATGTAAAGGTACAAGGAAGAGAGTCTAAGCGGCGTAACAGAGACAAAAATGGCCCCGAGCCTCGTAACAAGTGAGCTTCGAAAGTCTCTGCCTTTGTCAAGCTCTTTAGCGATATCTTTCCTTGCTTGTCACAAGGTTCGAGCACCTCTTCTTCCCACGGATATAGTGAGATGGGTAGAGGAAGGTTCGATTCCGTACCGGTCGTGTTTTCTCAAGATTCAAGAAAAGATGGGAGCGAGATCAGCTGCTTGTCCTGCGGAAGCGAGGGTAACGTTCAGCGTCGATGAGATTGTTTCCGCTCAGAGTTTAGAATCACTAGCGGCATAAAAGATTGATCAGGTGTGTTGAGCTTTGAGAGAAGATTAACTTGGATTGAGAAAAGGATTGATCAGGTTTTGCATATAAGGCCACCTACTGTGAAATGTAAGCTATGTAAGGATGAAGATGGAGATGAAGATGATCAAACTCTAGACCACCAAATGGACTCCGATCACGAGTCAGTTGCAGGACGCAACTACTTCCTGTGATACTGTTGTTTCCTGAAGATTCTTGGTGTTCCATGTCCTCCAACGAAGAACCATCTCTCTTAACAGTCACATTCACATACTTCTCAAAGCTAGGCTCCATTAGTTCCGCTTTCTTCGCTGCTGTGGATTTAAAACTGTTGAATTCGGTTTTTTTGGTTTTGCGTCTTCGTAGTTGAGTTAAGCTCTGCTACTGCTTCGACGATGGAGCAGGCTTTAGACATAGATGAGCTTAAGGTATTGACAAACAAAATAATAAGTAGGTTTATTTTTTCAAAACCTACTTTGCTTTTGGTTTGAAGGATGCTTTGAGTTTGAACCAGCGTGTTTCAAGTAATAAGTTTTGCTAAATCATCTTCACATTTGCACCCCAAAAAAAAAACAAAAAAAGTTTTGCTAAATCTGATTCTACCTAACTCTTAAAAAGCGAGCAAGAAGAATCGTGTGAAGATTTAAAGCCAACTCTGTCGTACTAAGCTTTCTATGGATTGTTGTTGTAATATAATTGAGGGTTTAGCTTGCAAAAACAATTTTAGTTGTTCTTTTCACAAAACCCTAAAAGAAAATTAAAAAATATAGAAACAAGAGTAAATAAGGAAACGAAGAATATGTTGTATGAACCCTAATTTTAGATGGAAAGGGGGAAAAGAGAAAGTAATCCTCAGATAGTGTTAGTCGTTTCGGGGCTTAATTTTCACTAAGTGTGGAGGGAAAAAAAATGTATTTTTCCGCCTAACCATAAAATAGCATTTTCAATATAAGTCTGCTATAACAGACTAATAAGTCACACATAAATGATGCGGCAAAATAAATTTTGTCATGTGCCACTATATCATAGCGTTTACAATAAAATAAACGCTATTGAAAAAAACGAGTCAGTCAAACATAGCACAATTGTGAAAAACGCTATATTCTTCTGCTATTAAAGCCCAATATTCTTGTAGTGCAACTCTGTTATAACAAATGACACCTCTCTTGGTAAAACATTTCGCAAGCCAATAGACAACAACTGACACATTAATATGTGGCAATCATGACTCTTTAAACCCACCATTTTTCGTTGATTCATGTCAATACACCTCGAAATATTTGAAGAATATCCATCTGGCAGCTTTACAGTCTTCAAGATATTAAGAAAAATCTCTTTCTCATGTGTTGTCATTGTAAAACAAGCAGGCATATACTTACCATTTGCATCAGACCATAACTCATTACGTATACCAAGTTCTTCCAAATCTTTTCTTGCATTGAGATTGTCTTTTGACTTGCCTTTGTCATCCAGTAATGTGAAAATCAGATTATCAAACACATTCTTCTCTATGTGCGTCACATCCAGATTGTGACGCAAGAGAAGATGTTTCCAATAAGGTAACTAAAAAAAAAATGCTTCTCTTTCTCCATTGAAGTATTACATCTTCCCGGCGCCTTTTTCCCACAGCATCTATCTTCTTCCCCAAAGTAACATCCACATTATGAATTTGTTGGAGAATAACACTTCCTGATGGTGTAATGGGAGAATCTCTTGTTTCAATAAGACCATCAAATTGCTGCTTATCTTTTCGGAAAACATGATTTTCAGGAAGAAACCGCCTATGTCCCATGTAACAATTCTTCTTCCCATGCCGTAAACGAAGATATTTAGCATCATAGTTGCAAGATGGACAAGCTAATCCAGTGTGTACGTTCCACCCAGATAAGTTTCCTAAACCTGGATAATCACTAATAGTCCATAGCAAAATCGCACGCATTGTAAATGTCTCTTTTAAAGATGCATCAAATGTTGGAACTCCATCAGACCATAACTCTTTCAATTCTTTGATAAGGGGCTGTAGATAGATGTCAATATCATTACCCGGCATCTGCTTCCCAGGGATAATCATTGACAAAATTGTTGATGTTTGCTTCATTGACATCCACGGAGGAAGGTTATAAGGGAATAAAAGCACAGGCCATACACTATAGCTCATGCTCATAGAACCATACGGATTAAAACCATATGTTGCCAATCCTAGCCTGACATTCCTCGGCTCTGATGAGAACTCTGGAAATTGTTGATCAAAGGTTTTCCAAGCCTTTCCATCTCTAGGATGTCTTAGCTTGCCATCTAGATTCTCAGAATTAGCATGCCACCTCATGCTTTCAGCCGTCTTTGATGACATGAAAAAACGCTGTAATCGTGGTTTCAAAGGAAAATATCGGAGAACTTTAACAGCTTGTTGCTTCTTCTTCTTCTTCTTCTCAGCGGATCCATCATCATCAACTATTGCAGCCGTCTTCCATCTTGAGCTTTCACAAACTTTACATGTGTGTCTAGATGCATCATCTCCCCAATATAACATGCAATCATTACGACACACATGAATGGTCTCATATGTGAATCCTAACTTACGAATAATCTTCTTCATGTCATTGAAAGAATCTGGTAGCTTTGCATGCTGAAATGCTTCTTTCAAGAGATCTATTACCATGGACATTTCTTTGTCACTTATCCTACACATACAATTGATGTGATACAGCTTAAGCATGAATGACAGCTTGCTAAAAGACTCACATCCTTCATAAAGAGCTTGATTACAGTCTGCTAGCAAATCATCAAGCGCCTCCTTCTGCTTTGGATGATCCTCTGTGGGACTGGCAGCATCGTCATCGTCAATACTATTATTCATACTTGGGAAAACATCTTCAAGCAGATTCATACTCAGGTCTTCTGTATAATCTACACGAGATTCAGACTCTAATCTAACTGTCTCCCCATTTGAATCTAACTCTTCACCATGCAAATACCAATTTGTATATGTTGGCAGAAAACCGTGATAGAATAAATCACCCTCAACCTCGATCCTAACCTTGTATCCAACAAGGCAGCAACGCTGACAAGGACATTTGATCATATAGGTCTTCATGTTTGCAAAGGCAAAATCCAAAAACTGATTGACTCCACTTATGTAATCTTGAGATAACTGATGTTTAGTTATCCAAGACTTATCCATTTCAGAATAAATCTATCAATAAAACAAACCAATTAAGAAGCTTGTAAGAAGCTTTATATCAAATCAACATCATAAGTGTTTTCATCTAACAAAATCAGAAAAGAATTTTCATACATTTTAAACTAATATGACTATCTATATAAATAGTTGACTATCTTTCCATAGAGAAGGTTATATCAAATAAAATTCACGTACAATCAAGCAGAGAGATAGCAATCAAGCTTTAAACACAAATAAGCAAACATCAGAACTATAATACCACAGAGCATAGTGAGAGCAATCACGTTCTAACATCAATAAGTAAACATCTAACTTAAGATGGAGTAGAGAGATAGCAATCAAGCTTTAAACACAAATAAGCAAACATCAAGACTATAATACCACAGGAAAGCGATGAGAGCGATGCCGCCTCTCTCTCTAGGGTTTTGGCGTTTTCCTAAACTTTCAAATCCCTAATTCCCTCGCCTCCAAAACAGCAACACCTTTATACTTATTGACGCCTTGCTCTCTAGCGATTGCTACGATTACTCTCCGATACCCATTTTCTAGCTTTGTGCTACGTATAACTCAGATCTATGACCCTCTCGGACTCTAGGATCTTAATCTCCAAAACGGACCACCTTGCCAGTCTTCTTCTCCCTCTAGCGTGAGTGGTACGTATCCCTCAGATCTCTAAGTGATCTCTTTTCTCGGTTTGTCCGAAGCTATGTCTCAATTGAAAGCTGCTCTACGTCGTGAAGGAAGCGCAACCCCAACCCGCATGAGACTCAATATGGATAATGAGATCATACAAATCCCAGACTGCGACTACAACGCTGTTGCTGAACAGTTTAAGCTTACCCTAATCGGTAGAACTTTCCACCGTGAAGGTCGAAGCATCGACGCCCTGATCAACATGCTCCCGAAACCCAAGATCTGGGATGTGGAGGGTAGAGTCCAAGGAATAAACCTTGGCAATGGTCGTTTCCAATTTGATTTCGATCATGAGGAAGACATGAACAAGGTTTTGGCCAAACGCCCTTGGCACTTCAACCGGTGGAGCTTTGCCCTGGAGAAATGGGAGCCGTTCACTAGAGATGACTTCCCCAACACGATGCTATTCTGGGTCTCTGTAATTGGGGTTCCAGTACACTTTTGGAATGTCCCCACGTTTACGGAGATCGGGAAAGTTCTCGGCCTGGTTACGAAGATCGATGCAAAGAGATCCAAATTTCAGGTTTCTCTAAATGCTGATAAACCTCTCCAGTTTGAACGGAAAGTGAGTTTTCCCAACGGGGATATTGCCACGGTCAGCCTCACCTACGAAGGACTCCAGCGCTACTGCTTCACCTGCAAACTCCTCTCTCATGAAGAAGGAACGTGTCCACAATTAACAGAGGAGCAGAGAGAGGAGAAAAAGAAGCTAAGAATTGAACAGATCAATCAAGGTCTCGTTCAAGACAACAGCAATCCAGAGTATCGAATGGGAAATCGAGAAGCTCCAACCGAAATCCCAGAGACACATCTAACGAACCGAGCCCTCTACGATGACCGTACCCGGACCTCTGTTCCGAGACGTGAATATCAACAGAGAGACTCCTTACCACGATCTTCTGAAGGAAGAAACGCCTCTAGGAGCAGAGATCTACGCCAGGAACTAAGAGACCGGCGAGACTCGAGGGGACATGAAGTGTGGAACCGTCTTGAACGGAACCACGTAGAGAAGAGGCGTAACGATAGAGACCGTTACCACCCATATCAGCGATCCAAGGACGGACAAGGAGGATCGCGGGACACGAGATATGAAGCCCAAAGAGTGTGGAGACCGCTACATGAACGAGAATCTCGAAGCCAGCAGAAGCACCAATGCTTGACACACCAATGTCCAAACTCTCGACCTAGAACAGAGTCCCCGGAGCTTCTGGTGACACGAGATCAGACTCACAGAGGACCGTGTCCGAGATCCCGCTTAACAGAGAAGAAAACAGAGCAAGGGCAAAGGGTTAACTCACCACTTACCCACACGATCCGGAAAGTGAGAGAATCCGTAAGCTCAAAGGTGATATACCTCTAATTTACCCACTTTTTATACTGTTTTAGCATTGTTTTCTAATGGTTTTTGGCAGGTTTTCTATCTAAAAAGGTAGTTTTACTGTGTTTATAGTGTCTAGAGTCTAAACAGGTGAAATGATGCATTTTGGAGCAAAACCATAGGATTTGCACTTCAAGCAGCTCCATGCACAAGCACCAACTTTAAGAGGGCCCAGAAAAAGATCTACTCAATGGATTTCATCAAGACCAGTTCCCTGCGTGCTCTGATTGAGTTAACTTTCCAACGCAATTGGAATGGCCTCATTTGGATGAGTAGAAAAGGAGTTATAACCAAAAGAGTGAAGACTGTCCAGACGGCTCTATCGAGAATCAGCGCCCAACCGCGCAGTCCGGCTGGCCGAGGAACGAATGTTCCGCGCTCGGCCAAAACCGTATCCGTCCGACTGAAGTCTCGGCCAAAGTCCAAACCACTCGGCCGATCACAGCACGACCCGGGAAACATTGTCCCGCGGTCGGCCAAGCCAAACGTCACGCCACACGCGCACGACCAAAGCGCGCGAGCCGGGAACAAGCCTCGCGGCCGCGCAACCCTCTCGCGTACCACGGCCGATGCATCCGTCCGAGCCGGGAAGAACGTCCCACGTCCGGCCGAGAATTTCATCGGCCAAATTCATCCGCTCGACCACGGCCGACCGCGAATCCGTCCGACCCCGACCGTTCCGACTCGGCCCACGACCCGACTGTCCGGCCGATCGTCCCGCACGACCGTCCCAACGCCGCGGTCGACCCGAAGCCCTTTTGAAGCCCAAACTTATGTTTTCAAGCCCGGCTTAACCCTAGCCGCCTCTAGAAAGACCTAGCACTATATATATGGATTTTTAGCCTCTTGAGAAAGAGAGCCGCCCTGTATTTCGATTTCCTACTCTAAGTTTTATTGCAATCATGTTTTCTTCATCTCTATGTGTGTTTGCTTTGATCATGTCTGAGTAATCCACTAGTTAGGTTGCTAGGGTTACTATTCAATGAGTTGCTTGCATGATCTTTGATTTCAATGATTAGCTAGGGATTATATTAGAGTCTTTGTCTCGTCTTGTGCACTTAACTAATGCTGATTGCTTTACCGCGCATCTAGTAATCCGATCTTAGGTTGATTTGAGCCTCGACAGTGCTGTATCATTCGCCGGACATATTCTTTGACAAGCTAGGTTTCTTAGACTGCGAAAGTTGATCTATCTATATCTAGTGAACTGTATCAGAACCTATTCATTCTAATGCTTGATCTAATCACCTAGGGACATACCAAAAGTTTAGCGACTAGGTAGATTAGCAAAGGAGCCGGAGCCTCGAAAGTGGAATGGTTTTATATTCGTGATCTGTGTTCTAGATGGTTCTTAATATCCCAATATCCCTAATCAATTAATCTATCATTGTTTCATTGATCATTGCTTGCTTCTCTGCGATAGCCCCTATGACCTAGCGCTTTTCCTTTATTGTTTACAACCTCGTTATACTTGCTAGTTCGGTTCACCATTACAACCTCAATCATACTTTTGTTTTAGCTTGATCCAAAATCCATAGTTACAAAGTGTACTCAATAGCCAGTCCTTGTGTTCGATACCCATACTTCCGCGATCTGTGCACTTGCAGAGGTCTAGGAGTTTGGTAAAACCTGACTCCGCATCAAAAGGCAAAGCCCATGTAGTTGAATTGTCAAAGGCAGAAAAACTCCAGGAGATGTGGAACAACATTCCTGCCGACGGAGCTCTCTCCATCCGTGAACCAAATTTAAACTCGGGACGTGATGCCCAGAAAATAGGAGAACAAACAAGACTCCCAATGACCCCTACAGAGGAAAACTTCCCAATCACTCCTTTTGAGGATGCGCTGCTAGCTGACATAGCAGAGGAGGAAGAGGGAGAGATGACTGAAGCCTTAACGGCGGCTCAGATTGACTACATGATTAATGAACTAGCGGAGGAAGGGATTGATGAAGATATGCTGGAAAATGATGACCTACTAGGAGATGAGCTGGCATCGGATGCTGAACAAATCGATGCCATCTCACAACTATCCCCAATTGTTTTGCAGGAACCATCACCAATGAAAGTTGATGAAGATGTAGCCAGGGAGCTCACCAAAAAGAAAACGACCCTCAAAGTGACTCGTGGACAAAGAAAGAAACAAGCTGCTAGCCCGGACACGAAAGTCAACCGTGCTTCAAGGAAGATGCAATCTCTCCGCCTCAAAACATCGCCAAAGAAGAAAACAATAATGGGTAAACTGCCTAAACCTTTGGCTTCCTCTACTATCCCTCGTCATGAGGTGCTTCCTTCTGCTCTAAGCAAGAACTCTTCTACTGTCTCAGGTTTGGTGGTGTCCCAGAAACCACCCAGTAAGAAGATATGAACACAATTGCATGGAACTGTCAAGGTGCAGGAGCTTATTTGACAAAGAAGCACCTGGAGGAACTGCACCGCTGTTTTTTTCCGTCTATTCTTTTTCTTTCAGAAACAAAAAATAGTATTTCCCTTTTGCAAGAATATCAACACTCTTTTGGTTATAATAAATTGTTCACCGTGGAGCCAGAGGGGTTAAGCGGTGGACTAGCACTTTTTTATTTTGATTCCTTTGATGTAAATATCTTATCTGCTGACAATCGCCTCATAGACATAGAAGCTACTCTTGAAGGAAAGAAGATTTTTATCACATTTGTCTATGGCGATTCGGTGTACGAACGCCGAGGAATTGTGTGGGATCGGCTTAACTCTCTAAGCCAAACAAGAAGAGGAGCCTGGTTTATGATAGGAGATTTCAATGAAATGGTTGGAACGCATGAGAAACGCGGGGAACGTAGGAGAGCGGACTCATCTTTTCAACCTTTTCGAAACATGCTCGATAATTGTGGAATGCTAGAGTTTCCACATAGGGGGAACTCCCTCTCTTGGGTTGGTTACAGAAGCTCTGGCAAAGTACAATGTCGCCTAATTCTCTTGGGGTTTGATTGTAGAACCCTGTCTTGAACCCTAATTCTCTCTTATCTTGTTAAAGTCGTCACCTTTAGCTTTTTGTCTCAACTCGTCCCTAAACTCGATCGAGCTGGTACTTTGTTCTGACTCGACTCGAGTCTTGGTCGAGCTGTTACTTCTGCTTTATTTACTTTTGCATTTCATTTTTTTCATTTAGGTTGTTAGTGTTACTTCAAATCTATTACTGCTTGCTTGACTTCCTGGTTGTTTCATATTCTCATAGAGTGACAAGTTTCCCATTTTGGATTGATAACCCTTTGTACTACATCAACTATGATGGTTAAAGGGAATTGTTGACTGTGTTTGTGTTTGCATCTTACCACCTCATCATATACCACTGTTGCATTCCACACATCTCATTTCATATCTTTTCACATCCACACACAAATCCTATCATCAATTTGGCGCCGTTGCCGATTTGGGAATATTTTTGTTGCATTTGAGTTTCAAACATACTTGGACGATCAAGCTATACCACCCCTGTTCTATTGTACTGCTGGGTTTTTGTCTCTTTTTGCAGGTGTATGCGAACTCGATCGAGTCGGTCTACTGAGACTTGGTCGAGCTAGACTTACAACGGGTAGAAAGAGGGTTCAGAGGTCACAGAGGGTACAAGAGGAACCTGAGGTGCTTGTTGCTGATACAATGGATGTACCAGAGGGGAATGGAAACCCTTTGGGCAATGGACTCGGTCGAGCTAGGCAAACTCGACCGATTGGTCAAGGAGATGCTCCAAACCGCCACCAACAGAGACAAGGGATTGTTCCACCACCAGTGCAGAACCACAACTTTGAGATCAAGCTGGGAATGATCAACCTTGTCCAGAACAAGATGTTCCATGGATTGCCAAGTGAAGACCCCATTGACCACCTTGATGAGTTTGATAGGCTTTGTGATTTGACAAAGATCAATGGTGTCTCTGAAGATGCCATCAAGCTGAGACTCTTTCCTATGTCTCTAGCTGACAAAGCTCACCAATGGGAGAAGAGCTTGCCCCATGGCACAATCACCACTTGGGATGAATGCAAGAAGGCCTTTCTTGCTAAGTTTTTCTCCACCGGTCGCACAGCCAAGCTTAGAGGAGAGATATCCAGCTTCATCCAGCGAAACAATGAGACATTCGCAGAGGCTTGGGAGAGGTTCAAAGGCTACACAAGTCAGTGCCCACACCATGGATTCAACAATGAATCACTACTCTCCACTCTTTATAGAGGATGCTTGCCTAGGTATAGGGAGATGCTAGACACAGCTAGCAATGGGAACTTCCTCAACCAGGATGTAGATGATGGCTGGCAACTTGTGGAGAACATGGCCATATCAACAGAATGCTATGGAGAGACTATGAAAGTACAGACTGGAGCTCGACCGCGCACTCGATCGAGCTGGACGCTCAGATGAGAAAAGACATGCTTGCACTCAACTCGAAGTTGGACAAACTGATCCTAGCCCAATTCCCTGCCAAGCATGTCAACTATGTCTCAGAACAAACCTTAGTCAAGGACCAGGAAGGGGAGGAGACAACACAAGAGGTTTGCTACATTCAAAATAGACAAGGAAGCTATAGGAATCCTCAACAAGGGATACAACAATTATCAAGCCCCCTGGCCGCACCAACAACAAAGTGTTCCACAAGGTTTCAACCAAAGGACTACTCATACCCAACCAACTCAAGATTGGGATATGAAGGAAATGCTCCAACAACTTTTACAAGGGCAAGCCAAAGGTTCTCTGGAAATGAACAACAAGCTGGTTGAGATACACTCTAAACTAGAGTCATTGACTTCAAGAGTCCAAATCATTGAGTCTTCAAGTGCATCATCCTCTTCACCACAAGAGTATGCCCAAGCAGTTACACTAAGAAGTGGGAGGCAATTCCCAGTAGAGGTAGCCCACCCCAAATCGCTGTGGACATCGATGACGAGGAAGGGGAGGATTTAGTCGACTATGCTGATAACTCGACCCCGAACTCGATCGAGCTGGAACAAAACCCTGAACCAGAACTCGATCGAGCTGGAGAAACTGAGACACTGCAAGACAAACCAGAGCTCGATCGAGCTCAGAAGAGAACAGACAAAGCAAACTCCAGCCAACCAGCTAAACCTGTTGCAAAGAAGAAAGACACTCCAGCAGGACCACCACCATACAAACCCCCTCTGCCCTTTCCAGGAAGGTTCAAGAAACAACTGTTGGAAGCACACAAGGCCAAGTTTGATGAACTAATGAGACAGCTTGAGTTGAAGTTGCCCTTCATCGACGCCTTGATGCTCATTCCACCTTATCAGAAATTTCTGAAGGATGCTGTTCAGCAAAGAACCAGGGAAGCACAAGGGATGGTAGTGTTGACTCGCGAGTGCAGTGCAATCATTCAGCGGAAGGTCATCTCCGACAAAAAGGAAGATCCGGGGAGTTTCACTTTGCCCTGCATGTTGGGACCCCTATCTTTCAAAAACAGCCTCTGCGATCTAGGATCATCTGTCAGCCTCATGCCTTTGTCTGTAGCAAAGAGACTGGGATATCACAAGTACCAAGCCTGCGGAATCTCACTAGTCTTGGCAGATAGATCGATAAGGTTACCAACTGGGATGCTTGAAGACCTGCCTTTGAGGATAGGGAATGTAGAAATCCCCACCGACTTCATTGTGCTTGAGATGGATGAGGAACCAACAGATCCATTGATTCTAGGAAGGCCATTCCTAGCTACAGCAAGAGCAATGATAGATGTCTGTGAAGGAACAATTGAGCTAAACTTGGGAAAGGACCTGAAGGATGAAGTTTGATATCAAGGATACAATGAGGAAACCAACTATAGAAGGTCAGCTCTTTTATGTTGAGGAAATGGATCAGTTGGCAGATGAGCTTCTAGAAGAGTTATCAACAGAGGATCCTCTACAAGGATTGCTGAAGCTCCTTGACACCTTCAGACCAGTTCCAAACATTCTGAGCATTGAGGGATTGGACAGGCCAGTTTGCGAAGTCATGGCAGTGAGCTCGATCAAGAACTCGATCGAGTCGAGCCTCGAACAAACGAACTCGATCGAGCTGGGGCTGAATGCAAGGAGCAAGCTCAAGGAGATTGGTCTGAGCTCAAGGCACCTAAAGTCGACCTCAAACCTTTGCCTGAGGGCCTCAGGTATGCATTTCTGGGTGAAAACTCAACTTACCCTGTCATTGTGAACTCTGATTTGGAACCTGAACAGTTGAGTGCTTTGCTTGTTGAATTGAGGAAGTACAGAAAGGCAATAGGTTACACTCTAGATGATATCAAGGGGATCTCCCCTGACCTATGCATCCATAGGATTCATCTAGAGGATGAAAGTAAGTCAAGCATTGAACCTCAGAGAAGGATTGAACCCCAATCTAAAGGAAGTAGTGAAGAAAGAGATACTCAAGTTGCTTGATGCTGGGATAATCTATCCCATCAGTGATAGCACTTGGATATCTCCAGTTCATTGCGTCCCAAAGAAAGGGGGGATCACTGTCATTAAAAACGACAAAGAGGAGCTGATTCCCACTAGAACAATAGTGGGGCATCGCATGTGTATTGACTATAGGAAGCTAAATTCAGCATCTAGAAAGGATCATTTCCCTCTCCCTTTCATTGATCAGATGTTAGAAAGATTGGCAAACCACCCTTTTTATTGTTTTCTTGATGGCTACAGTGGTTTCTTCCAAATCCCGATCCACCCTAATGATCAGGAGAAGACCACTTTCACATGCCCTTATGGCACCTTTGCTTATCGAAGGATGCCATTTGGGCTGTGCAATGCTCCAGCTACTTTCCAGAGGTGCATGACCTCCATTTTTTCAGATCTGATAGAGGAGATGGTAGAAGTCTTCATGGACGATTTCTCAGTCTATGGAGCATCCTTCTCCTCATGTTTGTCTAACTTGTGCAGGGTGTTGCAGAGGTGTGAGGAGACCAATCTAGTACTCAACTGGGAGAAGTGCCACTTCATGGTTCGAGAAGGGATTGTGCTTGGACACAAGATTTCCGAGAAAGGGATCGAGCTCGATCGAGCTAAGGTGGATGTCATGTTGCAGCTCCCTGTTCCCAAGACTGTGAAGGACATAAGGAGTTTTCTGGGTCATGCAGGGTTCTACAGAAGATTCATCAAGGATTTCTCAAAGATAGCAAGACCCTTGACAAGGCTTCTGTGCAAGGAGACAGATTTTGAGTTTGATGAAGAATGCCACAAGTCTTGGACCTTGCTGAAGGATGCTCTGGTATCTGCGCCAATAGTACAAGCTCCAAACTGGGATCACCCATTTGAGATTATGTGTGATGCATCTGACTATGCAGTAGGAGCAGTGCTTGGCCAAAAGATAGACAAGAAACTCAATGTCATCTACTATGCAAGCAAGACTATGGATGATGCTCAGTGCAAGTATGCAACCACAGAGAAGGAACTCCTTGCCATAGTCTTTGCCTTTGAGAAGTTTCGAAGCTATATAGTTGGATCCAAGGTGATTGTGCACACTGACCATGCTGCCCTTAGACACATCTTCGCTAAGAAAGATACAAAGCCAAGACTTCTCAGATGGATCCTTTTGCTTCAAGAGTTTGATATAGAAGTTGTGGACAAAAAGGGAGTAGAAAATGGAGTTGCTGATCATCTCTCTAGGATGCGAGTTGAAGACATGATCCCCATCAATGATTCTATGCCTGAAGAACAGCTTATGGCAATCATGATCTTGAAGGAGAGTTTTGATGAGAAAGCCAGGCTGGAAGAAGTTAAGGCTCTGCGTGATGAGAATTTGCCATGGTATGCTGATATAGTGAACTTCATGGTGTCCGGAGAAGTCCCTAGTAGCTTTGATGCTTACAAGAGGAAGAAATTCTTCAAGGATGCTAGGCATTACTATTGGGATGAGCCCTACTGTACAAGAGAGGACCAGACAGCATTTACAGGAGATGCATTGCTGAAGAGGATGTGCAAGGAGTTCTAGAGCATTGCCATGGGTCAGCTTATGGAGGTCACTTTGCTACATTCAAAACAGCAACTAAGGTTTGCAATCTGGTTTATGGTGGCCTACCTTGTTTAAAGATGCAGCAAGCTACATTGCCAAGTGTGATCCATGCCAAAGGAAAGGAGGGATCACCAAGAGAGATGAAATGCCACTAAACCCAATTCTAGAAGTTGAGATCTTTGATGTATGGGGAATAGACTTCATGGGACCTTTCAAACCTTCCTCAAACGGGCACAACTACATTTTGGTTGCTGTGGACTATGTGTCCAAATGGATTGAAGCCATCCCCTGCCCAACCTGTGATGCAAGGTTGTTATCAAACTGTTCAGAACCATCATCTTTCCAAGATATGGCATCCCAAGGGTTGTTATTTCGGATGGAGGTTCCCATTTCATCAACAAGGTGTTTGAGAAGTTGATGAAGAGTTATGGAGTCAAGCACAAGGTCGCTACACCCTTATCACCCTCAAACCAGTGGGCAAGTTGAAGTCTCCAACAGACAGATAAAGGCCATTATTGGAGAAGACAGTGAGCTTCACTAGGAAGGATTGGGCAGCAAGGCTTGATGAAGCACTTTGGGCTATAGAACAGCTTACAAAACCCCCATTGGAAGGTCTCCTTTCAACTTGCTGTATGGAAAGGATTGCCACTTACCTGTGGAGGTCGAATACAAGGCTATGGGCAGTAAAGATGCTGAACTTTGATATAAAGGCAGCACAAAGAAAGAGGGTAATGAACTTGTTTGAGTTGGAGGAAATCAGAATGAATGCCTATGAGAACTCCTGATCTATAAGATGAGAACCAAGGCAGCCCACGACAAACTGATTCGCCTTAAGGACTTCAAGGTTGGGGACAGTGTGCTCTTGTATAACTCCAAGCTAAGGTTGTTTCCCGGGAAGCTAAGGTCAAAGTGGGCGGGACCATTCAAGATTCACGAAGTTTACCCTATGGATCCCTCACTTTACTCAATCAAGAGGGGAAGGAATTCACAGTGAATGGACATAGATGCAAGCCATATCTAGGAATGACCCCCACAGAGGAGATCATCACTCCTCTAGAAGATCCAACCCCGGCCTAAAAGGGGTAAGGTCAAGCTAAGAGACCTAAAACAAGCTCACTTGGGAGGAATTCCCATGTCTATCTTATATATTTATGCTTTATCCTTTTATTTTTATGATTTTCTTGGCTAAGTCTCACAGGAGCAGGTTTTAGGAAGAAGAGTGGCTAACTCGAGGCACAACTCGATCGAGAGAGCAAGCTCGATCGAGTGAGGAACCCAGTCGAGTGGAGTGCTCCTGATGGCCGTCTACCATCTCCAGACCACGACCTAGCCTCCCAGTTCTTTGGGGGGCACTGAGGTATCCAAACACCAACCCTTGTATATACCATTTCATATTTTCTTGCATTTGTTCTTGTTTTTCTTGGTTTTGCCCTCTTGAATCTTTCACTAAATTTTTCTCACACAAGGGACTGTGTGATTTAAGTTTGGGGGAGGGTTCAAGAGATGATTTAACCTTGTTTTCTTTGTTCTTAGTTTTTCATTTATCTTTTGCATAGAAAAACCAAAAAAATCATAAAATTTTCAAAAAATCCAAAAATATTTTCATCTTTTTGCATTCATATTTGTTAGACTTGTTTAGGATTGCATTTTTCACTTGCATTGTTGATTTGACTTTGAAAACTTGTTCATCTTTTGCGATTTCTTGAGTGCCCTGTTTTTAGATTCTTTTGTGCATTAGGGTGAGATTGATTGAGCAGCAAGAACCATGTTTATCTTGATCATATCACTGCATGCACATCTCATTCAACCATTGCTGTGATTTGATGCATTTCCCTATCTATTTGAACCATAACTTGATCTTTAATTACCAATGCTTGCATTTGATTTCAACTCATGGCTACCACATACATATCTGGACATTCTTTACCATTTTCATATCCCTTTGCTTGTCCAGATAGCTGATCTCTATCTTTGAGACAGTTACCACACCTTAAACCTAAGCCTTTTCATTTCAAACCCCATATTATCTCTTGTGCGAATGTGAGAACCTTTCTTGGCTTTGCTTAGCATAAGGTGTTGTGTTTAAACCGGCAGGGGCAGTAGTTCTAGTTGTCTAGTTCTCTTGGGATTGTTTTCAGGCTAAGTTTGGGGGTGCCAACTCGAGCTCGATCGAGTTGGGTGTAAAAACCAGAAAAGTGGTAAAAGTTGGGAAAAACCCAAAGGAAAAAGAGTTTAGTTAAGTCCAGGGAGTTGGCAGTGTTAAAAAGGGTCTAGTAAAGGTTTGGGAAGTTAAAAAAGGAAGTAAAAAGGGTTCTAAGTAGAATGAAAAGAAGGCAAAGCCTCAAGTGTCAAAAAGGAAAGAAAAGTTCCCTAAGTGTTTAGAAAATCCCAAACCGCTAGATGTTACCTCAAGAAGCCTCTCCCTAGGAAGTTCTTAAAAGAAAAGTGAGCAAAGCTCCTCAGTTTCAAAGGCGAAATGCCAAAAAGGGTAGTTAGGATTTTGTTCTAAAAAGCTCTAAGTGTTGAACTCGATCGAGTTAGGATTAGGCGGCTCGAGCTGCTGTTCTTGCATCATCTTTGGTTCTAACACTTAGCCTTCTGCCAAAGCAAAGCCACTTTCTTGAGAGATCCCTGTTACTAAACCACCATACAAAAGAGACCCTCTTTGTCTCTTAACCCATAAACCCTTGAAACCAAATGAGTTGATTGATCTTGCATGTTTTTGGTTCACTGTTTTTGCTTAATGAATGTTAAAGGGATTTGCTGATTTGAATGCATTGTTTGAGTGACTGTGAAGTGGGATTGATGTTGATAAGCATGGTTAAATCTTAATGAATATCTCTCACCTTGTTGCATTCTAGAATCTCTAAGTTGGACATTTAGCAAATCGCTTTTGAGGACATGTTTTTAAGTGTTGAATCAGCTTATTTTCAAACCTCATCTCTTTCTTGTTCTATTTGTTTGCTTGAGGGCAAGCAAAGTTCAAGTTTGGGGGTGTTGATGTACTTGCATTTTACATAGTTTTAGCACATCTTTTATGCATCTTTTGCATAGTTTTAGCTTCCATTTGCATCATATCTTGTTCCTTTTCTCTTCTTATGCATTCATGTTAGTTTTAGGTTGCATTTGCATACATATGCATGTTTGGTCCTTTGAAATAGGTCTTTTGGAGCATTCTGGAGCATATGGGACATGAGGAGCATGGAGGGACTTGGCACATGGACGCAGCTCAACTGGATACGCAAAGGAAGAAGGGAGAAGCCATCTTGAAGACCAGCTCGACCGTCTACTCGACCAACCGGTCGAGTTCCTCAACTCGACCGGCCAAGCTTCAACTCGATCGAGCTGAGAAGTCAAAGTCAAACCCGAAAAATGTTGCTTCCCCCTTGACTTTCCTTTGACCCTAAACCTAATCCTCTTTGTATTTAAAGGCTCTAAGCCACGAAAAAACCACCAAGCTTTAGATTATTTTGTTTTAGTTTCTTTTAATTTATTGTCTTTTACTTTTTAGAGATCTAATCCATCTTTGTGTTCTTGAAGCTCTTGCTTCTTGAATCCTAGATCCTGGATTATTCTCTTTGTATTTGCACTTGCTTATTTCAATAAAAGTTGTTTAATTTCATCTCCTCTTTCTTATGATGTCTCTTTTATTGCATTTGCTTGTGTTTACATTCATGTGTAGTGAGTAGTTACCCATTGGGGTTTGATTGTAGAACCCTGTCTTGAACCCTAATTCTCTCTCTAGCTTATTAAAGTCGTTACCTTTATCGCTTTTTGTCTCAACTCGTCCCTAAACTCGATCGAGCTGGTACTTTGTTCTGAGTCGACTCGAGTTCTTGGTCGAGCTGTTACTTCTTCGCTTTATTTACTTTCTGCATTTCATTTCTGTTTCATTTAGGTTGCTAGTGTTACCTCATATCTATTGCTGCTTGCTTGACTTCCTGGTTGTTTCATATTCTCATAGAGTGACAAGTTTTCCCATTTTGGATTGATAACCCTTTGTACTACATCAACTATCATGGTTAAAGGGAATTGTTGACTGTGTTTGTGTTTGCATCTTACCACCTCATCATATACCACTGATTGCATTCCATACATCTCATTTCATATCTTTTCACATCCACACACAAATCCTATCATCAGAATCGCATAACAAAAATCAAAAAACGAGATGGCACATGGGCGGAAACTGAAGAATCCATTGAGAAGGTTGCTACAGATTACTTCCAAAATCTGTTTACGTCCTCACAACCGGAAAATTTTGAGGAAGTGCTCCGGTACGTTACCGCGAAAGTTACACCCTCCATCAACGATGCCTTAACTTGCAAGCCATCAAAGGAAGAGATCACAAGTGCCATCAAGGACATCAATCCAGATAAGGCCCCTGGACCGGACGGTATGACAAGTCTCTTCTACCAAAAGTTCTGGGATGTGACAGCAAATGAGATTATATGTATGGTTAACGATTTCTTTGAGAACGAGGCTTTGGATCCCCGCTTAAACCAGACAAACATATCTCTTATTCCAAAAACAGAACGGCCAAGAGACATGACGGAATTTCGTCCCATAAGCCTCTGCAATGTGAGCTACAAGATCATCTCCAAAATTCTTAGTAAAAAACTAAAGCGATACCTCCCGAAACTTATATCGGAGACACAATCAGCCTTTGTGGCTAGACGGCTTATTACAGATAACATTCTCATTGCACAAGAAGCCTTTCATGCCCTCAGAACAAACCCGAGTTGCAAGTCTAAATATGTGGCAATAAAGACAGACATGAGCAAAGCATATGATAGAGTGGAATGGTCTTTCCTGGAAGCTCTCATGCTGAAAATGGGTTTCAATGATAAGTGGGTTTCGTGGATAAGAGTATGCATATCCTCTGTCTCCTATCAAGTCCTTATAAATGGTGAGGCTAAAGGACACATTAGTCCCTCCAGGGGACTAAGACAAGGAGACCCCCTATCTCCATTTTTGTTCATCATCCTAACAGAAGCGCTGGTGGGGCTTATACAAGGTGCAGAGGAAGAAGGAAGGATCCAGGGGCTTAAGATTGCGAGGAATTGCCCAGTGATCTCCCACCTACTATACGCGGATGATAGCCTCTTCTTCTGTAAGGCAGACATACAGCAATGCACAAAGCTTATGAGAATCATCGAAGTATATGACGAAGCGTCAGGTCAACTCCTGAATGCCGCAAAATCCTCAATCTTCTTTGGGAATAAGGTCCCCATGGACACCAGAACAGAGCTGAAACGAACCCTGGGGATCAACCAAGAAGGAGGGATGGGAATGTACTTGGGTTTACCGGAGAAAATATGCGGCTCAAAGGATAAATTCATGGTCAGCCAAGTTTCTGTCAAAAGGTGGCAAGGAAGTTCTCATAAAATCAGTGGCCCAAGCTCTTCCTAATATGTGATGTCCTGCTTCCTCCTTCCACAAGAGATAATAAAAAAGCTCCAAGCAGCCATAGCAAGATTCTGGTGGAGTTCAAAGCAAAATAACCGCGGCCTTCACTGGATCGCGTGGGACAAGATATGTACGTCTCTCGATAAAGGAGGACTAGGCTTTCGAGACTTACACAATTTCAATCTCGCACTGCTTGCGAAGCAACTATGGAGAATCGTACAATATCCGACCTCACTCTTGGCCAGAGTTCTTAAGAGCCGATATTTTTGGTTTTCAAACCCGTTAGAGGTGGAAAAGGCAAGCTCTCCTTCGTACGGATGGTCAAGCATGCTGGCGGCACGGGACTTCTTGAAAGCGGGAATGCGAAAATCGATTGGATCAGGGGGAATCACGGCTGTATGGAGCGATGCATGGCTACCAGTATGCCCACCTAGACCTCCAGTTTTCTCGGGGTGGCCCCAAAGACCCTTACCTCCTCGTATACCACTTAATTGACCAGGGAACAAAGACATGGAACCATGAGATGCTAAACAGGCTTTTCACAGATGAAGATGTTCGATGGATCAAATGTATTAAGCCAAGTCGAAACCCCCAGGTAGACAAGCTCCGTTGGGCTTATACGAAAACAGGCATGTATACTGTAAAATCTGGCTACGAGCTAGCAACACAGATGACCAAAGAGAAAGGCCCTCAGTTTGTACTCGAACCAAGTGTGAAAGCCCTCAAGAGCAGACTTTGGAAACTAGAGACTTCAAAAAAGCTTAAACACTTCATGTGGCAGTCTCTTGTAGGTTGCTTGGCGGTAAAACAAGCTCTTGTTAGTCGACATTGTGGAACTGACCCGTCATGCTCGAGATGTGGTGCGGAAAGAGAATCAGTCAATCACTTATTCTTTGAATGCCCTGCAGCAGTCAGAGTATGGACCTCTCGGACTTCCCAACAACTCCGGGGATCTTCCCGTGTAATGCTATCTATAATAACTACGACCATCTCCTGTGGCGGGCAATGGAAAATAATGTCCCGGAGAAGACGATTGCCAGTTTCCCCTGGATCCTTTGGTTCATTTGGAAGGCTAGGAATGAGAAAGTTTTTAGCAATAAAGAGATACAACCCGAAGCTTCCCTGCAATCGGCGTTAGCAGAGTCGGAAAGTTGGGTTTTTGCCCAACTTATCGATAACTCTAATGCTGAACAAAACCCCCTGACAAGCACCAGTACACATAGTGAACAAGCCCGAACTCTACCAAGTTGCCAAGTTGATGCTTCGTGGATGTCGGGTGACCAGGTTTGGGGAGGTGGTTTAGTGATAGATACCGCGGACGGGAACCACGTCTACGGAGCTACCGCAGGGACTCAAGTACTCTCACCCCTTCATGCAGAGTTTGAAGCAGTAATTTGGGCTATGGATCATGTCTTGCATCTGGGTCATGATATACCTCTAATTTACCCACTTTTTATACTGTTTTAG